AAAAAAAAAAAAGGCGGAAAGGAGAATGATATATAGATCGATATAATACAATAAATATAGTGCAAAAGAAAGTGAGAGTAATCATGTCGTGACGCTAAAGTTCGCTGTGACGATGAGAGATTCATGATATAAAACGCCATATAGGATGTGAGATGAATTGTTGACCCTCATGAGGTGTCGACAGATATGGTCGCCCCGTTAGATCCCATCCCCGGTTTTACTGAACGCGCCTCACCCTGTTCCAGAAGCGCTTCATCACCCCCGACTCGCTTCCCTGGGTATCCCACGCATCCATAGCGGCCAGCTGCTTCTCAATGCCGTCCTTGGAAGCATCGGACGGCACCGCGTTGTGCTCGTCGCGTAATAACCTGGTCGGGGAGTTCCGGCCGGGCTGGGCATCTTTGCTGTTGTCTTTCTGCCAACCGTAGATCTGCTCCTCGTTCGCCCGGAGGTCGGGCCTCGTCAACGTCATGCGCAGCGTCATCTCCCTAGAGGCGCTGCCGCAGTCGATGGACGGTTTCGACAGACCCTTCAGGTCCGTGTGCACTCGAAGCGGGCGACCCAGCACCTGTTCCGAGATCTGAGGCGTCTTGGGCGATTCCGGGTCTCCCACCGACCCGTCGTCGCTGCAGACGGACGAACGGTCGTCGGCCAGAAAGGTGCACCCCTTGTCCCGCTCGTCCGACGCAGAAGACCGTTCTGTTGCGGGATGATTTCTCGGCCCCTCGTCCTTGGAAGACCGTGCGGCAGTTGCGTTGTCTGCGGCGGGGAATCCGAATTGAAGAGCTTCGTCGAACTTTTGGGGCGACGCGAGGTACAGTTTTAGCTTCAACCGAGCTTCCGGGTCCTGGTAATGGGCGGCAGCGGGATCGAAACCGGAAATACTCTCCTGCGGGCTATGCTTAGGGGAAATCAACGACAGGGCCCGTGACTTGCGGCGCAGGTGTGTAGTCGCCGGGGTCTGGGTAAAGGGGTTCGCAAACGCAGGCTGCGGAGATATGGGCGTTGTGGTGTGAGTCGTGCCGGGTCGGCTACTAGAGAAAGGGGGCCGCCCGAATGGAATTTTGTTTATGGACAAGTGTCGGCGGAAAGATGGACGGCGCGACTTGTTCGACGGTGGGAGATCTCGCTGCAGGTTGGCATGGTAGTCGTCCAGTCGGAGGCTGAGATCTAGGTCCTGGTCCTCGTCCAACCACCTGAAGCTTTCATAGAAGGAACTCGGCACATTATGATTATCGGTAGTCCGAGAGCGGCCCTCGAGGGCGGCCATGGCGTGGTGGGCCTGATAAGGGGCCACGTAGGAGCCTGGCCGGCTAGTGTCGCTTCGTTCCGCGTCGCTGGCCGAGACCGACCTGCAGTTATGCTGTCTCCGGAGTCTGGCGACAACAATCTGCTCCTCGGTTGTCAGGTGTTGACGCCGGATCTTGTCGGGCAGATTGGCGTAAAATGAGGGTCGTCGCGACGATCGCCTCTTCAACTTGTCTCCGTGGTAGTAGCCTGGGGCAAACCTGGAAGAGCGTATCCTCTTGGACCGCAGACTCGGGGCGGAAGTCGTAGAGAGATTGTCGAGTTCTATGTCGGGCAAGGATAGATGGGCGAACTGCTCGTGGTCAAGGTCGGAGAAGTACTAATGCCCGGGGATTAGACACTTATCAGGAGAGTCAAATAAGAAGAAAAAGAAAAGAGTACACGCATGGCTTCCGGGGTATCAATGCGACAAGAGGTGGACAAGAGAATGGGGATATCTCAAACTAGGAGTGAGGTGTATGGGATAAGGGGCCCCAAGGATGCCACTTGCAGGAGCTGCATGCCCAGCCAGGGTTGCGGGAGAGAGGGGCTAGAGCTCAAATCCGCGAGCGTGCGGTGTCCGCCTTTTTTTCGTAGGGGAATGCCGAGACAGTTTTCGACAGGAGCATAACCCTTGGCGGCCAGCTAGGAGATCGTCCCCTCTATGGGCTCTTCAGGCAGAACGAGGGTTATAAGAAATGCAAATAACACTATGGCGGGGTGTTTTCAACCATGGGAGAGGGAATGGGTAAGAGGGAGAGAGGGGGAAAGGGATGGGAAAAGGGGAGAAGTCGAGGATTGAATCCTGACCCGAGATTCAGCGTGATGCTGCGGCATTCATTGCGACTTTTGGGAATACCTGCAAGTGCAAAGTTGAGGAACGGTGCAGCAGGACCAGTAATGTCTCCTCAAAAAAGTGACAGGTCTGACCGGCTTATGCCGCATAGTGGAAAAGGGGTAGGGCAAACTGCCTGGATGGCAGGGGGTTGGTTGGCAATAGCAATAAATTGGCCAATGTGCTCGCCGAACCATATGCCCGAGCGCCTAACAATCGCCAAGGGGGGAGGGGAGGGAGTTTGACCGAGTCCGGACCTTGTTGGCCAGTGCAGAGGGATGTTTAAGTGGTCCTCGGCGATCCAATCCATGGTGTTTGGGTGATCTTTGCGCTTTGGCATTGGAAGGACGACATAATCGGGGTGAACGTGCACTGCACTAACGCACTGTTTCCCAAACCGGGCAAAGAAGGGTCTCATTGTTGGGGGACTTGGGAGCATTTTGGGCTGGTGAACATACGATGACAATATGGAATGCAATAAGAAAGCGCAAGGGTCAAGGACCGTAGAATCCAATATCTTGGGGGCTGGGAAAAAAAGGCAAATACGGATAAAGGAGAAAGTGAAGAAACAAATCGCGGGGTGAAGTGGAAACTGGATGGAAAAGCCACACGCGGGCGAGGAAATGGGAAAAGAAAAAGAAACAGTCGCCGGTATTTTTTCGTGGAAAAGGAGTGGGAACAGGAAAGAAAAAAAAAAAAAGGAAAAAAAAGAAGACGACTTGGGGACGAGCCGTACACATACCCTTTGCTGAGCCGAAGATAACAAATTCGCCGGTTCTTGGCTCGCGTTTATTTCGAGGGATTCAATCCCCGTGCTCAGGTCCTCTGCAGGTAATACCCGTGGGGAGACCGACGAAGATCCCGACGGCGATGGGTAGGGCGATTCGTACATGGAGGCAGCCGCTGCGAGGGTCGAGGAGGCCGACGACAGAGAAATGGAATCGGCAGCAGATTCGCCGAGAAAGGGGGGATGTCCGTTGTCGGCATTCTTGTGGCCCGGAACACCATCCGGTGTCGCCGGCTCCCCCGTGTCCCAGCTAGCCCAACTTGCCTTCAGCGTGCTCTGGCCGTATGTATCTTCGCCCCGAATGGTCGAGGCGTCGTCGCGTATAGGACTTGTAGATTCATCGTCGGTTGCACCGGGTTCGTCTCGCTCGTTCGACGAGTCTCGAGGCAGTCCGGCTTCAACGTCACCGTCGTTTGCGCGGGTGTTGCTGCTGTTGTTGATGATGTTTCTGTTAACATCAACCTCATTGGGCTGGTGGTTGCGATCGTCTTCGCGTGCCGGTTCCGACATGGGAAGATGGTAGCTCATGGATGTAAATGGACGCAGGTCATCGCGGGTCGCCGAGGGTGGAGCAGAATCGTAACGCCATGAGCCGTCCAGATGGAAGAAGGAGGCCGTGGTGGAATTCCGGGTCCACTCCTGGTCCGACAAATTCGCGCCGATCGTCATGAGTTCCGAGTCTGAGTCCGAAGCGGTGTCGTCGTTGCGAGTGCTGTCGGTGGTCGTGTCGGTGGTCGTGCCGTTGGTGTTAATAGACCTCGAGGTATCGGTGGACGCGGCGGTGGCGGTCAGCCGAGCGACCGGAGCTGGGCCCGTGGCCGGGGCCGGGGCCAGGGCGATGGAGGACGGGTACCAGGCGGTCGCGATGCCGGATTTCCCTACCCTACCGTCGCTGGTGTTGCTAAGGCTGCTGACGGTTCGAATGCTCTTGGGAAACCTTCGGTTGCGGGTTTCTTGGAGCAACTGATGGCCGGACCAGGATGACAGGCTCGAAGGTGCCCATGGAGATGCGACCAGAGATGGCGCAGAGCCGGGAGCTGCGGCCGATGCTGTCGCAGTGCCAGGTGCGGACACAACGCTAGACCGAGCTGAGTGTAAGAAAGTCTGCGATGTATAAGGAGGGTTGATGCGGATGCCAATGCTGGTGGTGCTGATTCGGGTGCTGCTGTCCCTGTTGGCGTCGCCAGTGCCTCTTTTGTCTTCGTCCCGCCCGGTCGGGTAGGAGGGCCGAAGAGAAGAAACGGAGGGAGAAGAGGGATCGATGTTGAGGAAGCTGTGGGAGCGATGATAAAAGTCGACGTCGTCGGTGGGACGGTCTAGGTCTAGGTCTAGGTCTAGGAAATCTGGGGTCGTCGTCGTCGTCGAGAGGGAAGTAGAATCAAACGGGCGAATGTAAGCGGGAGTAGAAATGACGAGTAAAGATGTCTGAAGGGGGGGAAGCATTGGTAGGAGCCTGTGAAGTGGAGGACGCTGGTGGTGGTCGTGGTGGTGGCACCCCCGGTTGTGTTCCAGTTGGGGATCATTCCCTTCTGACACGACACTGAGAAAAGAGTGTGGGTGTACGCGTAGGGGTGGGTTCGAATGCCGACCGATGACATGCCGTCCATGTGCCTGCACCTGCCGCTGACGGTAGGCCTGGCCGTGGTGCTGTAACATGGCCAGTCGTTCTGGGGCTTCCCCCTGCTGCCCCTGTTGCGGTTCTGACAGTTCTGACCGTTCTGACCGTTCTGGCCATGCCAGTTCCACTGCCGTTCCGATTTCTTTCCTTCGTCCCTTCCTTTCTTCGTCCCCAAATGCAGCCTCTAACACATCATCTCTCCAGCCCGGTATATTTTTTGTATCTGTCCATGTCGGCCAATCAACGCCAGTAGTCATGGCATCGGCAACACCCCCGATGGTAGTAGATGGCCAAGTCTGACAGAACGAAAACAGCAGGTAAGGAAGGGGGTTTCGAATGGAATGGGGTTAAAGGCGGGACAGGGGATCCAATTTGCCAAGGACCAGGGGTGGGCGGAAGTCAACCAAGCCAACACGTAAGGCGTAATCGTACGGAGGGATACTGTGTAAGGCAAAGAAAAAAAGGGAAAAGGGGGGGAGGTTCCAGAACAGGACAAGAGAGGGACAGAAAAGACGGGCCAGTCGCCTCTACTCCGTAGGGACGATGGAGAACGACGTGGACAGGGGTCCGGTTGGCTGGCGTACCCGCGCAGTAGCGCAACAGGAGGGGCCCGAAGGAAGAAACAGCGAAATGAAAGAAGGGGTCAGGTAAGGTAATTAGTAAGGTACTCTGGAATGACGGGTTGTTCGATTGCTGTTCGGTCCTGAATGCTGAATGGACGGAATGTCGGGACACCGCATCAGGCGATGCCCGATGATACCGGAGCTGAATTCGCAACTCGGGCCTTTGCCAGGAAGGAGGAGGTGGGCTGTGTCCTGCCTGTGAGTTCCACCACAACAGACCAACGGCGAAATGGGTACCTAGGGTACTGCGTACAACGTAAGCAAATCCGTAGGTACGTCCCGTGATACGCAAGTCCGTACTTTAAGGTACGTAGTATCGTCCAGAGCGGCGGGAGCTCCGAGAACCGATTCTTCACCACCCAATCATCTAATAATGCGAAGAGTCGCTGAGGTGAGACGAGATGAGACGAGACGAGACGAGATGAGATGAGATGAGATGAGATGAGACGAGACGAGACGAGACGAGACGAGATGAGATGAGACTCGGTTTGATTTGACTCGACGGGACTCGCTCAATTCGGGAATGGCGAAGCTGGGATGACGAAAATGGACACAAGAATAATATGGCCGTGCGTGCCCGTGAAGAAATGTGGTTACAAGTGATTTCGTTCGTGTTCGCTGGACTGGTCGAGGTGAGAAACGTTCGACAAAAGACACGTCCGATTCCTCTCTCGGGAAGCTGGTCTCGGATCAGTCGAATAATGTTGACATGGAGGACGAGAATGATAACTTCGTACTTCGTTTGTTCCTTCTCAGACTCCCCGACACACCCGGTGTCTTACACACAGATAAGCGTATGGGGGTACTAGAGAGACTGGTGCGAACAACTGGTGCGGAGAAAAAAGAAGGTTGGGGAATGTAGCAAAGAAAAAGAAACGATAATTCCCGATGGGAGGATGGAGAAAGTTTGCGGGGAAGAAGAAGACTTTCGTGGGGCGAAAGAAGGGAGGGAGGGAGGGAGAACGGATGAAGCGCCCAAGAATAAACAGAGACCGAGTGGTTATAGTTCCTCGGTATTCCCTTTTACCTACGAATAAAACCTACAGGCGCTTCCGTTTCTCATATTCCGTACCTGAGGCACGAGGTGACCTGGCCGGGGGATCGCAGGTAAAGAAGTCGAACATTTTTTTCACCTTCTTCGCACCCTGAACCCGGCCAAGCACTTCGTACCTTGCTTAGTTGTTTGATTTCCTCTACTCCGTACTACCAGAACAGAACCAGCGGAACTACGTTGTATTAAATAACGAAAAAAGGGTCTTACTCCGTTGTCTCGGCTAATTCTTTCAGCGTTGAAGCTCTTTTCCTTTTGCTGGTGCACAATCTCCATCCCCTGGTCCATCCAATTCCCTGTCAGTGGAGGCTGGGGATTCGTTCTGTACACGTACGTTGTGCGTTGTATGCGTGACAGGTCCCGCCACCAGATCTGTACCTATAAGGTAAGGATATCAATACCTTGTACGTTGTATGTACCTACTGATCCGTGTCCACTTTGCACCGACAAAGTACGGAGTACGGATACTGTTTGTGGGCTAAGAGAATATGCCTAAAGAGTGGGCTAGTAATCGACGTCACTGTCGGTCGTCGAGAACTGGAACTAGAACCACGATGGATCAATTGTCGGGGTTTGTCGAACCAGTCCGGGGTCGATGTGCGAACAGGTAAATTAGCACGTACCTTATGTAAGGTATGAAACAGGTACCTACGATACCGGACGTGGTTGCAACGGAACCGGACCGTACCTTACCTAAGGTACTTCATACGATGTAAGTACCTAGGTAGCTTATACTTCGTCTTCGTAACAATCCATCGTTTCTTGTTTCTCGATAATAAAAGGAACGCCACAAGATCGGATATCAACCCACTCGAGGGGGAATGCTTCTATCCCGCGTACAAAATAAAGAGAAATAGGGAAGAGAACCACAAGTGGGCTGCATACCAGGGGGCGTACGTTACACTTCTCCCTCGACCAATGTTCTACCGCCTCGACCCTCCTTCCCTCGTCCCCTGGCATGACTGACATGACGCTAACATCGCAACCCAACCCAGGATGGTAAAACCGGGCGTCTTTCTGATCCGTGAGCCCCGGATCAATCTGAGCCACCGGCGGGAGGACGACGAGTTGGCCCGGCCGCCGAGCCTGTTTCTGCTGCTGCTGCTGCTGCTGCTGCTGCTGCTACTACTCCGTATGCGGTGCAACTTTGTACGTTGTACGGCATATTTCGTAATACCTCGCTTCCGAAAAACGGACTCGGGAACCGATTCATTGTTCTTTGCACTTTGTATATGGCAGTTTGACGACGGCTCGGGCACTGTCTGCATACGTGGACCTGAACCCGAAACAAAGGTAAACATCTCAGGATTATCGAAGTCCCTCTCACTAACATAATTACACGATTCCGAACACACAAACAGATCCAACCGGAATCCCCATGAGGTGAACGTCTCTCATATGCGGGGTGAAGACGTGCGGAATACGTAGGATTTGATTCCGACGTTATTAACACCCGACATGGGCTCCTTCATCCGCCCGGGACCTGACAGATATTGCTAACTAATAGCCGGATAGGATAGCTGCTTTGGTACGGAGTACAGTCGTGCGGTCGTTTACGGTCGTACGGCGTACCCGACGAGGGAAACCAGCGCCTCGGGCTCGACCGCTCCGTTCTTAGCTGCTCTTGTGCAGCAGTAGGCGAATCGAAAACCAATACTTGGCCGTTTTCCTGCATACATATATCAAGTTGGGGCTTGCAGATGATTAGCCAACCACCTAGTGGCATGGCTTCAACTTTGAGGGGACCAAATTCGATCCTAGGGTTGCATCGTGTCGTTGCATTGTCGACAGTGGACGAGACGGTGCTCAGGGGCAGACGCATGTGTTCCCCCCTCTTCCTCGGTGGCTCTTTTCAGTGTCTCCCTCTGTCCATCAGTGAGCCATTGTTTTCACTGACCAACCAACTGACCCAAGGTCGCCCAGCTCACATGCTTACATCGTAATTACTCGGACGAGGAGAGCTGCCCTGTGTCGTGTAATCATAATCAGTCCTTTGTCCGATGCCTTGCATCACTAGGCCCGATGGGCTACGCCTTTGCGACTCTCCGGTCATCGTTACTTCTTATCACACAGGCTCGCGTTCTCCTAGTCTGGTTTGCAGCCAGGGCAGAGGCGACATGGCGAAATGGTCGTAAGACGAGGAGGACTCGCTCGGGTCAATATGATACCCAACGAGGAGTTCGTCACGACCCTTGTTTTCCCACCATGAAGCTCTCAGCCTACTTCGTACATGCGAGTGCGTCCGCAATCCTTCCCATGCCCCTGGTTCGTTGATCGGTCGGCGGTTGGTTGCACCGCGACCAGCGATTACCCCTCGTCCCCTTTGCCGTTGCACTATTCCTCCCAAATCGCTTCCTGGTGTTCTTGTCATCCCCCCTTCTCAACGTAGTACCACGTGGTGGTCCCTGCAGAAAGGCCTGCGGCCTTATATCGTTCCATCGCATCTCGCACTGGTTTGTGCTAGAGACGGTTCCACTGCCATTGTAACAACTAGTAGTAGAGCTTCTGAATCATTTGGCGAAGAACATGGGACGAAGCCTCAACTCCCATGGGGAGCCGCAGTGTTTTTCCCATGTCACTCAAAGTTGCTTCGCATCCCGACGCAGGGGAACACATTCGCAAGCATCAGCGAATGCGACCATGATAGTGTGTACCTGAATTTCTGACAGGACTCGAGACGTGAGCTGACGCGACCGGCCTAAGCTCATGCGAACCCTTCAGCCGCATCGTCCTCCCCGACTCGTCCTCAGCTTGGTACAGTAAAAACGCCCAAGAACGCCCAAGACAAGATAACACCCGAGTTGTTGAAACGTAACGCATACAGGCCCTCCTGGTGCATGATTTATCTTTGCCTAATGTTTTGGTTGTACTGTGTGTTCGGCTAACCATCTCTTTGACCTCGTATCCCGTTTCTCGGAGAACGCGGGACTCCTCGCCACTCATTCTAGTACGGCGGACATTTCTTGCATAGCATATGACCAACCGACACAACATATGTAACGAAGACCAGGAGTCCTCATGTCGTAGGCCAGAAAAGGGGCTGAATATAGACGGTGTACGGAACGACTGAGGCTTCTGAATGTTAACGATGTCTCTCTGGTTAGGTGATTGGCATTGACTTTATACTGAGCCTAGATTGAAAGGCCTCTTATTCTCCAAACAAATGCTGCTCGTACAATATAAATGGATATGCTTACATGGTTCTCGCCCTATCATGAGAATATTGTACATTTACAGGATGGAAATCTCACATGGGGAATATCGTGATCGAGATCCGCTCTGGCCTGCCCCGGCATGGATGGAGTCATCGTGCTCGACGAGGCCATCCTGTTTTGCCTCCCCCCGATTGCCTCGACTCGATCAGATGTGCACCAAAAATGCCCGTCGCCATGCCCACCATATGCGCCGTCAGGTCCATGGTCATCTTACCCGGCCGCAACAGCCCCCAGATATGCAGGCCTACAATCAGCCCGAGAAGGCCCAGGCCCTGAGGACCCGCCAGCGGTTCGGGAGGGAAGCCGAGGATCCTGAAGTTCTCGAAGCGGTACCGCCAAAAGTAGGCCCCCATGATGCCGTACACGGCGCCCGAGGCACCGAGCGTCGAGTACATGAGCCTGCCGCGCAGCGTGAGCAGCCACAGGCTCCCCAGGGCGCCCAGCGCGCCGGAGGCGAGGTAGATGGCGAGGAAGTTCCCGCGCCCGACGTCCTCGTGCAGCAGGGTGCCGAAGAGGTACAGCCCGGCCATGTTGGCGACGAGGTGGGTGAACTCGCTGTGGCTGAAGGTCGAGAAGACGAGCGAGGAGGCGCGCGGCAGGCCGTGGACCAGGACGAAGTAGCGGTTCAGCACCTTCCACAGGGGCGGGATGCGCCACAGGAACCAGACGCCCGCGTTAAGGGCGATCAGGCTGGCTATGGTCGCCGTCCCGGCGGACACCTCGGGGAAGAGCCGGTCCCTGTCTGACGGCGGGGTGTAGAGGGCGGCAAAGCCGGCGGCGGCGGCGACGAAGATAAAGACCACAACGGTCCCTGGCAGGAGCCGCTCACAGTGTGTCATCTTGGGCGGCTCTTTCATGTCGGACGTGGCTTGGTCCATCCACTTTTGCATGCGCGGAGAGATCTCCCGAGGCCGGTCGGATAGCTTCGCGAGAGGTCCCGGGTTGGCTTTCTCGCGTTCTTCACGTTCCAGTGCCTCGAGGCGCTCTTGCTCCCGGCGTTTGGCTATGTTCTCAGCACGTATCCTGTCGATCGCGCTCTCTCCGTAGACGGGGTTGGGCTTGGGAACGTCGGGATCGCTCGCTGCGGTGTCGGATACCCCTTCAAGCTCGGCCTGCGCCTCACGCTCCAACTCCCGAAGCTCGTCCTCTGCCCTCAATCCGGCATTGAGCACCTCGTCGACGGGGACGGTTTTCCGTAGATATTCTAATGCTCTATCTTTATCCTGCTGGGTGAACTGCGCCGTGTTGACGTGGAAGGATGGGTCAGATAACGTTCCAGCGACACGTCTCCCGTGTAATATCCTAAGCAACCGGTTGGCGTTCGTCCCCTTAATCCGCGGGCCAAATATCCTTTTGACTTCGGCATCCGTCAAGTCAAATTGCCTAAACGACAGACCCTCCTTGTCTGTGTAATTGTCTGGGAGATCTTCATAGCGGTCGAGGATAAGGGCAGGTCCGGTCGAATAGCGATGATGCCAGGGAGAGCACGGATGGCGCGAAAGCCCCGGCCATGATAAAGCTGGATTAGAACGTCTCGGTAATGGGGTTTTCGGTGTGATGCATGATGTCGACAGCAGACGGTTCGCGATGCAGAGGGCGGCAGACCGGCGTCGCATCCCCCGGAGTCCCAGGTGGAAGACAGTCCGCGATGGGACGAGACCCAATGGGACATTCATGGCCATAGCTCTTGGGATTCACCTCATGACACCGACTCCTGAATCCTCGGGATGTGAGGCGGATCCAATTGTCGTCGTTTCTTGAGTGAAGCTTAGGAGGTGTGGGGATCTCGAGTCGGAAGAGCGTCATGAATTTCTTCTCGTTCGGCGTCGTTCCATAATTACCTTCGGTGGTACATCCGGCTTATCTTATCTATCTATCACCGCCGGGAGCTTCCAACTGCTTACCCCACAAAAGGCAACCCTTCGGTCAACGCGTCCCTTGAGCTATGATGAACCCCTCTATTGTCGAAAAAAAGATGCGTTTCCCACTTCCGCCACCACTGACCTTTCTGCTTCTAATGCTTTCCATTCAGTGCTGAAGGAGAGAGTACGTGACTACTCATCTTGCATTAAATATTCAACAAGTCAACTTCTACAGACATTTCGACAGTCGTCCAGACTTCCTACTCCCCTCTACTCTCATCTGCACCACCTTCCCTTCCTTTTCCTCTTCAGTCCCCTATCTCTCGTACTCCCAAAGCTGGCGGCCGACAAGATGTCACGACCCGCGACAACAGCAGACACAACTCCCATCTCCCCCGACCGTTTCGCGGCCGCTCTTGCCGAACTCTCCATCTCCACCCTCCACCTCAAGCTCCTTGAAATCCGCAACTCCATCTCCCATCTGCGCACGTCCAACATCCAGCTCCTACCCTTCGCCATGGGCACCGAGACCGTCGTAGGAGGCGAACCAGGCGTTCCGGACCCCGACTGCGCCGACGCAATCCGCGAGAACGAAGGCGTCATCGACCGCATGAACGAGAGGGTCCTCCTGATCCGCACCGAGATCGAAACACGGGGCCTCTCGTGGCGCGAGTTCGACGTGGTCGCTGCCAAAGACGAAGAAGACGATCCTGCTGCTGCTGCTTCTTCTTCTGGTCCAGAGGCCAACGCGGAACCCCCCACCGCGAATCACCACGCCCCCGGACGTCCCAACGGCTTGGCCGCTGCCCTGGAAGAGGAGGACCGCATTGCTACCGGGCGCGGGAGGTCTACGGGAGGAGGGAACACGAGCGAGAGTCGGCAGCGAGAAGACGGCGCGCCGGCGAGGCACCCCGCGTGGAGCGACGGGACTTTCCAAACTGGTGTCATTCGCAACGGTGTGCTCCTCTACGACGAAGTACCCCGCCAACGACAGGAGGGCGAGGCTCCTAGCGGCGGCAGCGGCGGCAACGTCGGTAGCAATAACGATACCGAGGGTTACTCCGTCTCGGCAAGCAACGCTGCTCCTACAGGCGGCACGTTGACCGACGAGCAGTTGCGGGGGGCGGTAGAAGAACAAATACGTCGGATGGGAGTTGATGATGATGATTATGGCAACGACACGAACCAAGAGGGGGGATTGCATTTGTAATTGACGACTGGTGTTGACTCGCTTTTGCTGGATTGGGAAATGGTCGTACTACGGGCATGATACCTACTTCAAAGATTATGGTGTGTTTACGGCGTTGGGGAGTCCCACGGAGGCAAAGCCAGCGGATATGCTAAGCTTATGGGATGGCGAGAAGAACGTAAAATCCCAAGGACAGAAATTGAGAGCTCTTTAACCACCTCTAGATGTTCAAGATTCGAACTACACTCTCCTCTGATGGCACGATACTCAACACCACGCTTGCAGACTTTATAGAATATGCTGCTATTGCATACTAATCTCATTCAGAAGGAGAAATACAACAATGCAAAAAGAAAGGGGCTGGAATGAACGAGTGCACCGATGGATGGTTCGAGGGGGGTTGCTCCGGTCTCTCCCCCATAACCACGTAATGGAATCCCCTGTGTCGGTGTGAAGAAGGATACTGCATAGAGAGTCGCTATACGGGACTTCCCTTTTTGCCTTGGAATCTCAAATATCCTAAAACGCCTATCCTTCATACGCCCCAACTTCCAGCGCATCTCGCCAGGTTCTTCAGAAGAAAACACGTAACCAATGCCGGCGCCCGACCCAGAATCCAGAACCACAGTGACTGGAGCAACAAAACACAGACGCTATGCTCTCGGCGACAAATACAGTGATGATGTCGAATATCGGAAAAGACAAATACTAGGGACCAGTATTCCTCCCAGGCTCTAAGCAACCCAGCCCCCGTCAAGACTCGGCTGGCACTGGTGCATTCACGTTCTTGGGATGGAAGGCGCTCAGGTCTGGAGGGCCTTTCGTGGAAGTTGCCAAGGGCACATGCTTTTTTGGCGTCGGTGACGATGGACTCGGTGTAGGTGTGTCAGACTCACTGCCCGGCATGGTCGGCCTTGTCCTCCCGATCGCATTGTCCAGCGAGGCTCTTATTGGCCCTAGCTTGATGCGTTGTATCCGACGCGGCGATGACCCCTTGGTCGGGGCGAGAGAGTAGCTGGGATGTAATGTAGGGGTCTCATGGCCGGTGCCGTTGAGACCGTGAAGCTCCCAAAACCCAGATGTCACACGAGAATGGAGCACAGCCTCGGTGTCGGTCTCCGAGTATAGGTCAGACTCCAACGATAGCCTCCGACCCCGACTAGAGACGGTGGCTCGCCGTGACCTCCTACCGATGAGCACCTCGATCAGTTCAGACTCGGATAGGTCCTCGTGCATGTGTAGATCCGCCTCTTCACGGTGCCCCTTGCCCCCTTGCGACTCTCCGGTGATCCCATCCTGCTGAGGCGGGTTCGTCTTGTTGACCTGGCTGGCTCTATTGGCTCTGTGATCCGGACCGGCCCTGCCCGCCATGCTGTTGACGCTGCGAAGCCGGCTCACGGGGACTCGACCTTCCATGAGTTTAGCAGGCGGCGGCGGTTGCAGCATCCATTGAAGAGCGTTTTTGTGTACGGGGGCGCTTCCCACGATTGGTGGGTGGTAGTCATTGACGGGCGGGTTTTTCGGCGTGAGATAGAAGTCTGTGCGATCCTCCTCGGTGACCTGCTTCTTCGTGCCCAGCTCAGCTTTGATTATGCGGCCCGCCGAGTTTCCTGCCTTGACGATGTTGTCCACGAGCCTGTGGCGCATCTTGGATAAATCATGTCCCCAGAGCTCTTCGTCCTCACGTTGATACCTCTCCTTGTTCCAAACTTCTTCTGTTATAGGAGTGGGAGGTTCCACCGGCGATAATGTCGGGCTCGTGAGGGAGATGCTGTGGTCGCGATTGGAGCTGGTATTGGTATGGGCCAAGCTGGCAGAAGTGCTGTTCCTCACCGTGCTGGCGCTGTTTAGAGCTCTTTGGCTCGTGTTCTTGTTGTGTGTCTTCTTTGGGGGGCGGGGGCCGATATCAATCTCCTCCTGCCAATATGGGTTTGTGTGGAAAGGTAACGGGTGCGGGTACCGTTCGGGCTGCTCCATCTGAATCCGCATCATCTCGTGGCGGTCTTTCTTTGCTTGATGCTTCGCCTTGTGCCGCGCTCTCGATTCGTTGCATGGCGTGCAAGCCACGTAGTAGAAGATGGCCGACTGAATGGCCACGAGGATAGACATGGCTGAGGCGGTGAGCGGGGAACCTGGCCCAAGTTAGGCTCCCGAAGGCTGTCTCTTAATACGAGTCTGTTCCGATGATACACTTCGTCGTGGAACGGCCGTGGAGAAAGCGAGAGATGGGGCTCGTGGGTGAGTGTCGGCATGGGTATCGATCCTGGCTTCGAGTGTCGCTGAAGTGTTGAGCTCGTTGGAAGGGTCGGCGTAGGTTGGCAGATGGACGAGAGAATCTAAGTACGGAGACTCATGTCATGAAGTACAGCGTGCGGCGCCAGATAAAGGCCAATTTTCCCTGAGAAACAAAGGATGTCGTATGCTACAAGGTACCGGCCCCTGAACAGCATGTACAGAAAGAACCCAGAGCTAGGTAGTGCCAAATGACTTCAGCAATTGGTCGTCTGGTCGGGGCAAAGAGAATGGGATGGCAATTGTCTAATTCTCGGGGTCGTGAAGGAAGATCTCGGGGCCCAGGTCGAGAAGTGAGGAAGGGCGTCAATGTGAGGATATCGGAGGGAGGGGGGCAGACGAAGACGACTCGATGTTGCGTGCGTGGACTTTTGGCAAGAACAAAGGAAAAGAATACGGAAAGGAATTCCACGTCAGAATAGGACAAATAAAAGAAGCGAAAGTAAATACGAACGAATTTGGGTAGTGATAGCGAGGTGGGAGGAGAATTCAACGTAAAGAATGATAAAGGGGGGCTCGAAGTGGCTTTGATAACGGTGGTCGTTTTGTTCTTCGAGTCCCAGCAAACTGGGTGCGACCAAAGACGATCTGGGGGGAAGGTGGCGGGAAGCAGAGACCAACCAACAAAGTGAAGGGGACCCGGGTGCCTCTGCTGGTGGGGGACACTGCGCCGCTCTAGGAACGCGAGGCCATTTGCGGGGCTAGGGGGAACAAGTACATATCAGTACTTTCAGCCCGTGTTGCTACGTTGGCTTGCGCCCAGACAGAGGTGTGAGTTGTGTGTGTTGTGGTGGCCTGCCTGGCAACTACGAAGTGTCATTTATTAGTACTAGTATGTACTCGTACTCTCCATCATAAGGGGTCCTACGGAAACTGGCCCCCGACCCGCTAGTCTCACTGTGCTCCGTAGCATCTCCAATGTGACAAGGTGGTAGGCGGGATCGGAGGATGGGGAACACTTGGCAAGACAGAAATGGAGGGTCATGGATAATTACGTTGTACTTGAGAATGAAAAGCGAATGCCCCATTCGCCTTCCACTTTCGTCATCAAAAGTCTCTTCGTCCGACTTTGCTCAACACTGACGAATATATCGATACGAGACGTACGTATAAGGTAGCCAAGGATCCAGTTGGTGCTGCTGTTGCTGTGCCTGCACCTACCTAATTGTTTACCTACTTCTTATTATCCGCCCATAAAATTGCTGTATCAAACACCTCCGTACTTCCAATCCCTCGGCCGTTCTTCCCCTCTTCCCCTCTTTCTCTCTTCCCGCCAACATACATTACGCGGCTCCGGATGGAAGACGCCTGAAGTCCCGCCTCGTTCCGTTCGCGTGTTTACCCGGTTCTCTGCCGCAGAAGACGACGTGGAAGCTATTCGTAGGTGCGTACCTCACAGTATGCCGAGAGAGTGCCATCCTCGAACACAGTGAGTCCATGTTCTCCCGGGAACATGATGTCAACAGATGACAATCATGGTGTTTTTAGTGGTATTTTGCCCTTGCTTTTACTGAGCACCTAACTCGTAGGCTGGGGCACTAGCCGCCCCATCTTGATTTTACGGATACACAACCTACCTTACCTTGAACTTGACGGCTCTGGCAGACGAGGTGTCTCGAATGTACTCCGTAGGCGAAATCTCGGCATTGCTCACAGGTACCTCTTTGTCTCTGTGACTGACGATCGATTGGCTTCTCCTACCTAGGTAATTGGCAAACAGGAACAAAACATTCAATTCTGCGATTAGAACTCTCTTCAGTTCTAAACTATACCGCCCTTCAAACCCACCGGTCCACCACAATGTTAGCGGACTGCTAGATTGCGACTAGAGCGCGATCCTGATATGGCAAAATAAACACCTCAAATTTCAACACCGTCAAGGGCAAGATGGCCGAGTTGGTTATGGCGCCAGGTTAAGGTCACCTTAGCATCTCTTCCTGGTGGGGCAACCCTCGTGGGTTCAAATCCCACTCTTGTCATTGAATATATCTTTTTGTCCCATTCGACGTTCGTTTGCGGAGTACTCTAAGCTCCCGAGCCCCATCGTACCGTGGGGGGTTTTTTTAACTTTTCTTTTTTCTTCAAACGTCGCTATATTTTTCATCTCGTTGGTTTGGCTGGAGAGCCGACTTACACGGCTAGTGCAGACACTCTGTTCCATGACGAGGACCTGCGGATAGATGCGTTGGTAGGCCGATTTAAACACCAATGGATCAAGGATGCTGTTAATAAAGAGGATTTCATCAAATGCTCAAGCGGAAACATAGTCGCAGATGATTGAAGAATTCTAGATGTCAGACAAGACGCCGGTGGACAAGTGGCAAACCACGGGATAAACAAGTCAAGGAGTGTCCGGGAGACCAGCTGGTGATTAGAATTTCCCACTCTAATAATCCCTATATGCTCGTGGGACACGGGCGAGTTGCTACCTGCAGTATACCATAGTATTTTAGTTGGTAGATGGATAACTACCTAACTGAGCGATCTTTAACTCTTATCTGCTCTACCCCTGAGCATTTTATGCCCGTACGGTTCACTTTGTGACAGTTCTACGAAATTCAATACAATGGTTACGCAGCTCTCTTCGCTATTGACTAAGGTATTCGGATTAATAATTATCTCTTGATAGATACATTTTGCAGGGCGCGCTTGGCTAGGAGGCACAAAGACGTGGATTGACTTGAGGTAGGCCTATCCCATCATATGCCCAATTGCAGCAGTCGTTTGCATCTATCGGCGGCAGGATGGCCGAGTTGGTTATGGCGCCAGGTTAAGGTTACCTTAACATCTCTTCCTGGTGGGGCAACCCTCGTGGGTTCAAATCCCACTCCTGTCAACATTCAAGCGTTCTTTTTTGTTTGTTTCGGTTTTTTTTTGCTGGCTTGTCCTGTTCCCGCAACTCGCAGGTCTGATTCCTAGTGCCTTATTTGTCTCGTCTTCATGCCCTCCTTAGTCTGGCTATGGCTTGTAGGCACCTCTGATGACTTGATTTTTTGATATGACGTTGAACTAGAACTACTTAATACCATACCACTGGTTCATGGCTCGTAGTCTCACGCGGAATCAAGGACGATATAACGGAGAGCTTGTGACAAGCGGAGTAGACTGACAAAGAAATATAGAGAACTTTTTCTAAGCTAACAGGTTCGAATCGCTCAACACTTTCTGTGCGCGAGTGCTTCGGCACCGCGTCCTCGTACTCCGTCCAATGGACTAGGACGTCGTTGGACCGGGCTTCGAGGCATCCGAACAGAAGAGTCGAACGACCCGGAGAGGCGATATAGCGAGCGAAAAGTGAAGTGAGTACAGATACGGCAGGCCGCGCCACTCTTTTCCCCCAAACTCAAAGATCCTATCATCCAAAAGAATACGAGCAACGACCAATAAAACCTCCGTCCCGAAAGCAGCAGTCCAGTCGAACTGCAACCCGTCCCCAGGCCATTTAGCATCCCTTCTCCAGGGGGGCAACTGATCCGACGTTCCCGCAACTGATGACGGTTGTGCGTGTGTGTGTGTGTGTGTGTGTGTGTGTGTGTGTGTGTGTGTGAATGTTGTACAAGATGGAAAGTAAAGTCCTCTGCCGCCCGCAACGGATTTTGCGCACATGATTTCGGCCCTGCGACTTAGACATCCCACTCCTGCTCCTCCTCCTGGTCATCAGCAGCATTGCCACCTTGGACAGTCAGAGCAGCAAACGAGCCGAGCGACTGTGCGGACTTGGCCCGGTTTCCATTGACGGGGACCGACGGCTTGACGGAGGCCTGTGCGGCAGGCTTGGACTCGGCTGCGGGGGCGCTGGCTGCCTCCTTAGGCGCGCTGGTCTTCTTGCTCTTCTTGGACGACTTGGTAGGGACAGTGTTCCATTCTTCCTCTTCGCTCTTGAGCATCTCCATCTGTTCCTCCTCGGAGGGAATGGCCGTGATCCAGCTCTCATCCAGTTTGGCCGGAGCTGACGACTTCTCGGTCGAACCAGGGCCGTTGGTGGCAGGTTCTTTCGGGGCAGCGTCGCCACTGGAGGGCTCAAAGGTGTCCAGGGGTTGGACGGCGACGGTGGTGCCGTTGGGGGCGCCGGAGGTCCAGGCGGACTTGCCACCGTTGGCAGCGGCCATGAACTGCGAGCCGTCCTTAGCGGGGATGCCAGCCGCCTCGCGGGCCGCGCGACGCTGCTTCTCCATCAGAACCTTGCGCTCCTTCTCTTCGGCTTCGCGAATGGCTTTGCGCTCCTCGGCCTTTTTCCGATTCTGGCGCTGCTTCTTCGATTCTGGTTTTGTCGCTTCGGACGACTTGGTCGCCTTCCGGGCTTGCTTCTCCTTGTCGGTGTCAGTCAGTCGAAGGACCGAGGGACCGGAGGGAGCCGGTTCAAGCATATCGCTGATGCCGGCGGGATCGGCGGGTGCCACCTCGGGAGACGCGACGGAGGAGGCGACGGGGGAGGCGTCGTCATCGGCATCGACACCGCCAGTTGAAGACGGAGCCGACGGTTGCTCCACCTTCACGGCGTCCAAGTTGGCGGCCTCGGCAGCCCGGGACTGCTTGACAGACTTTTGCCGCTTCTTGTCGTTGCCAGCTTTGGCGGCAAACTTTTTGCCCTCTTGCACACTGGCCATCATCTTCGCAAAGTCCTTGTTATCAATAGAATCATCGGGTTCATTGTTAGACTGCGTAACAGTTGAGGCAGACGGCTTGGAATTGGGCGCTTCGGCTTGAGCTTTTTGCGCGGTCGAGGTGAAAGTTTCCTGGCGTTGCTTCTTTGCTCGTTGTTGCTTTCGCGGAGCAACATTGGGGGCAGGCGACTTTGGCTTTGGTTTCGCGGTCGCGTAATTCTTCTTGTAGTACCGGTAGCCTGCCACACCGGCGACAGCAAGAACGGTTGTCCAACCACCCACGAAGGAGGGTGTCAGATACTCTGAAGTAGGCATGGTTGAATATTGTAGTGATTTTGTAGAAGGACCGTTTGAGAGAGTGTAACGAAAATGGCGATAGCTCTAAGCTTGCAGTACTGGGACGTCGAATTGTTACTGTGATGGAAATCACAGGCAAGAATCCTTGAGCAGAAGCCGATGGATGTGCGCAGATAAGGTAGTTGGTGGCAAATCGTGATAGGAGGCAGAAACTTTGACCGTTCCGTGCGGTCTGTTGAGCGAGCTTGGAGATTTATCGGGAATGCTGCTTAAGCTTAAGGAACAGATAGTAAACGGCTGAAAGTTCTTGGTGTTTCGTAGTCGGCTGTGGGAGGCTTTATTAACAAGCTGTCCAAAGGTTTCTTAACAGATCACCTGGCAGTTAGGAGGGTAGGTAAAGCATAGGAAAAAGCATGTGCGCGCGGCTTGAATTGTCAATGCAATAAAGGAAATAAGACCCTCAGGATAGGCAATTGGGTGGTGGTTAGAGGGGCAAGGAAAAAGATGAAGGGAGAATCAAGGGCGATCGGCAAGAAGGAAAGTGGTGAGACGTTTGAACCACGCGGTTGAGGGTTGATGGGCTGGAATTCGTGTCCAGAGTGTAGCTTGGCAGATGAGGACAAAAAGCTAATGCGGATCATAGGGGGTGCAGCAGCGAAAGGTGTCATCTTCCCTTCCAGGCGACCTGGGCCGGAGCAGTGCGGATCGGTCGCAGGCCACGGCCCAGGTGGCCTAGGTGATCAACCAGTGTGGAAAACCGACCAGGGAGCCCCTGTACGGAGCGGCAGCATGCAATGTTACCTCGTACCTATGTGCATGCAACGTACATACCTAATGGTCGTGGGTGGGAGCGACGGGAATGAAATAAAGAAACTCCTACTTACTTCTGGAAATCACGATGACTGCTTAAGGAGACTAAGGTGGAGGTTTGTTGACTGATCAGTTTGATATTGGAAATCTGAAGATGTGGTGGGAGGATGAAGATGGCTACCTGATACAAGTACTACAAGTGACATCCTCTGTGGTGACTTCGTACAGTAGGTATCACAATACAACTTTCTGCTTAGTAAGGTACGTACTCCATACATACTACTCGGTGGTGGCTGCTTATAGTTGGAAGTAAAATAATAGCAATACGGAGTAATAATCAGAACTTGATATGATTAAGGTAGGGAACATTGAATATACGGAGAACTTATTAGGCCCCGTTCGCGAAAGCTTATAAGATAGGAAATTCTCCTATCGAGGCGGAAAAATACATAACTTATAACCCACCGATAGCATAAGGACCCCTTTTATATAATATTTTCAGTGTAACTGTATTTTTTATGCATCCATCTATTATCCCCCTATTATCGAAGTACCACACTAGGCAGGGGGCCATAGTAGGAGGAAAACTTATAAGATAGGAGGATTTATACATAATCTCTTATTAGCATCCAAAAGGTAGTAATAACGTAAAAACTCATAAGATAGGCTCCGCAGTTAGCCGCGCCGTGGCTAATAAGGCTAATATTAAAGCTATTCCTAACGACGACGACGAAGCTATACTAGAACTCGATATAGTAGTATTAGTGTTAATCCTTTATCGAATTCAAGTTACTTAGTAGTAAAAGAGGCGTAGAAATATCTCTTCGTAATAGCACTGTAACGGTCCTGCTATCACGTTAAGTATAATAAGCAGGTTATTAATCGGGTCCGAAAAAGTATTCTAAGACCTATTTAGACTTAGTTAGCGCGAATTTTATCACCTAATAGGTTAGGTAATATTAAATGGTATAATTAAAGAGACTAAGTACTATATAGTTTCGTAGAAGGTTATACTCTTTCTATATATTATCGGTTATAGCGTATCCCTACGCAATATATACCACCGGTTTAAGATATTCTTAAGTATAGGATCGGGTATCTTTAACGAGGTCCTAGATACGATACGTTAGCTTTATATCGAATACGTTAAAAGCCCTCTATCAGGATACGTGTCGCGATATATCGAACTATCGCCGCGTAATAACCAGTTCAATAGTTATATTGGAGTAATCGATAGCACTTATATCGCTACGTCGGTGCTACCTAGGTTATAGCGGCGGTTCTATAATCGGAAAGGATAACTTACTTAAAATATCCTCGCGGTAGTCGATTTTAACCTCTACTTCACGTATATCCTAGCTAGTACCGAGGGTAGTATAAACGACTCTTCGTTACTTCGCGAGGCACTTACTAAAGGGTCTTTTCATATACCTAATAGGCGGTTCTACCTCGTAGATAATAGGTTTAGCAGTGATATCCGAGGTATTATAACCCCGTTCGACGGCGAGAGGTATCACCTTTAAGATTTCTCTAAAATGGCAATTATCCTTAAAGAAGCGGTTTAATCGCCTCCACGCTAGGCACCGTAGTGCTATTAAACGCGTTTTTAGGATTTTAAAGAGGTCTTTCTAGATTATTAGAGGTAAGGCACCTGAATATAGCCTCGAAAAGCAGGTAGAGATCGTATACGCTATAACTAGTATCTAGAATTTTATTAGGGGTATACGCAGTAATATACTAGTATTAGATTCGCCGTTAATATCCTCTAGACTTATAAAAGAAGAAGAGGAGTAGCTATTACGGCTAGCCGCAGAGCGTGCCGACTATAATATCGGTAAAAAGGGCGGATTAGAGATATAATACCAGATATCTAAGATAATAGAATAGTAGTAGTAGTTATATAGAAAAGAGGTTATTATTATTAAAGTAAAAGGACGATATCGATATATTTATTAAGTAGTATATAGATTACTACGGCGGAAGGAGCAGAGGTATACCCCTTACTAGTCCGTTTTAGGTAGGCGGTAAACACTGCCAGCTAATAAAATCCATAGAAAATAAGACTAATCCGAATCCAGATCCACCTTAGCCCTACGCCTACTACCCTTACTCTCACTACTATCACCACTATTACCACCTCTCCTAATAACCTTTTCTTTTATTAAACCGTGCTTTTTTAATAACGCTCTTTTTGTATCCTTTTAAACGCTATTAAATAGCGTTATCAGGTTAGGATTTTCTATTAGGAACTCCCTAGCAGTAATAACGCCGTTAACGCCGCCTAATTCCTCTAGAAACTCGCTCTTATATATAGTAACGGCCTTGCCGTAATTCTCTGCATTTTAACGTGCCGATAACGTAACTAACCCGGCCAAAAAAGGGTCGATAGGTGAGTCTTCCTTCTTACGATAGCGCCGTAAAGGTAACGCGTTATCGAGTAGATCGTTACGAGGAATAGGCGTCGCCCATGAGGAATTAGCACCACTACTATCAGGATTCTATTACTAACTAGGCCGAAGGCACTTAGTAGGCGGCGTTGATGCTACATGTTACTAACGCTTGCGTTATTAATCTAACTCGTGAACGTCGGCGATATTCTGGCTAGTAGCGATAGTATCAGGCTATATAAGCTTTAATAGACTATTAATCTATCGTAGGCCTCCGCATTTTCGAATACGCTTACCGACGTCGCCGAATTTAGCTTCGAATATATCCCACTACTCGTCGCTCACGTCGATTATACCGCTTTTATCGTCGTAGTTATTAACACCACTCTTCCTAATAAGCGTAAGGGCCGTACGCAGGTCTCTTTCTATATATTCGAGCTTTACGATTATCGCCTTAACTAACAGGTTAGCTATAGGGTATACCTCTTATATACTAGGTAAGAGCTCTATCAGGATAGCCTGCTTCGCTGACTTCTTATTGCTTATCGCGAATAGGGCGTTATCGCGACGAGCTATAACCAGGCGTGTAAGAAGATCGCGTTCGATATAATCCTTCTAATACACACGCGTTAACTTCTTTTTAGACGAGGAAGTATTAGTCTAGGGATTCGAGAGGCTCTAAGAGGTGGGATTTTAACTATTTACGCCGTCTTCGGATACCTTGTCGTCGCTAGAGATATTATCTCCTATAGTATCCTGCGTTAGCTGCGTATCATGCGTTGGCTGCGTATCCTGCGTTGGCTGCGAGGGCGATATATCGATATCCCACGGATCCGGTATATTATCAAGGGAGCCCTCTATGATCTGTTCTACACTAATATAACCTAGGGTCGATATAGCGATGAAAACAGTAGTCGTTCTGATATTCAATTACAGTAAAATGAGTGTGTTTTTTTATCTAAGTGACTATACCCCGTATTCTACGGATTCGGATCGATATTCCTCCGAGGGATAATTCATTTTTTACATAAAGAGATATATCAAGGGCACGGACTAGCGTCGAGACAGCGCCTTGGCTCTATTTGTAACTTTCACAAAAACCTCCCAAAAAACCTCCTATCTTATGAGCTTTCGCGAACGGGGCCTTAGGTAGATTGGAATTCTACTCAGAAATACTACGTGTAGAGTATATCATACCTTTCCAGTATTTTGGTTTGTGTCCGTATCCGTACCTTTTACTTGGAAGAGGAAGGTGATTAGTTAATCACGTGAAAAACGTATGACTAACAGCTACCACGATATGTTTTAAAACTCCTGGGGAGGTGTAGAAGGAGAAATGGTTGCTTTTTTGGACCTAGTGCCGCCTTATTATGAGGTGTGGTTCCTCACATCTCCACGAAACCCCCACTTTAAGTGTCGTTTTGTGAGGAAGTTGTGGTGGAACACCGTCCAAGTCCAAGCACGAGGCAAAACTTAGGAGGGGGTTGTTGGTTTGATCAAGTAGGATTTATCCTGTTTCTATCTCTTCTATCTCCATTCTCCGCAGGGCGAGTTGGAGCGCGATAAGAACAAGCCGCCGGGACCCGGCCAACTCCGCGCCCCCCCCGCCCCAGCCCCGTTTACCCGGCACTCTATCATCTCGTACCCCGCGAACTGGATGTCCACGGTCATCCCGACTGTCAATCTCGTCTCTGTTTAAAACAGCTGGTTCGCGCTGAACTTCTTTGTCGTCGGATCGCAACACGAGTAGTCGTACTTCCGTATCAAAGTTTTGGCACTTAATCTGGAAGTTCCTATCGCCAAGGGATTGTTTGCGTGACAAACATACGGCATAGCTCTCTTTAGTCTCTCGTCCAGACTTCATATCGCTTTCGACTATCGACTGTTTGGCCCCCTCCCTACCTTACCTACGCCATGGTCCCCAATCGCATCATCATCGACACCGACCCAGGTAGGTGCCACGCTACTAGCGACCATGCCTCTTCCGGACTCGAAGGGCAACATGGAGACTAACACCAAAGCTAGGCGTTGACGATGTCCTCGCCATGCTACTGGCGCTCTCCGCTTCCCCAGAGGAGCTCGAGGTCGTCATGCTCTCCGTCACGTATGGTAACGTGGCTCTGCAGAGGTAAGGATACCCCCCTTGACTTAAATACTTCTCGACTCTCAAAATTTCGCCTCGTTGCACAAACCACAAGACATACTGATGCCCTGAAGTTGCCTAAAGAATGTCGTTGCTCTTTTCCACGTGCTAGAAAAAGAGTTCGCATGGCGGAAGGCCACCGGAAGGCCCGAGAACTTTGAGACACTCAAGTCGCACAAGCCCATTGTGGCTGTCGGGGCTGAGCATCCGTTGGAAGAGGAACAGCTCATGGCGGACTACTTCCGTACGTGACAAGTCAAAAAGCCATGGAATAGGGGTTTTTTTTTGGACTTTCAGGCATGGCAACAGCTAACTTGCATTTCGTCCCATTTTGTAGACGGCGTGGATGGGCTCCATGGAGTCCATGAAGAGCACCCTCATCTTAGCCCAGCCGACACGTGGAAGTCCCTCTTCCACAAGGATTCCCCGACTCTGGACCATGATCCGTCGCCGTACTCCAAGTACTTCACTCCGGCCAAGGAAGAGGCTCACAAGGAGATGCTCCGCATCCTGAGGGAGAGCCCCAAGGACACCATCAGCATCCTCGCCGTGGGGCCGATGACGAACCTGGCCCTAGCCGCTGCCGAGGATCCCGAGACCTTCCTCCGGGTCAAAGAAGTCGTGGTGATGGGCGGCGCCATCGCCGTGGAGGGCAACATCACGCCCGTGGCCGAGTTCAACACGTATGCCGACACCGTCGCCGCCGCCCGCGTCTTCGCCCTCACCTCTCCCAACCCACAGTCGACCATGCCGCCCATCTCCGAAGCCCGCTCGTCTCTGCCGCCGTACCCGACCAAGCTCTCCCGCCGGCTGAAGCTCACGCTCTTCCCCCTGGACATCACGACCCCGCATCTCCTCAAGATGAACTACTTCACGGAGCGGATCAAGCCGTTCGTGGAGGCCGGCAGTCCCCTGGCCGTCTGGGTCGACCACTTCCTGGGCGGGACGTTCCGGAAAATCGACTCGTTGGAAGGCAACGGCGAGGAGCCGGGGCTCTCGCTGCACGACCCGCTCACCGTCTGGTACGCGATGACGCTGTCGGACCCGGCCTGGACGCCGACGCCCAAGCTGGAAGACATCCGGATCGAGACCACGGGCCAGTGGACGCGGGGCATGCATGTGGTGGATCGCAGGATACGAGCGAAGCCCGGTGAGGCGGCTGCCGAGGTCATCGACGCGGACGAGGGCGACGTCGACGCGTTGACGCTCGACGAGGCACCGGGCGACACCATGGGGTGGTTGAGCGTGAAGAAGGGCAATAGGATTAACCGGATCATCGGGTCGCCAGGCGAGTCCGTTTTCGCCGAGTATCTGATGAAGAGGGTTTTCGCCTAAGTCGGAGAGATTTGTTGCGGAATGGAATTGAGTGGCTTCTTCTCGGTTCAGTGTCAGCACAGCGAGCTCGCGATCTAGAGAGGCGTGGAGGAAGGAAGGCATGGCATACCCAGAGTGCATCCAGTATCATTGATCTACCACACCAATACCAACGCCTGCTTCCCATATGTAGAACAGCAGAGGCCTAGCATCTGCCGTTGGGTATATATCCAGCTCGAATAGAAAGCACTGAAGAGGAACGAAAAGAGCATACATAGCATCGTGAACAGCCCAGCCAGCCCCAGCCCAGCCCCCAAACCTCGCATAGGATCTAGATGTGTTTTATCCCCCCAATGGCTGAGCCCTTAACCTCAGACCAGTTAATGTCGCTGTCTAGCTTTTCGTCGACGAGGCCGACGGTGCAGACGTTGTCGCCTCGCACCATGTAGAGGCCGAGTGGGACTTCGACAGAGGGCTCTCCGCTATCCGGCGTCTGGATGACCCGTTCGTAGGTGTTTGTGAGTGCCTGTTTGCCCACGAGCACTTGTTAGCCTAGCCCAGCCTTGGAGATTTCTATGCCATGTGGGATGCAGCGCCGCATGGCCTTCCGTAGCCGGATGCAAAGGTCAAGGACGTACGAGGTTGGTGCTATTGTCTGCGGCTACTAGGTTGCCCACGAGGATTCTCGAGTCGGCCGTGATAATCAGAACCTTTTCTAGAAGCCCGTTAGCAAGAGGCAACCGAGAGAGGGGTCTCCTATGAAGTCGGGAGTTGGTGCTGACGACGTACTGTTCAAGTATCCTCCGAGAGAAGCCATGATGGTGGGAGAAGGGTTGCTTCCTTGAGGCTTTTGATCTAGGCAGGAATGAATCCGGCCCAAGAAGAACAATAGGGGTCTTTGTGGGATAATCAAGACAAGAGTGTGCAGAAGATTCGCATATATATTCAATATAAACGCTTCGATGTCAGTGGGTTGGTTCGTTAAGGTAAGGTATGTTCTCTTTCGCGATATGTGATTGTTGGGAGAAGCTCCGTCACTCGAGATTACAGGTACTACCCAAGGCTAAGGTACCTTACGGGAGCCACTTTTTGAGAAAGAAATGCGTGGTACAAAGTAATTCGAAGTACTCTTGGCGCCGCACACGATTGTTGGGTACCGTACCTTGGGTATGGCAATCCGTACAGTAGGTACGTACTTAGTTAAGTACCTTACTTACCTAAGTCACCTCACGCGCTCGAGGACGCGGTCGAGAAAGACTTCAACTCTTCACCACTTCCATCGCCATGCCGTATATCTACTGCGAGATAGCGTCACCTACAACACCTTAATCTCCAAAGGCTAGCGGGGGTTGAAATCAAAGGGCCAAGAATATCGACAAGAGCAGACCGTCTATCATGTCATCAGTAACAGAAGATTCGCCCTCCATCTACGCGGAACTTCTACCCAATATCCGTCAAGTCTCCATCGCCGTGTCGCTCCCTTCCCCCGCAGACCCCGCGACAACCGTGGCCGAGGTTTCTTCGGATGGCTCTAGAATCCAGGTTCGCCACGGGAGCTCTCTGAAAGAAGTTCTTCTCCCTGGACCCGTCTCAGCCCCGTCTGTACTGCCTGTCCCGAACGGCCGGCAACCTGGTGCGACATCACTTGCTTGGCGCCTGCCCCTATCGGCCTCTGCCCCTTCTTCCAGTGTGCGAGACGAGCTGCTGCCCGCTGTGCCTTGGAGTGCGCGCGACCTCGTGCCCCAGTCCGCCGTGTCATGTCGGACATGCCACCGGGCCCTGGTGCCGCCCGGAAGGCTTCAGGTATGGAAAGATTTGCCTAGTGAGAACTGGGCCGAAATGATGGATTTCTGGCACTGCCATAAGCCGCACGACCACAGCCATGGTCATGGTCATGGTCATCATGCCCATGGTCATTCACACGCAAACGGGAATGATGGAGCTCAAATTGCTGGACGGAATCAGGATGATGACCATCTCACCAAGCGAGGCTATGGGGCCAACTCGTCCATTGCAGCCCAGCTTGGGGTCGGCTTTGTTGATCTCACTTCGCTTCTCCTTGCTGAGGAGGACTGTACCGGACTCGACGTAAGTATTTACCCTTCCCCTTCCGGTCATTTCAAATCACAAGTGCCTCTGGTCGGAGCTATAAGAAGGCGGCCTTGCCCAGGACCTCTCGGTCTTGATCCCTATGGTCTGGCCACCGATACCCAGCTCCAAGATCAACGTCTTCGTCCTCCCTGCTGCCGTATTTTATGTGCAGCAGGCTGGTTGAAAGCTATCTGGTTGGAAGTCTCATCTCGAACCCCCGTTTCTGTTCACAGAGCTGGTTGAGGTTCATTTGATTTCCCGGCCAGAAGGCGCCCTCTTCCTTTCACTGTGACCTTCAGAGAGGTGATGGTCGCTGGATTATGAGGAGAGACATGCACATTGTGGTAGCAACCTCAACACTAATAGATTTGACTATCATTCCCTCCTGCGTTCTCCTCTTTTCCTGATCTCGTGCTTTCTTCCTCTCCTATCATATGACCCTGGTGCGCATACGTTATCAATGTCCTACCCACAGTACTCACAATATTTTCGCAGTACTCTCTTTCTCATGTGGAGGCAAAGCACAGAACCAGTTCTGAGGCTCTGAAGTCTGTCCAAAATGGGACTTCGCTTCCTCGCTTACTTCATGTCTGTTGCTCCAACTGCAACTCTCACTTGGGCTTTTTCAACGTTTCGATTGCGTCGGTAGCCCTCTTCAAATGGAAAGTCGACTGCCGGACGTCTTCTCCCTGCCCGCCACCTACAAGCTCGGATTGCCTAGCCGCCGCCTTGCTCGCAACCCTGTCCCGCTCGGGGTCATCCAAATCGGTCATCATACCGACGATAGCGTCCTTGCAGCATGTTGCCACCAACAGCAGCGCATCCGCGGCCAACGGAGCAAATGGGACCGGCCCTTCTATTCCCCTCGCGTTGAACATCTGGATCCTCAATGGAAACATCGTCTATTCGTCCACCAAGCGTGAAGGAAGACCCCGTTCGGCGCTGAAACTCTTCTATAGGCGTATTCCCCAAGAAGAGGCCGACAAACTGCTCGACTCTTTCACCTCGGGCGTGCAAGAGGTCAACCTTCCAGTCGAAGCCATCAAAATGGCGGCCGACGCATTGGAGCAGACCAGTCTATTCCTGCCCCCCAGCGAGAGGGCCTTCAAGGACTGGCAGGTAGGCCTTTTGGAAAAGTGGACTGGGTAATCAGATTGGATTGCAGCAGTGAAAAGTAAAAAAGAAGGAAAGGGGGGAAAGGGGGGAAAGGGGGGAAAGGGGAAGGAGACACCGGAGAGCCAGCATCCAATACACACCAGCTACACCGGATGAGAAGCTGCGACTGGACTTACGATTTGGATCTCACTGCTTCCCCTCGAATGGGCAACGACTACAAGGCAGACCGCTGCGACCCCTTCCGTGTCTCGTCCATTCCAAAGCAGCATCTAGGACGATAAATATAACCTCGCAATCACGACATCCTTTATACGGGACTGGGGCCACCTCACCCCATCTCTTTCTGGTGGTCCACGGCGATTAGCACCAAGGCAACACACCTGAGCAATCGAGCTAGTCTTCGGGCTTCCGCCGTCTCCTCGCCTACAACGTCTTACCTGGTCAATATAACTTGATACAGTGCCTTTAGCATTTGTCTCTCTTTTTGCCTCCACACTCCATGTTCCTCATGGCCATGCCGCCCCCGATGCTCAACTATCAACTTCCGTCGCCCACCCCCGATGAGGGCGACCCATCTTCCGACTCGCAAAAACCCGGTCTCATCCGTATACAAATCACCCGCCGCCCTAATTGCCGTACCCGAGGGGAGCAGAGCGTCCTCTATACGAGCGGTCGCGTACGCGTCCTGTCCCGCTTTGCCACGGGAAGCGACGAATTCATTGTCGTCCTCGACAAGCCTGCTGCCACGGCGTCTAGTCCGCCAGGGACATCTACGCCTCTCTACTTCTGCTCCGACGGCAGCCTTCCCGACGAACAAGAACGACGCCTCACGACGCCGCCACCCGTCTATGCGGCTTCGCACGACCACCCCTCGACGCACTTTGAGGCGGATCCGACCACCGACCCGAACGCGTCTCTGCTCCTGGACTTGGCTCCCCTGGAATCGAGGAGAGCCAACCCGGCCCAAACATTCGACGCTATCGAGGAGGGGCTGGGGGTTCGTAGCGGCTCGCGTGGCTCTTCGGAGGGCGGACAGACGCGAGCCGGGCAGTTGTGTCCGTGGTTCCGGACGAGGTTCCCCGATGGTAGTGCCGGGCGCTCCCGCTCGCCACCACGCCGAGACGGTGTCAGGATGAACAGTCGGAGACGACAATCGTCGCAGAGTGTAGAGTCATGGGAGTCGTGGCTCACTGTGGCCTTTGTGTGCGCCGCGATTGGCTTTACCCTCATTGGTCTTGGCGCTAGATACGCTCTCAGGGGTTACTATTGCCCGTGAGTCCAGGAAGAGGCTGGCGGGCTAATAACCAATTACTCCTCGCACCAACTGAGGGGATTGGAAGGGATACCTGAGGTACTCGCAGATAGGAGATGGAGGTTTACCTTACCTAGCCGGGCGAGTATCGTTTATTGATAGTATACATTACAGAATAGAACTAGCAATCAGCTGCAGAGACGAGGTAACCCCCTAATCAAGGCCCCTCCCATTAAATTCTTTGACGCCGTCGCATCACAGACGCTAGAAACACATCACAACTAACACTGCTTTCGCCAAGTTGAGGTGTGGCTTGTTTGCTAATTCCCCCCCCGTCTTGTCGAGTGTGAGTTCAAAGCAAGGGAGATACACATCTTCTGCAGAGTCAGATACCTTGTATGCATGCGCTGTTAAGAGCTTTGGCGAAATAGGAAGGTATTGGGAAAGACAGCACAGGTTAACAAGACGAGCAAGCAAAGGAAGAATTGGCGTTGGTGACAAACTTGCTAGGACGACACGGTCATCGCCGTTCCAAGGGATTTGGGAACTGTCACGTTTTCCAAGAGCTGCATCTCCGGTCACATCACTATCTAATAGGACCACGTCTCATAATTACTACTCTGTATGATATCCAGAGTATCCAGAGACATCCTACAACGTACGTCAAGTAACGAGGGCTTTTGTTTCTCTTTGGGCGTGGGGAGCTAGCCATCCCGGGGGATTGGTTATCTGTCGAACACCAAAAGTTCATTGGGAAAAGGGCAGAATGCCTGCCATATGATCAGTCACTTCCCGTCGGGTCAGCATCAGGGGTAGTAGTGTACGTTGTAGTGGTGGTGTGTGGTGGTGGCGGTGGTGGTGGTGGTGGTGGTGGTGTGGACGCTCCTTTGGGAAAGGGAATCCCGATGCTGGGGGTGTTTGTTGTGCTTTTTCGAAAACCCCGGCCTCGGGTAAGGTCCCCGCGAGGACGGAACGTGGACGGATGACTCGCAGCCGCAGGGAGCGCCGTAGGGAGAGAGGCCGGACGCCATGAGACAGACGCGCTGTCGTCCCAGCCCCTGCATGATCCGGGTCAGTGGCTGGCGTTACAACGTGGGCGTGAGATGGGAGGCTGGCCAATGGAAACGACACCGGAATCGGCCCTTGCCGATGATGATGATGATGATGATGATGATGAGGTGCGAAGAATCATTGCTTCTTGCGTCTGCGTCTGTCGGAACGAACACACAATACATACAATACATGTAACCAATATAGGCTGTTGAGGGTTAAGGTATGGACAAATGATGACGACCCCGAGGACTAGGTTCGTGAATGCAAGGCTACCTACCAACTACCAACTGCCAACGGTCCATGTCGATGTCCATGTCGGGCATATTATTACAGATCCGAGAAAAAGATGAAGACTCGTTTCTTTGTTAGGATGCGTGCTTGGCCTTGAACCGGAAACTTCCCCGTCTTTGTTGTTTACATGTACTGTACCATTCGCATTGTTATCCCATCTTTCACCTCTTGCAGTAGCACGTCGAAACGCACGTAATGATCTCGCTGTCTCACCCCACATGTCCGCAGCTTACAGGAGTGGAAATGAAAGGGCCGCGTGCCCACCGGATATTCTGGGTGACTGATACCGCGGAATCGGAGTCGATGGGTCGAAACACGGGAAACGAGTAAAAAAAAGGAAGGGAAAAGAAAAACAAGGGAAACGACGGTCACGGAGGAAAGGGAAGAGGCTTGTCAGCTTTGAGCTTGGACGAAGGAGCAACTCTCTTTCCCCCCTAACCCTAATGGGGTTCTAGGAGGGCGAGGATCCCACGCGTCCAGGACCAGGACCAGGATCCCGGGCCCTGGTCCACACATCCGCGGGTCATTCACTGAGCGGTGGGGGGGGGAGAGGGTGACGAGGGTGACGAGAGCAAAAAGGACCCAAGACCCAAGAGACAGTGATGAAACTCCCCAAAATGGACTGATATGCTCATCCATCAGCGAGCAGGGGGAGGGAGATCGGAAGTGCCCGAGGTTCTTCCACGGGCGTACCCTGCTCTGAAGAATTTTCAAGTCTGAGAAAACGTCATGGAAGATCACTGGCGAGAAAAGAGGAACGAGGCCGAAGGGCTGATCTCTTTCGGAGAGGGCGAGGAGCCCTTGCCTCGCCCGAGGGGGCGTAGATAGTGTGACGACTGGAATTCTGCACAGGCAAGGGGCTACTGTAGCTACTGTAGCTACTTTATGATAATGGCTTTGTGACAAGAGTCTCGACGGGTCGGAAGTAAAGGCGTTCAATAGATGTTCTTTATCACTCTGGGGCTGTTGAGGACTGTCCGATGTAGGAGGTAGAGGTTTTTATCATCATTCATTCCCTGCCAACCCAACCTGCATGCAGACAGGCATACATGGGTGGGCGGAAGAGTGATGAAATGGGTAGATGGGCAACCTGCCCTTCGTAACTGCTCAGGGCTGGGCTCTCAGCTCTCGTCCAAGGTGCAGACCAAGGGGGGTGAGCCCCCTTGCATCGAGTAAAGTCGGGATAGGACAAGGCGAAGGGAAAATAAAAAGGGAAGTGTTGAACCTCGCCGTCGGGTCCTTCAACTTCCGCAACTTCGTACGACCTCGACCTCGACCCGCAACGGCAGCAGACACGGGACGAGACCGACAACGCCTGGGGAGACTGTTTGGTGCTACGGATACAGTCATCGCTTTGAAACTTGACAAGCCTTGAGCCCCATCTTCCCGTCTCTCCACTTGTCTCTCATCTCCCAGCGACAGAACTCGTCAGCGGGCCGACCCGACAACGGCGGGTGGTCCTAATAAAAGCTACGGAACGAACCGGTGTTTTGGGCAAGGCAATCTCATCCCCATCTCTTTCGTCGGGGCCGAAGAACATTCCAGGACAATATACACGAGCCATTATCTTCCTTTTTGCCTTGGGCTTTACTTCTCTTCTTCTTCTTCTTCTTCTTCTTCCTCCTTTCGATGAGCATACAACCTCGGAAGTGACACCGATACGAAAAGTAGAGAAAGGAACGCCCTCCAGATAAAAAAAAAATGTCCGAAAAGGCCTGTGATCATAAAGGAGTCCAGCCGTGCGACTGCCCACGCTTGGTTCCGGCCGCACAAAAGCTCTGTGACGATTGTGCAGCTGGGAAATGCCGGTATGTCCCCAACATTCTTCCCAGACATCGACAAGAGCATCTCCAAGCTAACTATCCACGTAGTCTCGGGAACACAGGATGAAGGGATACGTCCATACGAAGCGTCCATTCACCAACCGGGACGGATGAGATGGATTGTAACTTGACGGGCCCCATCTCTATGGTCCTAAGACTTCGCCCTGCCCTTGGATCTGGGCCTTTGGGACAATGTCTGGTTCGATCAAGGGGGGGCCTATGTGAGAAGGGACGTCATTGATTTACACGGAGGCGATGGGGGATGAGGTTCCTGGGTTCCGGGGACACTGGCCAACAGTATCAGGGAAAAGGGTTCTGGAACGGCGGTTGGATATGGGGGGAAATTACCACTGGGAAGTATTATGTGCAACGAAGTATGGCGGGACGTAAGAATATAAGACGTTATATAGATGGATGGAGTGCGTTGACAAGCAAGTGCTCGGATGGATATTATTTATTCGCCTTATCAACCAGCAAGGTAACAATGTCTATCCATCGTGCTTCTTCATAGGTCATTTCAACTGTAAGACAACAGGGGGATATCAGGAAATTTAAACAATCGAATGATTGGTAGATCCTTGGGGCTGTTCATCATATCGTAAAGAGACTGCCATCAAGATATGAGTCTTCCGTCCAATGTGCATACATACTTTGTTTATCAGTTCCCAAATAGCAATGCTCCGAGTAGGTATACGGCAAGAACAACAGAAAAGATGCCATAGAACCGAGCCGTTGAAGAATTGGGGTTTTGACTTGGAATGCATCTGCTCACCCAAAGAAAGATACACAATGCCATTCAGCCCTACTCACCATCCCGTGTGACGGAAGAGGCATGCTTTGTCTCAGGGGTTCTCAACAGGGTCATCTCCATTGGAGAATTAATACCGAATGCCCATCCATGAGCTCACTCCGATGTCAGGTAGGTGGGACAGATACGAAGAAAACTTTATGCAGTTCGGAAAACCACAAAAGGGGCAAATCAAGACGAAGGTAGGCGTTGGTATCAATCCTACATATGGCAGAGGACCGTTGCAGCCAAAGGCGATGCATGCAGCCTATCGTCCACAAACAATCCTTCCCGGTCCTGCAGACTGCATGCCACCGTAGCACAACTAACATGCGGCGTACTGTTGAGTCTCTTCGTCTCAACGGCACCCAGCAGGACCGGCAGTGTAAGCCCATATTCCAGCCGCGCTCCCTTCAGAACCCAGGTCCGTATGATGTCGCTGACCAACTAGTGTGTAAAGCACCAGCATCTGCGGACCCAGCAGTGTGTCTCGATGAACATGATAACATGTATAAGAATATTCCAAAGTCTCCAATCGTCCCATCCCCAAAGAAAAATAAATATGTGGTATCGTGAAAAAAAGTCTTGGAAAAGAAGGTAAAAAGGGGGGAAAACGCCCGAGCACCATCAAAGTCGACAGCCATCAACTCAGAAGAGAGCGACGACGGTAAAGCCCAGCACACTGGCTAGCAGAGTGCCCTGGATAAACAGGCCGGCAGCACCGCTTTCCGGGACCACGACGGGCTCGCCACTGGCTTCCGGAGCATCGGGAAGCACGACCGAAGTCCGGGTCTCCGTGACCACGGGAGGAGGGCTAGCGGACTCGGTGCTTTCGGCCTGGCTGCTGAGGGGAAGGGAGGAGGTGGCGACGGAGATGAAGGAGGTCGTGTTGGCGGGAGCAGAGAAGAAGTAGGATGACGACGACGACGACGACGACGGCAGCGGAGCCAGTGACGACGATGGGACCTCAACGACAGGTTCCGAGGTGGGAATGACAACCTCGGAGGAGATCTCGGAGGTGATATCGGCAGCAACAACCTCAGTGCTTGAGGGTCGGTTCAGAGGGCAGTCGGTGTAGGTCGGGTTGCACTCGGTGAGGGTGATGGTGCGGGTGGTCGTCGAAGTCACCGTTGTGGTCTCCTCGCCCTCTGGGACTTGAGGCAACGCGACGGCAGCGCTGGCCGCGAGAAGGGTGAAGAAGCCAGTGAAACGCATCTTGCTTTCTTTTTTTCTTCTTCTTTTTCTTTGGTTTTCAAGGAGGGTTTGGTAGTCTTTTATCAAAGAGAGGTCTGGTTTTGAGCTTCCGCAGTTGGCTGGTCTTGTTAAATTGATGTGTCTCGGAGTATATGCCGGGATAGAGAGCGACCAGCGTGTAAAAAGGAGTGTTGAGATAAGGTCTTCAGCGGTGTTATAAATGAAGGTGATGTGCAGCTAGGCACGTTGGTGAAGCCGAAGCGTAGAGAAGAGAACGTTGCGACGAAAGCAAAAAGCTGAACCGGGATGCGAGAAGAGGCGAAATAAGAATGAGAAACGAAACTGGGACAGATGCGAAGATAATAGGGGAACACTGGCCCCCAGCGCAAAATCCTGAGCCCTAGTCTTGGTCACCTTGGATCCTTGGTAGGGGGCTAGGTTGTTCCTTGGATCCGTAACCAGTGGACATCTGCTTGCTTCAATCTGTGTGCCGCAGGTCTACATCCTGGTCCTCAGGTACACATACTTCCATCTACTTCAGTCCTCCAGACCTGACCTGCCAAGTACGGATGCCTACCTGGGTACCTTGCATAATTACATTACTGCTCATCTTTCGAATAGGTCTTTGTTGGGTTATCATGCTAGCATAGTCAGTCTCTTCTCTCCTGGCCATTCCCTCCCGTTCATTAGGGCTGGGTGGCGAGTATGGCGAGGAGAGCTGAAGTTAGGCAAGGGAACACAGACAAAGGGTGATGGGTCTATACCTTACCTTACACTTACTGGACTTCTGGGTACTGTGCTGTTCATAGGTACATATACCTTATTTCTTGCCGCCAACATCACAACAGGAGTTGGTGTTTAAGGTACCTTAGGTAGCCCACAGCGCCCTTTTCTTGCCGCCCCCACCCGCAAGGTCCCGTTTCAGTATGGGTTTATGATTGGTCCGTACCTGACGAGCAACATGTGAATTGAGTTGGCAGAGACGCCGTCGGGATTCGTTTTGCAGCGTGGCAATCCGTAAGAGCGGGACAAGACCAGCCACTTCACCGACAGACAGGGTCACACCAGGTTCAGATCAGGACTCACCTCTGTGCGTGTCCGCCGTTTGATGCGCTGGCAGAGGCAGCGCCTAATGAGGCAGTTTTCTTCTTTTTGCGCCCAACTTCAACCGCCTTCCCATACATACCTTACTCAGTACATTAAGAAGTAATTATGTATATACTGCTTAAAGACCTTGACAACGAATCGGAAAAAGGAAAGCGACCTAGAATTAAAAGACACGAACTTATTCGTAGCATCCGTACCTGTTGGCCATAATTTCCTAGGAACAGGGTTTTTCCCCTTTTGGTCGGAACACTGAAACGTCTGGTATTTTTTGTGCCTTATGTATGTAATTACCCAGGGGGCTCTTAATGTCAACGCCTTGTCTTGCGAACGGAAAAGAGCAAGGGTTCCCAGTTCTCAAGTGTCCACCCTTGGATCGATAACTGCGCAGTTGGAATTACTAATTTAATTATTTTATCCCTTTTATTCAGGCGTCTGGTTGGGGGTTGTGTTCGAGTGGGATACTGATACGAAAATACGTATGGACGGATGGCAGGACTTGGCATTCTCACTCATAACGGCAGCACGTGTGCTATGTTACGGCGCCTAGTTCTACACGTATAAGAGAATGGAAGCAAGACATTGGTCATGGGTGCCAAAGCACCCTGTTCCTGTGCGACAACCATAGATTACTCCCGTCTTCTACGACGAATACGGTCGTGATGTGGACTTTGGACTCCGTACCTGTAGGTACCTTAGGTTTCAGAGGCCTTACAGAGTACTTTCATAGCAACCGATGCCTCTCGAAACACCAACTAATTACCTAAGGTAGGTATCTGTAGTATGGTAGGTACCTATATGCCTAATACTACTTCCAACGATGCGACCAGGTCCTTCCTGCGGCCTGCGGTACGAAAGGCCATCGCTTATCGGTGGACACAGTACGTGGCACTGTACGGATCTGTTCTTCGTTGGCGTTGCTTTACCCCGCCCCCGCACAGTCCTACTCCCACTGGACTTGTTAGAGCTACCCGGCAGACAACGCGAAACACCACGACCATTGTCATCAGTCAACGTCCTCGGCTCTTCCTACTGTCTGGAGACAGTTTTCATCCTGAACGAATTTATTTGCTTGTTAGACACGAACTGTCGTGATTTGCCCTTTCAGACTTCGTCCAGCCGAGAACAACTCCATCGAACGACTTGACCGTTTCCCCCCTAAGCGTTACTCTCACAGAGCCATCATGACAACCTACTCAACGGATCCGGCTCTCTATATATTTACATCCCTCACTGCTGGATCCTCCCATATCGTCACGGCCACCTCCCGCCTCGAGACCATTCTCCGAGCCAACCGCGTTCCCTTCAAAGCCGTCGACATAGCCGTTGATGAAAAGGCCCGCATGCTCTGGGGACGTCGTGCAGGGAAAGATGAGTCGGGTCGTGTCAGAAAGCTACCGGGTCTCGTCCAAGAGGGCCTGGTGCTGGGGGTAGGCCCTATGTCCCCGTCACTCGGGTCTCTGTCTTGTCTCGCTTACCACTAACTTCCTCCTTTCTTTCTGGCCTGCAGGATATTGTTGAAATCGAGGACTGGAACGAGTACGGGGAACTCAAGCAACATGTAAAGATTTACTACGATGAACACACCATCCCCTCCATCCACAACAAGCCCAAAGATCCGCCCATGACATTTGGCCCGGCGAAACCGGCTGCTCAACCTGCTGCTGTAGCGGCAGTTGCAGCAGCAGCAGCAGCGCCGCCAGCCGCGCCGCCCCTCCCGAAAGCCGCAACCACGACCACCGGATCTACGGTAGTGAAAAAGGAGGAGCCCAAAAAGTCCGAAAAAGTGGCGGACAAGGCCACCCTCCCGATCCGCTCCATCGCCGACGAGGCCGCCCAGAAAGCCAAGGACCTGCGGCTGCAGTCCCTGCGCGAGAAGGTGCACGGAAGCAAGGCGGCCGCGGAGAAGAAGAAGGAGGAGGAAGAGGAGAAGAAAGACACCGAAGAAGAAACCAAGGGCCAAAGCGCCGCGAAGAAGGAATTGGCAGGCCTCCAATCCCCGACGACGGCCAAGTGGAAGACACCCGCCACCGCACCCGATGCAGCAACAGCATCTTCTTCTTCTCCTTCTTCTTCCTCTACGGATGCGCTCCCCGCTGCCGAGACCATACAAAGCCCTACGACTGGGCGGTGGAAGTCGTCTGAGCCCTTCGAGCCACCAGCGACAAGCCATAGGGGGTCCGTGCTGGTCCCGGCGTCCGAGACGGAGATTAAGGCTGTGGAGCAGGCTCAAGCGATACCCGAGGTGTCGTCGTCTGAGGAAGAGGACGATGAAGATGAAGATGACGAGGACGATGACGACGAAGAAGACGAAAAAGAGGAAAAAGTCGCCAAAGTCGGAAAAGATGACAGGAAGAAGGATGGTGGCATAGCACCCAGCAATCTGGCTTGATCAAACTGCATCTTGCTTCTCCCGTTTCTGCTGCGAATCATTCCCGTCTTGTCTCGACATTTGTTGGCTCGTCACTCTGCGTCTCCTTTCTTGGCGATCTGTGGGCGGTTGGGACTGTTAACAGGGGAAGGGAAGAGAGTAGGTGGGCAACCGGTCAACTCGGCAAGCGACGTTATTTCACACAAGCCATCTTAACATTGTTTCTTTCCTTTTCACCTGGCAAGATTTGTACAACTGAATGAATTCCCCCTCTAACAGACTTCGCTTGTCATGTCGCCGGAACCCTAGTAGAGGCCGTCATCGTCACTTGCCGTCCCCTGCTGAAACCCAGCAACGGCTTTCCCCTTCCCCTTCCCCCCACGCCCGTTTGCGCCGCTAGCTTCGTTATCGGAGCCGTATTCCTCCTCGCTATCTACAGCCAGCGCCTTGCCCTTGCCCTTGTCCCTCGCTACAGCCTTCCCCTTCCCCTTCCCCTTCCCCTTAGATGTGGTCGAAGAAACCGACCCGGAGCCGGATACGACCCTCCTTCCTCCACCTGGGGCCGGTGCTAGGCCCGCTGTCGCCGTCGTTGGCCGGTCCCCCGGGCCACCGTCGCTGGTACCGGCACCTTCGAATCCAGATCGCATCGTCTCATAGCGCGCCAGCTCCCCTGCGCTGACGGAGGGCACGAGCTCGTTGTTGGCGGCGATGAAGTCTTCCTCGGTGACCACCACGGCGACATCCTCGGGCGTGGCGTGGTGGTCGAAGAAGTTCGCAGTGGAGATGGGGTGGCGCCGTGTGCCGTCGGCATTGAGTTCTGCGATCTTGGTGTCCACGGCTGCCGTCTGCCGCGTGATGGCCTTGAGCATGGCGTCGCTGCAGAGAGCGTAGTAGTCGGCTCCGGTGTAGTGATGAGGTAGTTGTGAGGCAACGCGAGATAGCGAGACTGAGGGATGGAGTGTGAATCTGTGCACGACGACCGAAGCGGTTAGCAGAGTGTCCCTCCGTAGCTGGGTCCAAATAAAGTGAAGAAAAGCGAAGAAAAAAAGAAAAAAAGAGAGGGGTTGAAGATGGATGGCATTTCAGGGCATATACATACTTCCGAGTGACAGCCTCCAATATCTTCAGCTGCTTATCCTGCGAGTCTGCGACCCCCAGGTACAGCATCTTATCGAACCGGCCGGGACGGAGCAGTGCCGGGTCAAGCAGGTCCGGCCGGTTGGTCGCGCCAATGACGAACACACCGCCTTCTCCCTCGCTGCCGCCAGACATGCCGTCCAGTTCAGCGAGGAGCTGAGAAACGATTCGGTCCATGACGCCGCCGCTGTCACCTTGGTTTCCGCGCTTCGGTGCAACCGAGTCGAGCTCATCGAAGAAGACGACGCATGGCCGTGCGTCTCTCGCCTTCTGAAAGACGCGCCGCACATTGGCTTCGGACTCGCCGATATACATGTTCAACAGCTCCGGCCCCTTGACGCTGAAGAAGTTGAGGCTGTATTCGGTCGCGATTGCTTTGGCTAGGAGGGTCTTTCCAGTGCCGGGAGGACCATAGAACTACGTCGAAAATCAGCATGTGACAGAACAGGAAAAACTGACGGGGGCGAGGGAACGAATGAACATACCAATATGCCTGAGCGCTTTTTGAGACCCCGAGCGAAAAGCTCCGGCCGTTCCAACGGAAGTTGGATGGTCTCCCGTACGGCTTCCTTGACATACCCCAAGCCTCCAACATCGTCCCAAGTGACGTTGGGTATCTTGGGAGCACCGATTGCCCCCGCAAAGTCCTTCCGGGCCTTTTCGACCGCGATGTCGAAGTCTGCTTTGGTAACACACCGTGCCGCAGGGTAGCCGGCAGTCTGAGGGCCACCCGAGACTTCGATATCACGGACAGTCACAGGTCGGTCGGTGCCGGCCGCCTTGCGCGCCATGTCCTCGAGCCTGGACCGCCTAGCTATCCGAGCCCGCTCGACGACGTCCACAAGCCCTCCGGCCACGAATGCCGCAGTCTTGAGAGCCACGCCGCTCAGGTTGACGTCCGGGTCCAGGTTGAGCCCCATCTCATCCACGACGCTCTTCAGAATACCGGCTCGCTCTACCTCGTCAGGCGCTCCCATCTCCAGCTCGTAGGAGAACAAGCTCCGCAAGCCCTTCGGAAGCTTGTCGACGTCATTTGTCGTCGCGATGAGCACCCTCGCATCACTGAGAATCTCCTTCATGGACGAGACCATGCGGTCGGCAGTGAGACCCTCGATGTGCTTGATGAGGAGTGTCGTGCAGTCGGGCCCGCAGCTCAGGCCACGTTCGGCTCTGGCCTTCAGGAGACCTTCCGTTTTGACGTCACTCCCGCTCCCTTCTGCTTCGCTGAGTAGGTCGTTGGCGTCTATGGTATAGGTGTGCAGTCCGGCGTCTGAGCAAGCGGCGGAAGCGACAGTCGCCTTGCCCACATGGCGATGATTGGAGGTGAGCAGGATCGCCACCGGCGACATGTTGCCGTGAACGGCCACTTGGCTGGTCGCCGCCGCGACCAGGGCGTGCAAACGACGCCTCAAAGGCGATATATAGCGCTGGTCTTCATGATGCATCAACAGAGCTGAGGTCGGGGTAGGTGTTGAGCGCCGTGGTAATCGTTTCACGGCGGTGTAGTACTCCCACGTACTAGAAAGGCAAGAGGGGATCCGACTGGTAACGAAGCCGGACAGGTTCATCCCCACAGATTCGCTGTCGACACAGGCGACACCTCTCCAGAGGTCCTCAGCCTGGTCCTCGTCGTCTTCGCGGCTCGGCTTCAGAGTCTGAATATGGCCGATTTTGAACCACACTACTTGGCTCAATCTTGACGTATCGGTGTCGGCGGCCAGGGCCATGACATTGTCCACTTGGGCGTCCTGAAACATCCTGCCCAGCAATGTGTCGATGGGGACGGCAATCAGATCGCCAGCTTTAGCAAGCCGGATCCTCTCGGCGAAGTACCGCTTCAGACCGGCCAGGACGACCGCCTGGTACATCCTCTCTACGGAGACGGGGGACCTGACTTGCTGAATCGTGATATCGCGGGCGAACGGGGGGTGAGAAGCTCTTGAGAATTTGGCGGATCGCTTGGTGCCCTGGGGAGCTACGACAGGCTTCAGAGGCGACAGGCGCAGATGCGAAGGGCCGCTCAGGTTGGCGAGTAAGACCGGGGAAAGGTAAGCCACCGGGCTTGTAGGTCGCTGAAGCTGGGAATCAAAGAAGGAGGTTTCCCGCCCCAGATGCCTCGAGCTGGGGATTCGAGTCACGGGCTTTTGCACGTATCCTTCGGGCAGGCTGTACACTCTCACAGGCCTCCAGTCTGTCTCCTCAGAATCCGCCATCTCCAGGCCCCCCGTCCTTCCGAATGCAGGGATGCTTCCGAAAACGCTGGCCGGGGGCTCTTCGGCCGCCTCTACGCGAACCCAATCGCCGGAGAAACAACCGATTTTCAAAAGCGCCGATATGTCGACGAATATCCTAGCTTCCTCATCGTCCTCCGCGGTAGGCTTAGGATGGAGCAGAATCTGAGGTATGGGCTCCATCAAACCCTGCGCCTTGAAGAGTCGTCCGCGAGGGCGATGATCGGGGCGTGCCGTTGTCGCGGTGAATGAGGAGAATACGGACCCCGGCGTCGCTGCGCCGTTGGTCCTCCTCCCCCGGCCAATGGTCATAGGGGAGCCCGGCTGGAGGGTCGAGACGCCGCTAGCGGTGGATGTGGGTAGCATGGGAACCTGCAAACCGATCATATCGTCCATAGAGTCGTCGGAGCTGTCGTCATCAAAGTCGGCGCCGGACAGTCCCGTGTCGTCCTCCGTTTCCGTGACGGACTCCATTTCCGTCGCTTGGGCATCGGTCTTGTATCGCTCCTCGGCTGCAGAATAGAACTGGTCGTTGGCAGTGTCGTCGCCACCTTCCTCGGGAACACCGTTAAGGACACCATTTGACCTCGAGGGCAAGGATCGCTTAGCTCGTACACTACCACGCATGAGGACGATCTTGGTGGTTGGAGAAAGGACGCCCTGGTTATATGGTTCGCAGAGAACAATTTCGCCGCCGTTTGGAGGTACATGAGTGACAGGGTGGGGAGGGAGAGGTAGAGGGAACTGATCTCCCGAGTGTATGATGGGGAGGGTGGCCAGGGCGGCGCGGAGGGCCGCGGTCAGGTTATCCTCGGGCGATCCTGCGGCGGTCGACTTCCCCCTAGCAGATGTTGGGTGGTGATCAAAGAAGGTACCCTCTCCCTGTTCCAGTCGCCTGATCGACTCCTTTTCCATGTTGACGAAAACGGCATCGAGGGGCAGGGCAATGGCATCAAGGACGAGGATCTCGATTCCGCCACGAGCGCTGCCAACGAGTTTGGAAGGTGCTGCATGTTGTAGGGCTGTCCGGAAGGCTTGTAAGGCCATGGACCTGGGAGAAAACTGGACGATGGAGGGACCGAGGTCGGTGGTCTTGAGCACGGGAACTAGTGTCCAGGCGGTATCAACCGGGGAAGCTTTAGGGCTCCAAGGGGCAATGGCAACATGTTGAACGCCGGGGGAGGCATCGTCGCTGTCTCCATCGAGTTGTGTTGATCCTAGCGGCAGAAAAGCGAGCGAGCGACGAATTAGCCAAGTTCTTACGGCCTGTGACATGTGACAGAGGGAGGATGTAGAGGGGTGTAGTGTAGGAGAGAAGGGTATGGCCTCACTGTGACTAAGCTGGGGGAAGAGATCGGCAAAGAGGTCGTCGGACAAGTAGCCTACATCGCCTTTGATATTGGCGTCTAGAAGGAGGGTTGCCGAAATCGCAGGCTTGTCTGCTCTGCGCCGGCGTCTTCGCCTTGTCGCTGGCACCACCGACTGTGCCATGACGGATAATGAGAAAATGATGCTGTTGTGGAGGCCGATGAGTTGTAAATATTCACGGCGCTGAGTCTGGCGGCATGATCATATCTAGCAGGTGCGAGTGCGCTTGCGTTGTGAGGCCGATTTCCACGCTGACTCTGGAGGTGTTTGGAGTTGAAGCTACCTTGCGGTTCTTTGGAAGGCCGCAGCTGAATCTTTGACGGGCTCGGCTACGACAGGCAATGGAGACGCGACCAACTTGTACGTACTGGGTCAAGCCTCGGCTGTAGCAGCGGTTCATCCGTCAGCCCCACTACCTTACCTTACCTTACCTTATGGGGTCGACTGCGACCTCAGGAGTGGGAGCTGGCTCAGTAACGTACGATGTATAGAGTATCTGGTCTATACACACTTTTAAACTGAAATAGTCAGAAAGTAGATGTATCTGCAAAGTAGTAGCTACAAGTTCCTTCCATGTCAATCCATCGTTGTACCCTGACAGTACCTGTTAAGGTACCTTAGGGAAGGTATTCAGAATTCAGTATCTCACCAGCATCCAAGATTCCAACAAAATTCATTTCACTCGTTCCTTCCATTCTCTTCGACGAGGCAATGCATTCAGACGCTTGCCTCACGCATATCACAGGATGTACCAAAGATGAAATGTCACAACCGGTCCAAAGATGCTTCCAATTCATGTCCGATCTGCATTTAGAGCTTGGCCAGCAATACGACGCGTTCGACTTTCCCGCCGTTGCCCCTTACCTTGTGCTCGCAGGAGACATTGGCCACCTCAGAGATTACGAGGCCTATCTCCAATCCTCGTCCGCCAGACTGAGCGGTACCAACGAGTTTTCCTGGTGTTGGGCAACAATGAATTCCACGGAATGGATCATGCGACTGGAATCTCCACGGCGAAGAAACTGGAGAACGAGCCTTTGTTAGACGGGAAATTGACTCTTCTCCATCGAACAAGAAGCGATGTGGACCATGGCCAAACTGTTGTGTCCGTACTCGGCTGTACCTTGTGGTCTCGAATTCGCGACGATGCTGCCGATCAGGTCCGCAGTAAAGTGAAGGACTTTCAGAGCATTCAGGGCTGGACAGTCGAGCGCCACAACGCAGAGCATGAGGCAGATGTACAGTGGTTAAAGAATGAAATTGGACTCATTGCGCGAGATGAACCCAACAACGTTGTTATCGTCATAACACACCACGCACCGGCGATCCAGGAAGCCTCGCGGCCGGAGTATATGGCTAGCCCCATAACTGGAGCATTTGCCACCGATCTCTTGCCCTCGGGAGACTGGGGCCGGGTCGAATATTGGATCTACGGACATACTCACTTCTCGACCGAGTTTGAGAAGGGTAGTGTAACTGTAGTTAGCAATCAGCGTGGCTACATCCTTCCGGGGACGAACATCCATATCGGCGGAAAGGGGGACACTGGTAGGCGTGAGTTCAGTGCCGAGAAGGTGATTCGCATCGATAAAGGCGCCACTTAGAAGTTGGCCTTTGTGGGTTTGTTTCTGTATTCAACCATCTCGCCCTCTGCCAGAGCAAGGCATATCATTCCACGAGCGGATAGCTTCTAGACAGGTACAGGTTTGTATGGCGTACCTTCGTCACTACCTATGTCACAATCTTCCAATCTCCGTGTTCGGAGCCCAAGTCCGCCCCGAAATCATTTCTCACAGCCGTCTTCGGTCTAGGTACCTTAGACATCCACACATGACGTCGGTGATGACGAGCCAATCCACCGAGGCGGAGCGCAGCAAACTCACCATCTTGAGCATCTAGATTTCCATGCCAATTCATCGTATCGTCAAATATCCTCTTTGTCTGTTTCTATATTTTATTTCTACTTCTATTTGTTAAAAAGAAAAAAGAAAAAAGAAAAAAGAAAAAAGAAAAAAGTAGAAGCAAAATTCTCGATTTATATGAGAGCAGCACATTCACATCGTTTTGACCAAGGCGCTCACGACGCATCACGAGAGCCATCTGAGCTCACTTAAGACTGCAACGAAGACACCGAGAGGCTTTTCGAAACCATGAGCGACTGCGCTTCCCAGGGCTCCGCAAAATCACTATTGGCTTTGGAGGCCCCCTCTGGGCCCTCTCTGCCCCAATTAGCCGCCGAATTCACCAGGCAAGCTCTGAAGCTGTCACACGAACCGCCATCGAGCGATGCTCCCCATCCGGACCTTGCTGTCGAGGCTCGTTTCGTCACTCCCCATGATCCCGTTATCATAACTTCTGCTGGACATCGCCTCCCTAGTGTTCCTGCCAGGGAGGCTCACAAACTCAATGTTCTCAGGGAAGAAGTTGAACATGCTCCCCACGCCGTCCCTTCCATGAACGATGGAGAGAAGAGTCCCGGACAGGCTCAGGATCGTCACGCCAGTCATCTCGGCGGTAACGATGCTCGATATCTAGTTGAAGAAAACTCTACTTCATCGACGAAACCCAATGGCCAACCCTCTCCAAAGCGTCATAATGCGCCCTTACGTCGACAGCTCCCCCCTTCCCACACCAATCCTCTCTTCCCCCCACTGCCGCTATACGGTCCTTCCTCGCCACTCAGAGACGTGCAGTATGCTATCTTTCGTCTCTCGTCGTTCGTCCTCAGCCTCGCCTTTCTTTCTGTTATTGTTCTCGGCGCTCTTTTTACCAGCATTCCTCCCTTTGCTCAGAAGGTGTATCGACTCCTCACGTTTCGTAACATTGAAGAAACCCGTCCGTTCTTAGAAGAAGAAACGAAACGAAAGAAAATAAGAAAGAGCATGGAGCGCGCATGGGAACGCGGCGAGTTACGCGAGAATCCGGATCGAGACTGTGAGAGATTGACCGAAGAGTACCGCCCTACCGAGGGCGGCCCGGATCCAGTGGTGTGCGACCCGGCTTACTATGCTCGTCGAGTTGGACTGGATCTGGAGGAGTTTCAGGTGGAAACTGAAGACGGCTTCATCATCGACCTGTGGCATGTCTATGACCCTAAGGTATGTCCGCTACTGTGGCCAACCTCCTTCCGTCCCTACATTTGCATTTACATGACCATGTCCATGTGGAATATCAAGCTGACACGTCTGGCAGGAGTACACGAGGCTAGAAGACGAAGACCGTCAGAACATGGGCCCGATGATATTTCCCAAAGCATCGCGGAACAGACCCAGTGACGCCAAAGGAAAGCCCAAGTTCCCCGTCCTGCTGATACCTGGTTTGCTGCAGAGTGCCGGTGCCTATCTCTCAAACGACGACGACTCTCTGGCTTTCTACCTCTGCAAATCTGGTTATGATGTATGGCTGGGGAACAATCGGGGTGGTTTCAAGCCCAAACACCGTGTCCTGGAGGAATCCGACCCGAGGATGTGGTGCTGGAACATTCGGCAGATGGGGGTTTTCGACCTTCCCGCATTAACGTCGCGGGTTCTGTACGAGACGGGCTTCGAAAAGATTGGCTTGATATGCCATTCGCAAGGCACCACCGAGGCCTTCGTTGCGTTGGCCAAGGAGCAGCGTCCGGAGTTGGGGGAGAGGTTGACCGTCTTCTGTGCTCTTGCCCCCGCTGCCTACGCGGGGCCTCTGATCGGCAAGATGTACTTCAAATTCATGCGTATCATCACGCCGGGCATGTTCCGGCTCATGTTCGGCTTGCGGGCCTTCATCGGCTTCATGATGACCATGCATTCCCACCTGCCGCCGCGCCTCTACGGCTGGCTGGGGTACAAGGTCTTTTCGTTCCTCTTCGACTGGTCCGACAAGCGCTGGGACCGTGGCCTGCGCGATCGCCTCTTCCGGTTCGCACCCGTCTACGTCAGCGCCGAGTCGATGCGATGGTGGCTGGGCCGGGAGTGTTTCGCCCGGCATAAGTGCATCCTCGCGACCAAGGAGGCCGTGCGCGCCGAGGAGAAGGAAGACCATGTCGGAGGAGGCGACGGCAGGCATAGCCTCGGCGCGAACGAGGCCAACGACGACGGGCAGGCTATGGAGCAATCTGCGAACCAGCAACCCAGGAAGCCCCGCGGGTCGACGGCGTGGTATAACGACCAGGCTCCCCCCTTTGCGTTGTGGGTCGCTGGCAGCGACGACTTGGTTGACGGGCGCAAGCTGCTGCGCCGGCTCGAACGGGGACGCGAGCCGCACGTTAATGTTGTGCATAGCAAGGTCATCCCGGAATATGAGCACCTGGATGTCATCTGGGCGATGGATGCGCCGGACAAGGTCTTCAGGGAAATCAAAGAAGTGCTCTGGAAAACTTGTCATGCGAGGGACATGTGCCGAGTGCCTAGGGGATGCGAGGACGTCCAGCCATGGAGTCCAGACTCGAGGTCGAAGCCGGACGAGGATCTAGAGGAGGAGTTGAGTAGCAGTGAAAACAGCTAAGATGATAGAATTGTACGCGATATGCGAAGAGGTCTGGCCGAGAAGATGGGCAGCAAAACTCTTTAACACTCAGCGAGGTGTTCTGGGCGTTTGATATCTGTAACCAAGCACACATAAAATTTCGCCAAGGTTTCTTGGATAGTACAAGACAAGAGTGGACGGAAAGCATCATGTTGCTTTAATTAGATATACAAGAATAGTTTCCTCACGTTCCTTGTCAACTCTTTTACATCTGTTTGATACACGGACCTGTGTCAAAAGTCCCTTCCCTTCCACCCACGGCTTGCCCCAGCGTATGCTCTACGAGTGCATGACCGAGACGTGCGGCCGAAGGCACTCGGTGTTCCCGTCACAACCTATTCTAACAGAGATACTATTACAGAGGGAGAATGTCCCTAAGTCATGCGCTCAGCCTCCTCCAAAAGCTTCTCGACAGTAAAATTCGGGTCAGCCTGCGAGAACCACTCCAGCAGCCTCCTCCTCTCCAGGGCCCGCTTCAAGCGCTCGGCGTCCGGCTCCCCCGCGGTCTCGACGTCCCACCCGCCATAAAACCGCTGCAGACACACGACGAGCCAGCGCGCGTCCTCGACCGAGGCGCCGCGGCCGTCGACGACCTGGCCCTGCATGAGGACGAGGCCGCTGGCGCTGTCCCGGGCGAGGTCGGAGTGGTGGGTGATGGTGGTGTGGGGCTGGGCGAACTCGCCGCGGGCCTTGAACTCGGCGAGCTGGGTGAAGAGCACGCTGGCGGTGTGCGTCTCGACGTCGTCGAAGACCCATTGCAGGAAGTGGATCTCGGCGCCCTGGCCCTCGCGCGGCACGGGGAGGACGAAGGTCGGGTAGCGCCGCGCGGTGGCTTCCATGGTGGCGTAGGTGGCGGCGGGGATGACGGCGCAGAGGGAGTTGGGGTTCGAGGCGTTGCGGAGGCGCCAGATGGCCGTTAGCTCTTTTGCGGGCAGTTCGCGTGCTTTGGGGAGGTTGAGGATCTCTGCCAATGTCTTTATGCCCGAGGAGGCGGGCTTTTTCGGTCGAGCCGCAGAGGATGCTGACTCCGGTGATTCCGATGATAGTGTAGATGATGTTTCTATTGTCGAGGATGCGGAATCTGATGACGACAAGGTAGGGCTAGCGGTCGAAGACGGGGAGGACGCGCTTGTCGGAGAGGGTGGTGGTGTGGGTTGTTGTTGTGGCATCATTTTCGATCGGAGTCGCGCAAGCTCGGCGACGTCTTTCTTGTTCAGCTCGTCGATTTTGTTCGAATAGGCGGCCTTGAGCTCGTCAATGCTGCTGAGACCTTCCTGGCGAGCTTTGCGTTCCAGCTTCTCGCGGTACTTGTCTGTGATGGCGCGGGGTTGTTGCGTTGTGGCGAGGAAGCGTACATCGTGAACCTGGGCCCAGCGGCGCTGATTTGAGGCACGCAGGGCGCGGGAGGACGAGGAAAGAACATGGCGAAGGGCTGGCGTTTTAAATGATGCCATGTTGACCGTCTGCATTCGAATCTGTTTTGTATTTAAATCGCGGTCGCGAGTTCGTCGAGATGCAGAGTCGACACGGGAGGACTGGACTTTGTCGAGATGTCCACGATGGTAAATAAGGTCGAGTGGAGCTGGACAGTGCGTTGAGCAGATAAACGGCACAGTACGTGGAACCTTGGTACTTAGGTACTACGGGGAACAACCCCATGGAAAAGCGTTCACGAACCTCTTACTGACAGCAGAAAACATCTATGTTTCTAGAAACAATCTGGAATGGAAAGAACCACTGAAACAAAGAAAAGTTTATAGACATAGGCCCCCCCCCCCCCTTTTTTTTTTTTCCTTCCTTCCTTTTAAAAACATCCACTTCGTGTACCCCTAAGCACTCAACCTTGGAACCGAGAGACATGGTGGTTTGAGACAATGTCGCCTACTAGACAAGATGTTGAGTCTGTCCATTTATGCTTCTGTTCGCGTCCGACTCCTGGCATTGATACAGTGGTATAATCACTCTCTGTATTCGTCTTTCGCAAGTATATATAGGCGTCTTAAGAGCCTTAGATATGGGAATTTGGATGTGTTCAAGGCCCGTATAGTACACGAAGTCACTGTGATCCCAACCACGTAGATGGCCCTCTTGGAATCCGTACCAACCCATCGGACTTTCGTACTTTTCCTTAGTCGGTGTTCCGTGATGCCTGTTCCATTGTTTGACCCGAGACACTGTGGCACTGACACACGGCCGGCCTGCGATGCCCTGCGATGCCCCACTAACGGGGGCCATTCGGCCGTGGTTCTCCGGAGCCGGGTGGACTCTCAGGCTACTCGGTACGGAGTACCTATTTCGTGCATAGCAAATAAGCTAGGCCGAGTAATTAGGTAATCGGGCAACTGCAACTACGTGTACTACAGGCTAACAACCCAAGGAAGACGACATTGCATGACGTTACCGGAAGTTGCCGTTGCACTATCGCTTGGCCGTACCGACCCGGAACTACCCAGGATTCTATTGTCTGGGACGGTATCATGTGTACATAACCAGCAGCTCTTTCCGTCTGGGAGTATCAGTACATAGAACACAAATTGATATAGTGCACTGAATTAGTAATTACGAATAGTGACATTGACCAGCGATGCCGATTGGAATATAAAACCTACCTGCCCGTTTCTGCACGTCATAAAACCCGGGAAGGGGGAGGCAAGAAAGAGCTCAGAGAGAGACGAGACGAGAGACAGGCAACGGAAACACCCGTCAACTACAAAGGCCCGGATTCCACCTTCCGAGAACTACCAAGTTTCTTCCCTCTTTACCCGGACCCCTCCCCCATACTTCCCCCCTGCTCTGCTCTCCCTCTCTTGTCATCACCATCACTCGATTTCTGGCGCAAACAATACCTCAAACCTCATCACTTCATCAACGGCGCGCACGTGGCTGCCAAGCTTGACTTGCGCCATGGCTTTAGCAACCATACCTCTCGGACAGCCGCCCAAATGCGGTCGCCCGTTTCCGGTCCCCAGCTACGGCAACGGCGGCGTCTTTTCCGTTTCGTGCTCGACCATTATAGAAGCGTCGCCCCAGACCTGTCTCGAGACCGTCCTCGACACGGCAAAGTACCCTCAGTGGAACTCCTTCTGCCCGGAAGCATACATCGACTCGGCGCCTGACCCGTCGACCATCCATCTCGACCCCGACCTCCGCCGGCTCGCCGTCCGACCGGGCCACATCTACCCCGGCGTCAAGATGCGCTTCGAGGCGCGCCTGAAAGCGAACGCCGACCCGTACACGACGTCGCTCGAGGCCACCGTGCTCGAGCGCTTCGAGGAGGACGGAAGAACGGGGTACCGTGTTGCGTGGAGGGTGAGCGATTCCCGCGTATGGCTGCTGCGTGGCGAGCGCGTCCAAGAGTTCCTCGAGGTGCCGGCCAAGGACGGCGGCCAGGCTACTACGACCGAGTATCGCAGCTGGGAGACCTTCGGCGGTGTTCTTGCCTACTACATCTACAACTTCATGCAGTCGCAACTCAAATCGGGCTTTCGTCGCTGGATGGACGGTCTGAAGAAGGCGTCCGAGGAAGCAGAGAGAGATAAACGCCGACCCCAAGTCGGTTGAAGACGTTGTGCTGGTACGTACGAGGATGGCGTTATTGGTGCGATTGATTTGGAACCGAAGGGAAACCGACTAACGTCCGTGATTTGCCTGATTCTTAGGAGGACAACTTGTGCATCAATTGGGAGTCGGGAGCGGGAATCTTTGGTACTATGCATGGACTAACGGCGTTGGAGGATTCGGCATCTCGAGTCGCCTTGGAAGATACCCACCTAATGTAACAGAGCTACTAGCAATTCTTTCTAAAGCAGGTATGACTGTGCATCGTGCATGTTCGGGGTCGTATCCCTAGGAGTTGGGTGTTGAAATGTCCGGCCTTTCCGGTCTCTTGTTATCTCATGGGGAGCACAGTGACGACGCGACGGTTTTACTCCAGGGCCTCTAGACAGTGGGTCCATGATAGAACTCCGAACCGACCTATGTACCGTAGCAAGATTATACCTAAGTCTAGCGTACTGCGGCGGGTCAATCCGAGCATCGCAGAGCCGCTACGTAACCCGGCCAATGCGAAGACTCGGAAACAAAAGACCGTGTCGCTGATCCACGATACATCGCAGCAGGCTTGGTCACCTGGCTTTTTGCTGCCGTTCAAGGGCGGTTGCCGGGCCGCGGTGCTGCTTAGGGTCCAGCTTGGCGTCGCTGGCGGGACGTGGGCGGCTTCGACACGCACGGCCTGTGTGGAGCTGCCTAATGGCTGACTGCCCGACCGTAGTGGGGACGCTGTGGGACAGAAAGGGACCTCGCGGCGAGGGCGATGGGGAGGAGTGGTGGCTCGCGGCCCGGGGGCATTTGTCGAGGGCGACGCCGCCTCCAGGAGAAGAAAAAAAGAAAGAAAAAATAGAGGAAGGGAGGAGAGGTCTCGGCCTGGAAGGTGGGCTGGGGCAGCAGCAATCGTTAGGGCTTTTAGTTGTGTGCGGCGGAGGCTTTTACGGCGCTGAGCAAGAGACTATAGACAAAGATAGACTGGGGAAGTTTCAGTCCCCGAATACCTCCGTTGATGCCGCAGGGTGAAAGTCGGCTGCATTTATTCCGATTACACGCAAGGCTATGTCTCCGCCGATACCTTCTGATCCTTGCGGGCTTCTCTAATGATTTCCCTCATCCGAGCATACAATCCTATCTCCTTTCCTTCCCATCTCCCACCATTCGGAAATACCGCTTTCCGCAGTCTGTTAACCCAAGGTATCAATGGCTGGTAGTATGGCGTGAAGTTCTCTTCAGCGGTTCTAATAAAGTCGCCTTCATGGGATACTTGCCCTTTCTTCAGCTCTGCTAGCTCCTTTGTATCAACGTAGTTCCACTTCTCAAACCGCGGAACGACTGTATCCTCACCTGGCCCTTTGTAATGGATGCATATCCAGAACAGGACCCAGAAAAACGACTCGAGGTCGTGCATGAAAGAATGCTGCTCGCCGAGAAGCGCCCCGATTGCCATGAATGCTCGCGTACCGGTCTTGCCCTTTACTCCGGACGCGCCCTCTCGTGGCTGTCTTACGGCGAGGTCGAGATCGATCAAGAAAGAAAATAAGGAGTGGTTGTTGTCATCCTCGTTGATCATCAGATTATTGACCGAGATGTCCCGATGAAGGAAGCCAGCCTCGAGCAAGGACTCGTGTCCCTTAATGCAACCCTCCAGCGCCGCAAGGAGAGCCGACCGAGAGCTTGCTTTGTAGATGGGCTCTCCATAGTCACGGAGAACGACACGCCGATGCACCCGATTCAATAGTGCGTCATTGCCAGCCTTTGTTGAAGATGTGGAACAGGATCGCTTGCTGGGGGGCAGTGCGGCGCTAATTTGGCTGGATGATCGTTTCCTGCCAGCAGTGCTGCTGCTGCGAGTTCTCCGTGAAGCCCCAGACGCGATTGTACTTGGCGGCGGCATCGAGCGTTCCGGCCGGTAGTTTGTAGCTGTTGTGATGTCTAGCCCTCCGCGAACGTTGGTCCGAGTATCATCATCTGTGCCGTGCACCTGAACAGTTTCGTGGTGGTAGTAGCGGGCCACGTTAACCACGCCCTTTTCAGTTGCCTCTTGAAGCAGCTCCCCTTCTTCCTCGCGCTCCGTGTACTGCCACGAATCCTTGATAACGAGTCGTACTTGTGGGTCTTCTTCGCGATGCGCTCTCCAGCAAGTGGTCGCGCGGCCGGCGATGCAAGGTGCACGGGCCATTAGCTTGTCGATGACGAGACGCTCTGTCCGGTCGTCTCGTTCGATTATAACGAACCGCTGGCCCTCTACCGTGACGACTGTAGGATCGAAGCCAAGCTCCTCTTCGCTCATCCACAGAAACCCGAGAATCGTGGATACAAACTGCAGCCCATCCTCGTTGATGTCGAACTTCTCGGATGCGATCCCACCCAGCCGGTCAAACTCCCACAATCTCATCAGAGGCCCGCAGAGAGTGAAGCCCAAGACAAAGCGGCGGGTGTCTTGGGCTGCGAGCACTTCTCTTGCGTACCTCCCCAGATCAAGCCACGCCTTTGAGGCTCTGTCGGCAGACGGGTTCCTCTTCAGCTCTCCAGGCACCAGAATCTGCGACCAGCGGCATCGAGAATCTTTTCCGGCGTCGGGGTCGTCCACCAAGCCGACGTCTAGCTTCCGCTCTCCGGTTGAACCCTGGATCGGCTTATTAGGCTGTGCGAGTGGTCTTCGTCGGCGCGTTGGGGTCGGTCTGTGGTCTTCTGCAAATGCATCCAGCTTCGCGAGAATGTCGTCAAACCAGGCCAGCACGTCGCCCTCTTTTGCCCCTGCCGGCCATCCGCGCCACCCTTCGCTGCTCAAGAGTGGATTACTGCCTTGCGTGCACTTCTTCAAGACAGCCTCGGATGCTGCATGTAGGCCCGCCACGCGTCCAAAAAAGGCTTCGCGGAAGCGAGGAAGCCCGACGTAGAGAGGACCAAGCTCCGACCTAAGGACCCTGTCCACATCTTGGCGGCATTCCGAGGAGTTGGCAAAACTGCCCGTGTTGTGTAGCCATGGGGTTTGCTGGAGGGAAGATGGCATTGGCCGGGGCGGCGGGGTGGGCTCGGTGACGGCGCGGTTGACCTGATCCCAGACAAGGGCATCGTCTAGATCATCGGCGAGGGCTGCATTCAGCAGACGGTTGAAGCGGTCGAAGTCGAAGCGGAAGTCGTCAGAAACGACCGCGGATTGGAGTCTTATAATGTCACCGCGGAGATTTTTGCCTATACCGCCGGAGTGAAGCAGACGGGAGGCGGGAAAGAACTGTAGCGCCGAAAGAAGGGTAAGGACAAGATTTCGGAGATCTGCACCATATTTAGTTAGAAGTGTATGATAGAGCGAGGTCGGGCGATTTTTCCTACTCTCTTGGTCAAGTTGGCCCAGCGCGTCCGGAGTGCGGGGCACGTTCTTCTCGTCGCAGATCGAGTTGAATTCTGCGTGGAAATCAGCAAGACCGTTGCCGATGGGATTATCGCTGATGATCCGGGATCGCTCTGCCATTGCGGATTGCATAACAGCGTGGTAGATTTGATCCCAGATCAGGGTATCGTCTGGATGACCGGCGAGGGCTGCATTCAGAAGATGCTTGATTCGGTCGAAATGGAAGTCATCGTAGCCGTCGACGGTGGAATTGAGCTTTGAGGAGATCGCTTCGGAAGGTTCGACGTCCTGCCTTAGAATGGAGCCAGACTGTAGCCGGAAGGATTTGTAGAGAGGAAAGAAGGAGAAGCGCAAGATTCCTGAGTTTTGCACGTCGGTTAGAGGAGCACATTCAACAGAGTTGGATTGTCATACCGTCTTGGCCAACTTCATCCAGTGCGTACGTGGCGCGCAGAACCTGCTTGTCTGCGCAGATCGAAATGAATGAAGCGCAGAGCGCCTCCAGACCTTTTCCGATGGGATTATCCCTTAATGATCTCTGACGGGGATCGATCTGTCACGGCGGATTGATGTTGCGATGGGAGGTTAGAAGCAACCGAAGAAAATCGCGGTCGCTTATACCCAGCCACCAACATGACTGCGCCACGTGCCATTAGTGAGTCAGCTATGGCCTAGTCCAAGTGCTCCGCGCCACGAGAACCTGACAACCCGGCAGCTCATTCAGCCCCACCCCACCCGGGAGGTAAGGTACCTAAGGACCTAGGTAAGGTACCTAAGGCACGTTGTAAGCCTGGACATTTATGACGGGCATCCATCGACAAACCCTTCCAAACATCTTCAGTCCCACCACCGAATCTCAGGAACCTGCGAATATCCTGGTGTCCTCTACATCAACTGAATATCATCTGCCACCAGGCCGCTCCGCTCACAAATTCACCTTCTTCATGACCACGATTGACGCTGCGACTTCGACAAGATGAGGGTTTGGGGCCGCCAGGCTACAGCCTCCTGGCACATCCTCCTGGCCGTCGCAGTCCTCTCGTGGACAGCGGTACTCGCAAAAGATCACTCGCCAGACATTAGCGTCTCCAAGTTTAAGCACCCGCCGATCGACCTCAATTATTTCGAAGATTCCGACGTCATCTTGTTCCATGATGTTACGGCAAAAAACATCTACCGATCCACCGACGCCGGCGTCTCCTGGGATAGGGTAAAAGCCATCCCCGAAGGCGAAGCCTACATGCTCACCATGCACGACTTTGCCCCGACCCGCGCCTATGTCCTCACCGAAGGCCACAAGCATTGGCGGACAAACGACCTCGGCAAGACCTGGCACAAATTCGACTCGGGCCTGCCCCCAAGCGCATTCCGCGATGACATCCTCCACTTCCACGCCGGCGACGGCAACCGGATCATATTCAACGGCATGGATTGCGAGAACATCCTGTCCTGCAACGAAGTCTCTACCTATACCATCAACAACTTCAAGCACGTAAAGACTCTGCGCGCCAATACTGCTGGCTGCTGGTGGGCCAAGTCCTCCAAGCTCTTCACCACCGGCAGCGAGGACCTAGACAGTAAACGCATCCTCTGCATCGTCCGGGACGAGCTTTCCCCCTTCAAAGAAGATCAGCGTTTAATCGCCTCGGACGATTACTTCAAAAAAGTCGATGGCAAGATGCAGGAATTCGAGCCCGAGCTCAGCGGCGCCCGCGGCGTCCAGGGCGTTGTCAACCTGGCCGTCGTCAAGAAGTACATCTTGGTTGCAGCGACCTCCCCCAACACGGACGAGATGTCCCTTTATGTTACCGATGATGCCATCGATTGGCATCGTGCCATGTTCCCCGCCGCCCACGGCCACAAGGTGAATCAAGGCGCCTACACCGTGCTCGAGAGCACCAACTACAGCATCCAAGTCGATGTCATGAACTCGCGACCGTCCAACCCCATGGGTGTTTTGTTCACCAGTAATTCCAACGGCACATTCTTCACCGAGAATGTGGAGCACACCAATCGGAATACCAGGGGCAATGTGGACTTTGAGAAGATTTCGGGCGTGCAGGGCATCTTCCTCGTCAACACGGTGAAGAACTGGGAAGAGGTCGAAGAAGAGGCCGGTGCGGAAAAGAAGATTGTCACCCAGATCACCTTCGACGATGGCAGGACTTTCCACGACCTCAAGGTCGGCGACGACCGTCTTCATCTTCATTCCGTGACCAACATCAACAACGTCGGCAGGATCTTCTCCAGCCCTGCTCCCGGGCTTATCATGGCTGTTGGGAGTACCGGAGGCTCTTTGAAGGACTTTGACGAGGGCGATCTCTATGTCTCGGACGACGCTGGACTGACATGGAAAAAGGCCCTCAAGGGACCTCACAAGTACGAATTCGGCGACCAGGGCTCCGTTCTTGTCGCCATACGCAATTCGAACAAGGCCGACGTAGGCGAGATCCGGTACTCTCTCGATCACGGTGAGAGTTGGGAAAAGGCCAAATTACCTGACGATATGCGGGTCAAGCCGGAAATCCTCACCACCACGCAAGACTCGACCAGTCTCAAGTTCGTCGTCATTGGGACCACTGGTGATGACGACCCCGAGTATCGAATCATCGCCCTGGATTTCCAAGGCCTCCGCCAGCGGACATGCGACGACGATGACATGGAAGACTGGCACGCGCGTGTTGACGAGGACGGCAACCCGACATGTCTGATGGGCCACAAGCAGACGTATCGCCGGCGAAAGAAGAAGGCCGACTGTTTCGTCATGAGCGAGTTCAAGGACCCCGTGCCCAAGACGGAAGACTGTACCTGCACGGACGAGGACTTCGAGTGCGACTACAACTTCGTCAGGGAGGATGGCGAGTGCGTGAAGGCCGGGCCCATCGTGGCGCCCAAGGGTGCCTGTAAAGATGCCAAACCGGAAGATACCTTCAAAGGATCCTCGGGGTGGCGGAAGATCCCGGGCAACACTTGCAAGCGCAAAGACGGGCCGCAGAAGGATGATCCCGTCGAGCGGAAGTGTTCCGACATCATCGATTCGCCCACGGCCCCCGCAACTGGGGAGATCTCGTCGACAAAGTTTGTGTTCAAAGGAGTCAAGCTCCAAGATTTCGAGAAGATCTATCTTGAACGCGGAGATTCGAGTACCCAGCAAGACGAGACCATCATTGCCCGGGCTGTGGAGTACGACAGTGACGGCCTGATGCGGATCGACAAGACCATCTGGAGGACAAAGGACCACGGCAAGAACTGGAAGAAGATCCTCGAAGACGAGGAGATCAGGGGGATCTATCCCCACCCCCACTTCAAGGATGCCGTCTTCTTTACAACCACGTCCAAGAAAGTCATCTACACCATAGACCGCACGGAGCACTTCCACAAGTTCAAGGCACCCTCTGATCCGGGCAATTCGAACCCCTTGTCCTTCCATCCGGATAAGAAGGACTGGCTCATCTGGGTTGGCCAAAAGTGCGAGGACGTCGACGGGTTGGAACAGTGCTACAGAGAAGCGTCCGTCTCGCGAGATCGAGGGGACAACTGGCGAACTGTGCTGCGATATGTGCGCAAGTGCGAGTTCACCGGCCACTCGGCGTACAATTTTCGAGACGTCCGCCAGATCGTATGTCTTGCGCATGAACGAGAAGACGGCGGACCGGACAATTCCTGGGTGATAGTGTCGAGCAATGACTTTTTTGACGAGGACAAGAAGATTCATAAGACGAGCGTCAAGGACTTCGCCACCATGTCCGAATTCATCGTGGTGGCGGCCGAAGACGAGGATCACAAGGGTCTGCGCGCGCTCGCGAGCATGGACGGCGAGATGTACGCAGAGGCACGGTTCCCGTATAACTTCCATGTCGACCACCAGAATGCCTACACGGTTCTGGATAGCTCCACGCATGCCGTGAACCTGTTCGTCGCTACGGAAACGGAACACGACCAGCGGCACGGGAGCATTCTCAAGAGCAACTCGAACGGCACGTCGTATGTCATGAGCGCCCCCAGGGTCAACTGCAACAACAACTACTTTGTGGACTTTGAGAAAATCGCCGGGCTCGAGGGCGTGGCGCTCATTAATTCCGTGGCCGCGACCGCGACGGACGGTGATCACGAGAAGGTGCTGCACACCAAGATGTCGCACAACGATGGGGCCCAGTGGGCGTTCCTGTCGCCCCCCAAGGTGGATGCGGAGGGCAAGGCATACGGCTGCAGCAGCCGGTACGGAGACGAGAATTGCGCGCTGCATTTGCACCACTACACGGAGCGTGCCGACAAGAAGAAGACGTTCTCGGCCCCTAGCGCGGTCGGCCTGATGCTCGGATACGGCAACGTGGGGTCTAGGCTAAGCTCTGCAGAGGAGGCCGACACGTTCATGTCCACCGACGCCGGCATCACCTGGAAGAGCGTCAAGAAGGGACCGTGGATGTGGCAGTACGGCGACCAAGGCTCCATCGTCGTCCTCGTCCCGCGGTCGTCCAAGGACAAGCCGGCGAAGACGAAGACCATATCATACACGACGAACGAAGGCGAAGACTGGAAGGACTACACCTTCTCGGACAAGGAGGTGGCGGTGCTGGACATCACTACCCTCCGGTCCGGCAGCTCGCGCAATTTCTTGCTCTGGTGCAAGTCGGATTCCGGCGACGTTTTCTCGGTCAACCTGGACTTTTCGGGGCTGTCCGATCGGCCCTGCGAGCACCCCAAGAGCGGCGAGTCGGACTATTACCTCTGGGCTCCGAAGCACCCTGCCCAGGACAATGACTGCTTGTTTGGTCACGTGACCAAGTATCTGCGCAAGAAAGCCGACCGCCAGTGCTACAACGACCGCCGGATCGAGCGTCAATACGAGATGAACAATTGCACCTGCACGAGGGAAGACTATGAGTGGTATGTTTTTTCCTTTTCTTTTCTTTTTTTTTCCCCTTTCTTTCCCTCTGAATGAGTTGTTCTCCCCCGGAATCCTGCTGGTCCCTCGTGTCCCCAAGTCCTGTCTCGGGTTCAAGAAAGGAAAAAAAAAAAAAAAAAAAAAACTGACAAGGACTCATCTTTCGCAGCGATTACAACTTTGAACTGGACAACCACGGCCAATGTAGTCTCGTGCCGGGCAAGCAGCCCATCTCGGCCGAGCAGTGGTGCACCGCCCACCCCGACGCGGTCGAGTACTACGAACCGACAGGCTACCGGCGCATCCCCCTGACGACCTGCTCGGGCGGCAACGAGCTCGACAAGGCGTCGGCGTCGCACCCGTGCAAGGGCAAGGAGGAGGAGTACGAGCGGCTGCGCGGGACGTCGGGCGTGGCCGTCTTCTTCGCGGTCGTCATCCCCTTCGCCGTCGCGGCCGGCATCGGGTGGTGGGTGTACCGGAACTGGAACGCGCAGTTCGGGCAGATCCGGCTGGGCGAGTCCAGCGGGTTCGATAACGATGCGCCTTGGGTCAAGTACCCCGTTATTGCCGTGTCGGGTGTCGTGGCCCTTGCGGCGGCGCTCCCGCTCGTGGCTTCGGCGCTGTGGAGGAGCGCTACGTCGGCGTATGAGAGGGTTAGTGGCGGTGGTGGTGGTGGTGGTGGTAGCTGGTTCAGCGGCGGGCCCAGACGGTTCACGACGCGGGACAGCTTCGCCAGGGGGAGAGGGGTTTATTCTGGCATTGACGATGAAGGCGAGCTCCTGGGAGATGATAGTGATGAAGACGTGTAACGGTATTTGCCCCCCCCTTTTTTCTTTATTTTATTTTCTCGGATGGGGAACGTGCAGTGCAGCGTTAGGCTAGACTGCCGGGTGAGGGGTATCGGGAAGAAAATCTCGAATTCATTCATTCTAGCTTATGCACCTGGAAGATGGAGCTTTGGCATGAAGGTCGCTTCAGTGTTTGTGTTTCTTATCAAATGATAGATGTCCTTTATTGTCCAGGTATATCACGGAAAAGGAGGCAGGGTATAAAATAATACAACATTGGGCAAGCAAGAGTTGGAGGCTTTGATGAATTAATGGTCAGGTGTCTCGATGGGAAGTTCTGCCTTGAACGGGGCGAATGTTCTTAGAGAATGGTGATACTGCCGAGTCCGGGTCTAGTACCTATCGTCCGGCCTTGGTAAATGTACAATATGGGAATGCAAAGGTCAACCTGTAGAATGAGTCTCTCTCTCTCTCCGAATAGATGTCCATGCCTGCTGGGTGCTACTGTATCATCAAGGGGACATATATGGCCAAATATGGTTCATTCATTTCGTCCAATTTGGCCATGCACAGCCGGAGCAAGCTTGGAGATTCCCAGACGACAAGAGCTGTTCGGAGTACTTAATATGAAGAAGATTTCGGTAATCTCGGTAGGATATCGGGCCAAGCATTGGAAGCAGCTCGACAACAGGGAGTGATCGCAGGGAGTACGAAGCATTTCATGGGACGCAAAGAAGGGAGTATTAAGTATTAAGTAATAATTACTTGGTAAATGGAAGTACGGATACAACGTAAAGCAAAATCCGGGGTTCATCTACCGAATCGTGGGTCTTTTCTGGACGTTCAATGAGCCGAGCGGTCGAGATTCCTTGGCCGTGCATCTCGTAGGAGGCTTCAGCTGCATCGTCACTTGTTAATTACGACCGCTTTGATATAGGTTGTATATATGACAGGCTGTAATTACCATCAGGCTGACAGGGAAACAGAAAAAGGGGATCAACAGGTTCCAGACCTTCTTCCTCGGGTGTCCGTGTCGTCCTCGTCCTGTTGGGTTGGTGCGGTGCGGTGGACGGACGAAAGATGAGCATAAAAAAGGAGTCCAACATCCAAAGTGGACCTAGTGGGAAAAAAGCCCATGTTTGGAGGTTGATCGCCGCTCGAGATTCCTCAATCTGTCGAGGCAATTAGGGGCAGCCCGCTTGGGTTAGGAAGCTTGGCCTTCAGAACGTGCGAGATTAGTCCTCGGCGGCCGCTTGGGCCCGGCGATTTCAGGTGGACCGGTCGGCAGGCACCCGGCGTCTCGATGAGGGCGATTTATGGATACGGATGATTAAGGAGTATCCGGACGAAGTATTTTGTACATATATCGAACTTGTTATTATTCAGTGTCCGCACGAGCTTTGACTGGAGCCCTCGACGGAACGAACTACATTGTAGGTAGGTACCTTACGGAGTGCACTACGTGTAAGGTAGAAAGAATGTTTTTAGGAGGTATTATTAATTCGGTCGTACAAAGTATTACTTGGGTTTGAGCCATACCTTATGACAGATAAGTCAGACTTCCAAGTGCGAAGTACGTAACTACAACGTACATGTATGTACTTCGTACAGTAGCGTTGTGACGAGGTGGAGTGGGGCAGCGTTGTGCAAGTTGCTCATTGGTTTAGTGGTGCGAGTGTTCCTGGATCTGATTTTGGGTGTGGCGATCAGATGCAGGTACAGGTTGTGGTTGTTTTTAGTGGCGTCACATGGCTGTAAATGAAATGCTACCAGTAAAGAGGAGATCGAGGACACATGGAAAATGAAAATTGGACTTGAACGAGGTTGCGGTTAGAAGCAGCTTGTACGAGGTACAATGTATTAGAATAGCGATACCGATAACAAAGAATAGAACGGTCGACAGTAGGACAAATGGACAAAAGGACAAAATACGGATAATAACAGAGCAACATAACAGAGTACCTTACCAAGATTGACTAGGGTACGGAACAGGAGTGCGGCGGAAGCTAACCATTCTACAACGTATTCTCTCCCGATTTTGTAGTCAAGTTGCTAGCGAAGGAAGAAGAAGCATCATGTTCCATGCTTTTGAGTTTTTGATGCCCATGTCTAAAAGGAAGGAAAGGAAGCACACGGATTCGAGGTGTCCATCCATCTCGTTTTTGTACGGAGGACGGATACTTCATATGAATAGACCGCCATGTACCTATACAGTACGAACATCGAAGGTCGCAATGCCTAAGGTACCTAATTTCCCGGAGTTACCATTAATTTGGATCCACTATTTCTTACGTTCCTGGTTCGTACATACAACCTTGTACGATACGATTAGCTCCGCGATGGGAAGTTGCCCCTGATCTTGCCCCACTTCCCATTTTGCGTGCTTCTCCACTCAGATTCCCTCGAACCTCATGCCCCCCGGCCTCTCTCATCTCTTATCCTCCTTTGCTTTTGCCTCCTTCTTTGGTGCAGTCCTCACAACGTATTGATTAGCCAGGCGTCGTCACGGTCAATTTCGAGACTATGGATTGCCGAGCCTTGTCTCCACCAGTGTACCCTGTCCTTAGCACTGTGGTTGGCAAGTTCACCACGAAATCTACGTTGTACCGCTCGCATACGCCTCCTGATGGCTCGCGCTTCGCCGTGCTGGCCTCTTCGATACTGGGCTGGGCTGTTGGGCCCAATGGCCTCGTCCATTACGGTGTATGGAGTCCTTCGCATGTACGTACCTACGGATACGTTGTACGATACTCTGAAGCGACTCTGAAGGGATGTGATGGGAAGACACGGCTTCACAACGTGTGAATGGCCTCTCGTCCACCATGCTAGAATGCTACCCCTGGATCACGGCCAGTACCCCCTCCAGGACAAGTCTCTTCTTACCAAGAACAGAAGAACAAGCATCCCTCCCATCGCATCCCATCGCATCCCATCGCATCCCATCACATCCCTGCTCCCACCGGCCCCTGTCTTCCAACTCGCTTCGTACCCACCCACAGTCCACTCACCGTGGCTCGGCGGTGTGCCCAGTGCCCAGCGCCCTGTGCCCAGCCAGACTTGGCTCAGCAATAATAACATCCCGGCCTCCTCTTCCGCTCCTGTTTCTCGCTCCTTTTCCTCTTCCCTTTTCCCTTTCCCACGAACCATCGTCAAGGAGTTGATGTGATCAACATTTTTTTCGTCTTTTCATTCTCACCCACCTCTCACCACCGCTTCACTCTTTTAGCGGGCATTCGTTCTAATCGTTGAACAAGGGAAAGAAAAAGAAGAAGAAAAAGACTAATAAAAAAGTTATTTTCGCGAAGCGATTAAAGTTTTAGTCTGCGTCTGTCAAGATGAAGGGCTCCATCCTCCTCGTCGCCGCCGCCGCCGCGGGTGCGAGCGCCTCTGCTCACCGTCATGCCCACCGCATGTTTGCCAAGCGAGGAACCGATGCTGAGGTCTGCGTGCCTAGCTGCACCACGGTGTACACCACCATCTACGGCGAGGCGACTCGTACGTTTCCCATGGCCCATCCCCAAACGAAGTGTGGTTGTTGTTTGAAGCGTCACTGTTTACTGACTTTGGCGCATTGCAGTCGTCCCCAAACCCCCTTCCCCCGAGACCAGCAGCATCCCCCCTCCTCCTTCGTCTGCTGTTCCTGAGGCGCCCACCTCCACCTTCGTCCCTCCTGTCGACCTGCCGACCGATGCGCCGGAGCTGTGCCCGACCCCTGGCGAGTACACTTTCCCGGCCACCACCATCACCGTCTCCGAGACCACCACTGTGTGCGCCCCTGCCACTACCAAGCTCCCGGAGGGCACCCAGACCTACGGCGGTATCACCACCGTGGTTGATTACGAGACCACCATCGTTGTCCCCTACCCCACCGAGCAGACGAACAATGGTGTTGTCACCAGCGTGATCGAGACCACCACCTTCGTCTGCCCCGAGCCTGGCACCTACACCGTTGCCCCGACCACCACTGTGTGTGTCGAGGAGACCGTCGTTGTCTACCCCACCATCACTACTGTTGTTCCTGGCACCTACACTCGCCCGGCTGTTACCACCACCATCACCCAGACGAACGTCATCGTTGTCTGCCCCTGGACCACCAAGGAGCCCGCTCTCGCTGCTCCCACCAGCCCGGCCTCTCAGCCTGTCCCCGAGCCCGAGCCTACCTATGCTCCTGAGCCCGAGCCTACCTATGCTCCCGAGCCTGAGCCTGAGGAGCCTGGCAACGGCGGTGATATTGGCGGTGGTGCCGGTGACCACTGGGCCATCACTTACACTCCCTACAGCGAAGACGCCTCTGGCTCGTGCAAGAGCGCCACCCAGGTCGATTCTGACATCAAGCGCATCAGCGAGGCCGGCTTCACTGTCGTTCGCATCTACTCGACCGACTGCGATACCCTCCAGAACGTTGGCGGCGCTGCTGAGAAGTACGGTCTCCACCTCATTATCGGCATCTTCGTCAAGGACACCTGCGACCCCAACGCTCGGGATATCAAGGAGCAGGTCAATGCCATTGTCGAGTGGGCTAACTGGGCCATCACCGACCTCGTCGTTGTCGGTAACGAGTGCATCTTCCAGGGTCGCTGCGACGCTGCGAGCTTGAAGCAGCTCATCGTCTCCGTCAAGGAGGCTCTCAACGGCGCCGGCTACACGGGCCCTTACACCACCGCCGAGACCCTCAACGTTTGGGAGCAGCCCCAGGTCGCTTCCGCTCTCTGCTCAGTCATCGACATTGTCGGCGGCCAGGTCCACCCTTACTTCAACGCCGATGTCTCTCCTTCCGAGGCCGGCCAGTTCGTCCAGAACCAGCTCGACATCCTGCAGAACGACATTTGCGGCCTCAAGCCCGCCCTGAACCTCGAGTGCGGCTGGCCCACCGCCGGTGTCCCCAACGGCCGCGCCATCCCTGGCCAGCAGGAGCAGCGCGAGGCCATACGCTCCATTCGCGAGCTCGTTGGTGACAAGACCGTTTTCTTCTCTTTCCACGACGATGGGTGGAAGGACCCCGGCTCCTGCCAGTGCGAGCAGCACTGGGGCTGTGGCGACCTGTTTTAGATAAGACCTTTGGTTCTCCGCTTTCCCCTCTTGGCTGAAATCTTGTCCGTTTGTCGTGGAAGTTTTGAAGGCGATTTGAGTTTCTCTGTGTACAGCAGGACCCCAAGCCCCGGTCTATAGTTCTTAGTTTGAATTGTACATGAAAGCACGGCTTCCCCTCATTGTCCTTGTGTTGTCTTCCGTGCTTACCGACCTACTCGTCTGCTGCTCTGTTCTTGCGTCCTTGGTGTTTCTCAGGCCGTCCTTGGTTTTGATTATCCCGTTGGTCATATCTGAGGATCGGAAGGGTCGTCTATTTGTCGTCTGGCACGGCCTAGGTCAAGGCCATCCTTTGCTACTTGTGCTTTTCGAGCAGAATTTCAGTCCGTCTTCAATCTGTCAGTGACACCTCTTGAATGGGAACATGGTAGTATCATATGTTGAGCATGTTGAGCACGGTATAAGCAACCCCGTGAGTCTGTGTTGAGTTGAACCTCGCCACCGTCATCATTTCGCTCTTGGAATCTATTCCATCATCGGCGTTCATTACATATCGCTGTCCAGACATCCGAGCCTTTTAAGTGTCCATTGCATAGAGTGTCTGCACCTGAACTTCAGCTCCTCGGGTTCCTCTTGTCTGACTCTGATCTGTCAATGTGCTTGGACAGGTGACTGGCAATATGTGAGGACGGCCGTGGTCGGTGGATACAGGGTGTTCTATGCTCTTACTATTGCTTTTCGGTTGTTGATGCCATTGTCTTCGGACCCACTTTATAAGGTCTACGATTACGAAGGACTGGCATATACGACCATACCCACTGGAAAACTCGGGATCCCGTCCGCTCTCCCCTAGATAAGCCAGTGAGGGCCGGATTAGTAGTTGGGTGGGTGACCACCAGCGAATACCCGGTGTTGTATATTTTTTAAACTCTGAGCTAGGTGATGGGATATATAGTCTCCGTTCTGATGCTATTATTTTTGCTGTTGCTGCTTGAATGAAGTGCACAAGTCATTCTACACGAAAAAATTCACTTACCATCAGGAAATCTCAAGAACCAGCAATCTCTCAGTATATTTCCCGTCTTCGTCTATCACGGAGTGCTATCCTGTCTATGCCTGATGCATGGAAATTCTTCACACAGTTGGCACTTCACAATATGGAGAAAAGACATCTCCCCAACTACAGAGAATTTTGCTGGAAAGCATCTTCATCGATGGCAGGTCCCTTGCTCACTTTTCTATCCATATTTCCCGCCTAGCCCAAAGAATAGATGACCCTAGATATTCTAACCACCCATCCCTCCATGTTTGGTGCAAGTCAGTTGAACCCTCCTCGTCACAGAACACCATGAATGCTCCTCTCCTTTCCAACGAAATGAAATGAAATGAAAACCAAATGACGGCAACTCGACAAAAATGGACTTCCCGTCCACGGGTTATATCCTCTTGCTGATGTATTCGTTGACTCGTGATTTCCTTGCCAATGCCAATACATAGAAAAATCAACTCCTGGATCCACGCACCAAAAACACATAGTCCCAGCTAATGTCTATGCGGACGATCAAGACCCTCTCATCGTGATATTTCGCAGGAAAGGGAAAACGCAAAAAGAAAAGTAAAAAAAAAGGGGGGGCTCGAGGGTTGATGCTAAAAGGACGTGGCTAGAAACGATGCGTGGCCCCATGTGAGTCCCAAGCCGAAATCACGTGCGAATGACGGAGGAAATAAAAACCAACACCCACCCCTCCTCACAGGCGGCCTGCACCCCTGTGCGACCTCAGGGTATCGCGTCAAAATGGCATCAGAAAGGCTCCATGTCGTCAAGGTATACGCGACTCCTAGGATGCGGCGGCGATTCCTCAAACCGGGAGGAGGCCTCGGCGCGGTATCCGGACATGGACCAAGCCTGGTCATCATCCTGCCGCCGCCTCGCCCACCACGGAACAGCCCTGAAGGGGAACTCATCACCACGGTCGTTCGACTTGGAGCCCAAATTGCAGCGTTCCAGCTGGATGATGCCGCCGCGCGAAGGATCCATGCAGAGAACGTCGAGGTCCTGGCCGTCGTTGGTGAAGGCCACGCCGCCAATCTCCCCGAATATGTCAAAGGTCTGCTTGCCCCGGAAGGTCTTGGCGTTGATGATGTTGACGTAGTCCGCCTCTTCGGCCGCCACGAGGACGGGGGGCCCGCTGCCAATGGGGGAGAATCGGAGGCTGCGGGCGCCGGCCATCTCGCACTGGACGGTGGTCAGAGGGGTGCTCGCGCCGTTCGAGTCGGTCCACCGCCGGGCGTCCCATATCATGACCGTCTTGTCCTGGGCGGCGGTGGCCACCGTCCAACCGTCGCCGGACCAGGCGCAGGCGAATCCGTAATCCCGATGTCCGCAGAGCTCCTGCAGGATCTCGCCCGTATCGGCCGAGGCGATCAGGACGTTATGACTGTCGCCGACCAGGACGCGGAGTCGGCGGTCGGTGGATAAAGCGGTACAGTTGAGAGGGAACGAGTAGGCCGTATCTAGTAGGAACTTCTGGGTCTGGACGTCCATGACGCGAAAGCCCTGGTCGTTCGAGGCAAAGGCGACCAATGGGCCGTCGGAAGTTCTCGATTCGTGGATCTGGAGGTGATTTGTGATGGCGCTGCTACTCGACGTGATTTGACCGTCGACGAACTTGCTGTCTTGCGAGTACGTGTTGCGCATGCAGTACTCGCCGTTAGAAGTGCCGGCGATGACCACGCCGCATTTGGCGTCAAGCGTCGATACTAGGCCGTTGACCATGTCGCTGAGATCCATGGCCACCTCGGTGTGGCCGGAAAGAAGGTTCATTCTGTAGACCGCCCTCAGTCCAGGATAGAAGGCATGGCTCCGACCTGAGCAAGCAAGCACGTTGCGCAGTTGGAAATGCGCAAGATGGGTATTCCGGCGAATGTCCATACGGCGAAATTTGAAGTGGCTTTCTGAGCTCCGTATCGCCCAGCCGGCCAGGTGCTAAAAGCGGGAGTGAAGAACGCAGGTCAGATATCAGCTGCTTCGGGGGAACAAAAGAGTCGACTTGTAGAGGAAATACTCACCTGGTAATCATCCGAGCCCGGTTTGTTGGTGTAGTTCTTGTACGTCAAAAGCCTCCGCTCGCGAGCGTCAAGCCGAGTGATCCCCATGCCAGCCCAGTTCAAGCCCTGGACGTCACGCTCGTCGCCGCATAGTTGCTCCAATGTCACCCGTCTGCACGGCTCCGAAAGCTGTTCGTTCACCTGGGAGAGCCACGGCGCCTTCATCCTTCCCGCCGATCCGAAGCAAGCCGCGGTGGCGGCCCAGAATTTGAGAAAGTGATCAAGCGGGGAATTCTGAGGGGCGAGCGAGTTGGGCTGCGGGGAGCCAAGGAAGATTTGAGTGCCGGGGTCCTCCCCAAAGTCGTCATCACCATTGGCCTCGAGTGGTGGGATCGTCTCGTCCAACGGCGGGAGAGGGACGTCAAAATCGCCCTGGGGCAGGTCGTCATGGTCCCCTGCGGCCGATTCTGCGGCGGGTGCTCCTTGTGAATGATACCAGCCGTAGTGGGTGGGATAATAAGTGTACACGATAGATGAAGGGGCTATCACATCGCCGCCGTCGGCCCCGGCGACGTTCGAAGCTAATGGAGAGACACTAGGGGCGGTGTGGTATGGGAGAGGATTGGGATAGAGCGTATGGTTGCTGAAGACGGTCCCAGCCGGGGAACCGGCAGAGTGGACAGGAGAGGACGAGGGAAGCGGCACTGCGACGTAAGCGTGGGGAGGCTGAAGGTGATGATGGTACGAGAGCGGGACGCCCCCATTTTCGCTATCGCTCAAGTCTTCGTCGGAATTCATGTCGAGACGCTCAGTAGTATGGGCGATAGAAGCGTGCCAGGAGAGGAAGGTGACGACTCGTCGAACTCAAGCGGAACAGAGAGAGAGAGAGAGAGAGAGAGAGAACTACTGCGTCGGCAGGGTGGTTTGATGTGGGCCGTTGTCCTTGCTGTCGTCGCTGTCGTCGCTGTCGTCGCTGCCGTCGCTGTCGTCGCTGCCGTCGCTGCCGTCACCGTTCGTTGTCGTTTCAGTAGTCGTCGTCCAAACGAGACGTTCGCCGCGTGCTTTTTGAGGAACGGACGTGGGGGAGGAGGTAGAAGCGGTAGAAGCACAGGTCGAATGTCGGTTCAGACGATCGTGGTAGTTGGCCAAGGTGGTGTAATATCGGGTGTTTGGTGGGCATGAAGGGACCGGTGGCACGGTAAGAAAACCCAAAAACTTGGGTGATGGGTCGACCAGATTTTGTGGAATTTTGAAAACGGCGAAAGCGAGGTTGTAAGGTTGTTGAATCGGCCGAGATGGTGTCGCAATCTCCGTCCGTCACTCTACTAGCCACCAGTCGAGCAAGCTTGCTGGGGCGAGAAGAACCATTGAGGTCTTTTATTTATTTTTTTGTCCTTTTATCTTTTCCTCTGTCTTTCTTTCTTCTCTTTGTCGGCGCTCTCCAAAAGGGGAAATTATGCTGTTGGTGGTTTGCCGTGGTGGGATGGGGAGAAAGGGCAAGGCCAAGGCCAAGGTCAGGGTCAGGGTCAGGGTCAGTGGTAAGACGAGTTTGGGGCCTGGTTCTGGCACCAAACGAGGGTTGTCGGTCGGTCGGGTGACGTGACGGCTGGGACCGCGAAATTTGAACCACAGGGCTGGGATAACCGGTGTGATGGAATACGCGACGGGTTCAGAGTACCCTGTTCCCCGTAGGCTCTCTGGCTCTCGCTCTCTCGCTCTTTCGCCCTCTCTTCTAGTGTACACACGCTGATAAATCAGGGCACAATGAATTAATTGGTAACCTGAAGGCTGCCAGGTGCGATCTTCGTAAAGCAACTCGGAGCTGGTGATCGGGGCACTGAAGCCTACGAGGCCGAAAGTCCAACAAAGTGTGGTGGGGAGACTGTAGAAAGAAAGCCTTGATATGAAACGGGAAGGGAAGAAAAGAAAAGAAAAAGAGGGGGACTGAGTAAACGTATCGGAAAGAGATATCTGGACACGTTGTTGATGCTTGTCCGAGCCCCTAGATCCTGATCGAGCGATGTGTCGGTGGTGGTAGTGGTGGTTGTTGGGAGAGTAAGGCACGGTACGGAGGTAGACGAAAGAGACGGGTCGCTGTCTTCGTCTTTGTGGCGATAAACCAGAAAGCCAAGGAAGGGGGGAGACGGAGACGACATGGGGCACATGGGTAATAAGGTAAGGTAGGTACAGTACGTGGGCACATGCACATGGGCATGGAACGAGACTACCCTGAATTGGGGATTAAACGAAAAGAAGTCCCCATTTCGGGAATCAGCAATCCCCCTTCTTCCTTCCCCACCAAGCGCTCGCTACCTTAGGTAGTTTACCTACGTTGTAGGTTTGACAGTGTTGAGTTACAAGGTAGGTATACCGGCACAAGAATACGGGGGAGTGGGCACGGCTCACCCCCACCAGCGCTAGGTAGCTGTCGGTGGCTGTCAGCCATACGATGATCCATGTCCTATCAACCTGGAAGTCAGTTACGGAGTAACAGGCCGGACGTCAACAAAGATTACCTTACCTTACGTGTGCGTTAGAGATGGCCTTGGCCTGATAGGAGTACGGATACATGAACATTTTTATCTACCATTTTCAGTCCATGTTCCTTGATAAGGTAGGTAGGTAGTTACAGGTATGGGGATATTGAGTACGTGTATAACCAGTTGGCAAAGTCGCGGAAACTTGTACATATAGATACCTTACTCTGTAACGTATTCTGTACCCCGTGCTCCGGACACAACTGCCGATGCCGCTCTTTCTCGCTTTGTCTTTCCCTTCCTCGATAGATCACACAAAGTCCGAATACCCTCTTTTGAGACCGGAAGTACTTGTCCCTTACCCGCCCCGCATCCAATCCTGATCATAAATCTGGCGGGTAAGGTAGTGCGAAAAATTCCGTTCTCCATGGGTACTGCCTAGGTAGGTAGATCATGTAAAGGGCATCACGAGGTCCGCGAAGTACACGTACACGTACGGGGTAGAGACCCAGAGGCGACCCACGCCGATGAACCCCGCCGTCGCTCCCAATTACCATTTCCCGGCTGCCTGCATCAGAAACCACAGACCACGGACCCGTCGTTCATAAAGGCAGGCATACGTCGTACAATCATGCTCACTTTATCTATAAATTATTTGTATAACCACGCCGGCCTCGCTATTGGTCAATTGTGGCTCATCATATTGTCATGTTCTCCAAAGAAGAAGAAAAGAAGAAGAAAAGAAGAAGAAAAGAAGAAGAAAAGAAGAAGAAGAGAGACTCAAGTGGAATCGCAAACGCAATACGGCATAAGAATAATTAATGGAACGCCACATGCAGTATATATATAATGGCAAAGGAACTGGGCAATCAAGGGTCTTTCCCACTCAAGGTGACATGATTCGAGACCCCAAAGTCAACACAAGCCATGCACAGAAAAAGAACACCAGCAGCCATGAACATGCCGCGGCCGTCGCGAAATCCCGACGTCCAGAACCTGATTACACTTCCCTGAAGCGGACCCCGTCTTGGAAGAACGGGAACGACAATTGTCCCCATGTTCTAAAATGTATATAATGTGCGCCCCCCCCCCGTCTCGAAAAAGCCCGACAAAGAAAGTAGTGCTGTACGACGCATCCTCGCATCCTCGCATCGTCGCTGCTCCTCAATGCCCGTTCTCTCTTCATGCATCCGAGTAGTAGCCTTCCTCATACTGTTGGCCCTGCGGCTGATGCATCGACCAGCTTCTCCCCCCGCCCACTACGTTCTCCTTGGAGCCCCAGTAGTTGTTCTTCGTGCGCCGGTCCCTTTCAAACTCGGCCCAGCGCTTCATCGTGATCTTGCTGCTGTCGAACTCGCCCTCGGCCTCGTGCCCTCCCTTCTTCGACGCCTCGCCCGCCGTCTTTCGAGTATCGCCCCACGAGAAGTCGTCAAACTTCCAAAAGGCATACGTCGGCAGGACAAAGTTCCAAATCGGGAGGGAGACGAGGTAGATGAGCATCCAGACGAGGTAGGACCACGAGTGCGCCGTCACCACGATCAGCACCGCCGGGAGACCGAGAATGAGCGCCAAAAGAATGAGTGGGATGATTTGGGGTGGTGAGTTGATGATCGAAATAATGACTAGAGAGAGTTGGTTGAGTTAGGCCAGACACGTCTTCGTTGCGGTGGCAAGAGAATGCAAAAGAGCAAAATAAGGGGGGAAAGGAGGAAGAAGAGATAAAAAAAAAAGAACCCTTAATGAACACGGGCGACAACGACCAGCTTAAACATACCAATATAGAAAGTGAATGCAATGGCAGCTGGAAGGACCAATGTGCCCATCAACTCGATGAAAACGATAAACTGCATGCTGAAGCAGAAAGTACCGCACAGATCTCGAACGAGCACCAGCTCCATGAGATTGTGAATAGTAGAGTTGATCCATCGTCGACGCTGGGACAACAAGACCATGAATGTGTCGGGGACGGTGGTCTTGCAGACGGCCTGCGGGACGAACACTTGCTTCCGCTTGGGGAATGTTTTCAGCATCAGTGTACTCAGGAACCGATCCTCACCGAGCAGCAGCAGGTTCTTCTTGTGGAGCGTGTCGACCACATTTTCCGAGTAGTGCTCCACCACGTCCGGGTTGGCCAGGATGGGTACCCAGTAGTTCTGCGCCCCCTTCGGCGCCTTGATCCGATACATGCAGAAACAGCCGGGCAGACAGGTGACACCGCCAAAAACGGACTCGAACGACTTGGCCAGGTGATGCGAGATGAAGTACTCGAACACCTGGATAGCCGAGACCCAGCTGTCTCGCTTGTTGGCGATCTTGGTCTCGCCGCAGAGCCCCATGATCTCGGGATCCTTGACCATAGCCGACATCATGTGGGTCAAGCTGTCGGGGAAGACCTTGGTGTCGGCGTCGACCATGAGAACCGTTTCATAGAAGTCCGGCGATATCCCTGTCACCTTCCAGAGTCCGTTGAACATTTCGAACTCGAGCTCCGTCATACGCTCATCAAACATGACCTTCTGGAGGAACGACATGAGGATGATCTGACTGTCACGCTTGCCGCGGTTGCCGGGTTTCGATTTGTGAGCCTCGTCGGGGGTACCGCACTTGACCACGGTCAACATGGGAACGCGCTGCTGTTTATCGACCGGAATCGCAGACTTGGCCCCATAGTCGTAGAATCCAGCGTAGATCTTCGCCATGTTGTGCCGCTTCGAACCGCTGGCCACCGCAACATACGAGAAAGGCTGTACTTCCTCGGGGGGCACAGTCTGGTCTTTCATCATACCCAAGACATAGTCCGGCGTGGACGCCTTCTCGCCCTTACCCTTGATGATACCGTCGCAGATAACGACGATCACCTTGTGGCTGTTGGGGTAGTCGGTCATGGCGATCGAGTCGAGTGTCGTGCGGATACCAAGTTCTCCCTCGGAGTAGGCCGTGACGAGGCAGATGGCGTGGGCGAGCGGGAAACCGTGGGGCATCCAGTCCGCCGGTGGCTGAGGGACCACGGCCTCGTGGATGAACCCAGCCGGACCAGGTCCATCGCTGGGGCTGACGTTGCTGGCGTAAGGGTCCGAACGAAGGAAGCTGCTCCGGCTGTCGTTACCCTGGCGATACATCGAGTTGGGGTGGAGGAGCTGGCTCCCACCACCAGAGCTCGACATGGTAGTTGGCACGCGCTTGGCCGAAGGACTGATCCGTTCGGCACCGTAGACGGCAGAGAAGCGAGATGTCGTAGGCAGAAACGAGCTTCCACGCTTGCTGCTGCTGCGATCCGAGCCGCCGACACTGCTGCCGATGTCGCCGGTGATCCTTGGAGGCGGCTGATAAATGTCGTTGGACCAATCCTCGATCTGTTGGTTCCGCTTCCGCTTGTCGCTGGACTGAGACGTCTTGGCGGCAGCGTAGTTGCGGCTGATGAACCATTGGAAAATGAGGGCCAAGACGAAGCGAGATACGACGACGGACAGAATGAGAGCTAGGAAGACGTAGAGCACAACCCTCGACGCAATGCAGCCAACGGTGTCCGTATCGACAGACCCGACCCTGATGATCTCCTCGAAACATTCGGCAATCTGCTTATCGCCGGAGGATTGGAACGAACGGGTGACATCACGGCCTCGGATGGCCTGGTTCACCGGGGAGTTTGTGTCCCGAAGCTCCCTGAAGCGATCAGGGATGGTCACCTGACTCGAGTTGAACCAGTTCAGCAGGTTCAGATCAAGCACGCTGCCCGAGTACACAATCAGATTGCGAGAGCTGTTTCTCACATCCTCCCAGGTGAAGTAGACGTCGGCGGATTTCCGCATGTTCAGGTAAAAGGCGTCGCGGGCGTTGCTTGTGGTGTGGCAGGCGTATCCGAGATAGTACGGAATCGTCAGGTTCGGTTGGGTCGAGCCGTCCTGGTTGAAGACGTTGCAGGGGAAATACCAGGCGAGGTCGCCATCGTCGTTGGAGGGCACGTCGGACCCCTCGGCGAGGTCGATGAGACCTTTGCATCGGCCGTTGACGTTCTGAAACAGGAAGCTGCCATCCTTGCCCCGGTTATCCATGTTCGGCAGGTCGAAAAGGAGGTTGGCGCCAGTGTTACGGTTAATCGCAGGTATGCCATCGGCAGGCGGGTGGCGGGACCTGGTCAGGTCGTAGGCCACGCCGTGGAAGATCATGTAGCCGTCCGTCACTTCGTTGACCCTCATTCGCATCGGGGGAGCACTGCACACCACCGCAGTGAAACCGAAGGTGATGAAACCCACGAAACCCATGATCAAGAGGATAATGCTGATTAGACCCATCTTCTCCCTCCACGCCCGCTGTTCGGCCTTGGCACGTTTCCCGCAGCATGTTAGGAGGAAATCGGGGCACCAGAAGGTGACGACGGCACAGTAGACGTTCCAGAAGCTGGGAGGTCGAATCTGTTCCTCCGGAGTCTGAGCCCGCTTCTTCGACTTGATGATTTTGCTCGATTTTTGGCGAGACATTCGCTTGGCCGTAGTGCGGGGGTGCTTCTCCTGGTCGGCGCTGTTATGCCTTCTGCGCCGCGGCGGGGATACGTCCGAGTGGTCATCGAAAGTATGGGTTCGGCTACCCCCCGACACGTCGGTGGTCGCCTCGATATCCTCAACGATGGGGTCGTTTCCAGTGGACGAAGGGACGGTGTTCATTTTGGCGGCATGTTTCCTGTAGTAGTAATTCGGATGATCCTTGTCGATGCGATTTCGCTCCGGCCTGATGAGGCTTCTCTTCCGCTGGAAGGGCTGAGCGTCGGTGGAAGGCTGGGGTTCGCCGGTGGGGGATAGAGGCATGTTCTCTGAGTTACCATTAGGAGAGGCGATCGTTTCGGCGAAGGAAGTCGCAGATTGCCCACGTTGATGATGAGAAGGAGGAACCTCTGCGGGGAAGTATCCTCCCGTCTCAATGTCTACCGGGCGGTTACGTCGCGAAGGTGATTGTCGGTATCCATTTCGATCGTACGACGGGCTCGCCCCAGGTCTTTCGGGAAGGGACATGGTCCTGGAAATCGGAGTAAGGTTAGCTTCATTCATGGGTTCAGTGGACAACAAGGCGAAATGTCAGTGGGGTAGCGCATTTCGGGCAGGATGACCGGGGGGGAACGAAAGAGAAAGGTGCGATGCTACGACGGACCAGGAATCGAGAGATGTCGAATCTGCGGTTGCGGTTTGAATACCAAGTTGGCAGAATGTACAACAACAAAGATAAAAAAAGGGTGAATGAGAGTGAGATGGGAGTGGGAGAAAAGGTGAGACGAGAAACCGCGGATGTGACACGGACTGTGTTATGGGTTGCCAAGTTAAGGTAATTAAAAGTTGAAAATAACATTCACTAAAATGTTTAGGAAGGGGTCAGAGGAAGGGAGGACCTGAAAACGTAGGTAGATAGTTCCAGTAGGTAGGCAAGATTGACTTTGGGTAGTCTCCCTGCTAAAGTGCGATTGGGTGGGGTAAGGCCAGGTTTCTTGGGAGACGAGATCAGGAAAAGTGGTACGAAATACCGGTAATGTAGGTACTCCGCAATTATTTCGTACTTCGCAGGTACCTTGGCAGGACAAAGGTTTAGCGTTTCAGCCGATCTTCGAAGCTTTCTTTTGGACGAGATGAAAATGTCCCGCCTCAACTTCGGTGTTTCGATTGCTGGACTGAGGGCCAAAAAAAAAAAAAAAAAAAAAGAGACAGACGGTCACTTTGCAGCGAGGGGCAAAGCGGTCGGGTCGTTCAGAATGCAGTCAACACCGTTCAAAGTTTCCTTCCACAGGCCGGGGCACTTCTTGCCTCTTGTACCGCTCAGACGCCGTGCAGCACCCTTGATTTAGCAGCGGCTTTAGGTGCCCAGCTACCAGGCCAGAGGTAGGCACGACGATTCTCTCGAGAGCACTGTCGTGAACCGCCTTCGTCGCCCGAGTCGAAGTTCCGCAGTCTCGGGAATGATTTCCCAGTCGTATTTGGATATTGGTGCTTAAGATGAACAACCTCGAATTATTCCCATGAACTTGCCAGGCGCGAGACTCTTTGCAACTGTATGTCGTTGGCAACGCAGTCCACGGGTTTTGGAGTGCGTGTAGTTTTAACGTTTCGGTCGAGTCGCACGTCGTATCGTTGCTCGAGACGGCAAGGGAGGATTCGTGATGTGCAATGCTACACGGGTGTCCGTCCGAATTCGAGTCTTTCGTGTTGGCGACACAAATTCGGGGTCGAGAAATCGAGGGGAGGTCGATGCTGGTTCAAAACTCGACAGAACAAAGCCTGACAGTGAAAATACCTATGGCGAAGAAGATGTAATAAATACACCGATGATCTGGTTCACGAGGCGCCGCCTATCGTTCCTCTTCGTCTTTCCGAACCAAAAGAAATTCGAACATGGAAATAGAAACGATTGAACTCGACGTCAAGGGAAAAGGGAAAAACGAAAGTGAGTCGGGCGGGCCCGGGGTAAGGAAAAGAAAATGGGAATGGGGATAGGGAGAGTCGAGAAGGGGCTGATGATTTTGGTGTCGAGTGCCGAACAACGAAGGGAAAAGATCGGGCAAGAAAAGGGGGCCCTCTTTTTGGTCTGGCTGGCAACCAAGGGTTGGCACACGCAACACGAGTATTTTTTGTTCCCGATCTGGACTGGGACAGACGATCACCATTCGCCAAGGAACTTGTAATACGTACCGGTACGATACGTAAGGTACCTGTGGGACAGGGAGGTTTTTGTTCAGAATACCTATCTAAGGTACTTCGTAAATACAAAAGATATTCTGGTCTCCCTTTTCCTTTCTACTCAACACTCGCAAAACATTTCCTAGCCGCATTACATGAGTGTAGCTGTTTTATGTATGGTTCTGTTGAACTGTTATATGTATGTGAGTGAGTGTGTGTAAGTTATTGTTTTCCCACTTGTCGTTGTACACTAAGGTACCTTAGTTGAAGGTGTCTATCCGTGGTGACCAGTTGAAGGCAAAGGCAAACATGAAAGGTACATGTACGTCACGGATTCCACGACTGCCACGTCTTCAGAAATACTTTGTACCCCAAAGGCAAGCCCTGGCGTCAAACGGGGACTGTCCTGTCTGTCTGTACAGTATAACTAAGGTACCTTATTATTGTATTTCACAGGACGCGGGCATTCAAACCCGAGCAACTTGAAAGGACAAAACTGGAAAGCGGTGTGGATTGACAAGCCCGGCAGAATTCAGCCTCTCACTCAAAGCTCCGAAGCTCTGCCGGAGCAGACGGTACATTGCGAAGTACCTTCACTTCCCGCAGCCGACTGCCATCGAACCATCAACCATACGGACGGACAAAACACCAGTAGATAGTATAACGGCCGATCTCGACGCCCAACACCGCCTATCACGTCTCCGCGAGACGCTGGGACACCGGTCCGCATTCAATTCTTTCCAGACCTTTTCTGTTTTCGACCGAGCTTCCCATCCCTTGGCCGCAATGGCGGTCCACACCCCGACTTCAACAGGAGGCTCCTCCCAGACCGCAACCTCCGAAGAATCCAAGCTCCCGGTGCCCTCGCGCAATCCTCTTCCTCTCTCAGCTTCGCAAGAAGCCCAAGTTCGGGACGTCTTCTACGCCCGCGTCCGCCGCTCTTGCGCCGACGAGATCAAAGGTGAGAATACCTCACTTCAATTTCGTTCCCCGACAGCAGCCTTCTCCTACGCCATTCGTGTTCTTTTCCTCTTTCCCGAAAAGAGAGGGGGAGAAAAGAAAAAAAGAAAAACTAATTTTTCCTCGTTCTAGCGTTTGCCGAGTGCGCCATGAACCGCACTTTTTCCGTCGCTTTCGTCTGCCGCTCCCAGCACCGCGTGATGAACGCGTGCATGAAATCCCACGCCACGCCGGCCGAGCAGGACGCCGCGAGGGAGGAATGGTTCGCCCAGCGCCTGGAGCGACAGCGCGAGCGCGAGCGCAAGGCCCGCAAGAAGCTCAGCCAGGAGGAGTTCCTGCGCGAGTGGTGGGGTCTCCCGGAGAAGGACGAGGAGCTGCGCCGCCGCGAGGAGGAGAAGCTGCGGCGCGGCGAGAGGGTCGGCGGCTGGGCGGCCCGGAATAGAGAGCGCTGGGAAGACCCGTCGCCCACGACGACATCGAGTGCGGGTGCGAAGCCGGGGGATCAGGACGGGAGGCCATGATATATTTTCCTTGCACGGCGAGGTTGGGTTGGCCGGGCAGGGACGACGAGCCGAGGCCTATACCTTTGGGTCTATGCTGTACAGTAAGGATAAATGAGCGGTGGGCTCCAAAAGCGATGTATGCATAGTGCGGCGTTGGGGTCATCTCGGGTTTTTATTTTGCCTTGCTCGGTCTCCACGCCGCTTCTAGACAAAGATACGAGTTTTCTAGCATATTCATCTTTCTCTCGGGATCAACAGCATGGACTCTGTTACGAAAGTGCCCCTTGAACTGGATGAAGGACAAAAAGCAAAGGTTGTGTTCACATGCTCGCAGTCGAAGCAGCCCCGTGATGTCTGCCTCTTGGAAAGGAGTCTCAACTGAATAACCCATGAGGCTTCGAGACTGCGATGAAATGCGATCTGTCCTTTGGAAAGTCATTATATTCATGCAATGCCATCTTAAATGCGTATTACGCGGTGAAACTACCAAAAAGAGACGGCTTTTAATGAGCTCTCACAGCCTGGCACGCCCAGAACTCAACAAATCGACTACAGCCTCAGCCACTCCCCAGGAGAGTTCGTATCCTCTACCGCCAAGACCGTAGGCGTGTATGATGAGCCGTCCGTCACCGAGATCCTCCTTCTCTAACCTCATCCCGCCTTTCCGGGTCGGTCGTCTGCCCACGATATCCCTCAGCACGTGCATTTTGCCACCGCCGGCCCTTAGAATGGGCGGGTATGTAGCGGCGAAGGCGTCCAGGAGTCTGGTGCGGACAGCGGGTGACGGCTCAGACTCCCAGTTGTCGGGCTCCTTGGTGCCGCCGATGATGGTGCCTCCGTCAAAGTTGCGGGGAATAACGAAGGTCCATGAGCCGTCGGCTTTTTGGCGTGTTACCGTCTCCGAGCATTCGTTGGCCACGACGCAGGTTTGTCCTGAGGGGTGTGAGAAGACTAGGAGCATAATGGGGGGAAGCGGGGTAAGAGGGGAAGATGTTGGGGGATTGGGGAGGTGGGGGGGGTTCGTCGGGTAACAGATGAGTAGGTAAATGAGTAGGTAGATAAATGACAGATTAAGGCAGCGGGGGAACAGAAAGGACTATGATTCAAAACTTTACCTCGAGTAATGAACGAGTTGGGGTCACCAAAGCCACAGCCGGAACAGTTCAAGACGACGCGGGCAGGCTCCACTAGCTCAGGGATAGTGAAGACCTCGCGCTCATGGAGCAGTTCCCGCCGTACGGCCTTCCCCCCGGAGCGGACAAAGCGACGGAGGAGATACGAACAGTAGACCATGGGGTTGACACACCAGGTGCGGTACTCGAAGCCCAGCTTGACGCGGTCGTCCGGGAGCTCGTCCGGTCGGTAGAGCCGAAAATCGCGATAGCCGAGCTGGGCGGCGCGGTCGGTGCTCAGGTTGCGGTACTCCGGGGCCGGGTCCTCGAGGTACTCGACCCCTTTCATGAAGGTGATGCCCGCTTCCGGGTGGCGGCGGGCGATGTCGTCCATGCGGTCGAAGGTGGTCAGGGACATGGCGTGGTCCCGGACGGCTAGGGTGTCGTTGTCGTCGCGGGGAGGCCAGAAGCGGTTGTGGGCGCCGGCCCATTGCGAGGCGTAGTTGATGGCTGCGCGGGAGTCGACGGTCTCGAAGGGGGAAGGGAAGTCCTTTGCTATGATGGTTACATGGTGGCCTTCTGCTTGGAGGCGTACGGCGACGCTGAGGCCTATCACACCGGCTCTGGGCGAGGGCGAGGCTCAGTCAACGGGTCGTATCATGAGGTGAGTTTTGGTACATACCCTATGACGGCGATGTTGGGCTTGGACATGATTTGTTTCTTGTTTTCCGGAGGTATCTGTATACAGACGTCAGTGGAAATATCTCACCATTTATCTACTTCTGACGATTACGAAGCTTTCATGCCATGTACGGATCTTGAGTCGATTGCCAGTGGTAACCCCTTAATCTTGAAAAGTTGGTCAACGACAAGCTGTGTACACGTACCTTGGGCAAAGGCACTCGTGGTACAGCCAACTGGTGGGGCTTCGGTCGGCCATAATCGGCTTACCGGCCGACCGAGTGCGGTCCGATTATCGGGTGCGGAGTTGAGACCGGAAGCACAGTCGTCGAGTGAATTGCTCTGCACTGATCAACGGGACATTTTATCGGGAGTCATTATCAATAGTAATCTCTGGGTTTTAGTGGTCGATCAGACGGTCAGACCATATTACGCCTGTTTGTCGAGAGACCGAGAGTAGACACTCAATCATAGTAAGAACCAACCGCCCAGGTATTTTGCCGTATTACTTGCTTCCGTCTTTCCGACATCGATACCGCGTCTTGCTGCATTTGTCACGATGAATCGTAGTAGCGAACCCTCAGTGCCATATAACCGCGACAATGCATATCTACAGCCCTGTATGGGTTTGTGCATAGCCAGTGTCGCCTGAAAACTGGACCGACATTGACCATCCATTGGAATGTTCACTTGGGATGTGTGCAAGTCGAAAGTTCATATACGGATTCTTTCGAGGTCAAGGAAAAGGTTGGTTACCTTAGGTACCGAGTTTGAGCCAGAAGAGGAAAAGCCAGGATTACATAAGGTACTTGTACGTACTCCCCAACGATGTGAACCATTAAAAACCAAGACACTCAAACCCTCAACTCTTCACGTTCTCACTCTGTCCATCGACTTGCCGACGCATTTGAGATCTTTCTTTTTTCTTTTTTCATCACACGGATCGCCCGTTTTGGGCTGTCAGCAATTGTCAAGAAAATGCATACCGCCGAGGATCGCGGCCTAATCTGGTCGTTCATTCGCCAGTCCGGCCAAACCCACCAAAACTACTCCGTCAAGGAGCCGACAATGAATGCCTTTGTTTCCCGTCTTCCCTTCAAAATATACAGAAGCCCGCGGCAGGCTTCAAAGACTACAACCTGCTCTCTCCATGACCCGACCAATGACATCCTACTTTTAATGCCCTGCTCACCAGTCTTCCCCGCTTGGCCTCGAGCTTGATCTTGACTCTTGACCGCCGACGGTCGTGTCACCTCCTCCCAGCCCTCCCTCCACCAACCATCCCCGCGTGTGTCTGCCCGCCCCTGGACCAACCTCACATCTCGGCGGCTAACATGCGAGGTGATGGCTCTCCTCATTGGCCTAACCCGTCCGTTTCCCACCCTATTTTCGTCCTGCACACAGGCGCATCCCGGTACCCCTCCATCTTTCTATCTCACCAATCTCACCACTCACGTCCAGAGATCCCCCATCGCTCCAGCGCTTAAGCATGCCTAGTGCAGCTTTGCACCTGTGTGCATCGCGCTCGCGCTCACCCTTGTTGCCCTTTCGTCTCGATTTGCTTTGCTCTCTCTACTCGGTCTGCTCACTGCCAAGTATATACTCATTCGCATGACCATGCCGTCCTAATTGAATCATGTTTCTGGACTGTTTCTCTCTCTCTCCCGACAGTTCTCAACATTGTCAGACATCTTGATGTCGCGTCTCGCTTGAATGAAGTGATCCTTCTACTTGACTCCTATCCTGGTATCATGGGCCGCTGGTAGTCAGCGTGCAATTGCGAATCTGACTTCTTCGTCTTGCCGTCCGCCTTCCTCTCTTTTCTCAGCTTTCATTCCAATAGCATCGCTCCGACAACACTCGGTTCAGATCACAAGGGTATACCAAAAAAGAAACACCGAGACACTGAACCCTTCGAACTTTTCGCATCGTCTTGCGTTCCTATCATGTCGACACCGCCACAGCCCTCCGTGGGGTATTCGCTTTTCCCTAACCCGAACACCAGGCCTCCTACAATTTCGAGACCATCGTCACGAACCAGGAGATCGAGCTCGAGGGAGCGTACGGGTTCATTGGGCGTAGGGGGTAGCCAAAGTTTTACCGACGCCTCACCTCCGAGGCACGGGAGGCGCACACCACTGCACAGGATGCAGTCGTCCATTGATTCCATATCCCCTCCACAGACCCTTCAGCAGACTCCGCTGGACGAGAGTCAATCGTCTCGGGCCAGACGAGATGGGACCCAGATACCTGTGCAGAAGCCTCCACCTGCAGCAGACATTCCTCCACGTTCCGATACTGCGACGGCCTTTTCGGAAGCCCAGACTCTTGTACGCAGTAACAGCAACAGGTCCAGGAGTTCCATCGCCAAGCTCCCTCTCCACGAGGAGCCGTCTTCGTCAGCCTTCCCGGGGCGGGAAGACCAGCCCGTCCTGCGGTCCATCTTCCCACAATACAATCCCAACCTCCCGCTCGGTCAGCAAGACTATTTTCCTACGCAGACCAGTCCCACGCACATCCCGCGTGCCGTCATCAACAGAATATCTCTCCACCCCGGCGACGATTACGAGACGGCCGCCCCGGCTGCCGGAACCCCGGGCATGGCGAGCCCGCAGCTGGCCTTCCCGCAGCCCACGCTGCAGCCCCAGAGATGGCCGCCCCGGGGCAACGAGATGCCGTCATTGCCCACCGAATCCTCGAACGAGCAGCTGAAAGGCCTCTGGAGGGTCGTCAACGGCTGGCGAGCCTCGCCGTCCGATGGCCGCGTCTACTGTCTGAAGCTCTCCCAGGAAAGGGACGCACCCGTCTACACCCTCTCATCCCGCCAACAACCATTCTACAACCTCCGCCTAGACCCGACCTCCGCCTCAGCCTACGTTTCGCTCACACGCCACGACCCGAGCAAGCCGTATAAAGCACCCCCGGGTCATTCCTCTTCCTCGTCATCCGCCTCCTCCACAAACGGCAACATTCTCAGCAACGTCATCGGCGGAGGCAAAGATGGGAGCAAAAACGGAGACGGCAAATCCAGCGAAGGAAAGCACTGGCAGGACGTCCTCACAACGACGCTCGAAGAGGAGTCGCGTCGCCACCGGCCCAACGACGGCCTCGTCGCCCTCCTCTACCCGCATGCCGCCTCCCGTGTGGCGCTCGCCCGTCCCGACGACCCCGCCGCCGTCACCATGGCCGAAGCCGAATGCGCCCGGCTCCTCTGGGACGACGACACGTCGTCACACTTCCTCGTACACCCGGCCCTGGCCGCGCCCTTCCGCGTCACCGTGGACCGGTTCCCTGCCTGGAGCCGGGTCGAGTACACGCTGGAGCACCACGAGAGCCCGCGGCCGCTGGCCCGGCTGACGCGCGATGGCACCGGCGCCGGTTGGCTCGAAGTCGACACCACCGTCGCCGCCCACATCGACAGCTTTTTCATCGTTGACGTCGCCGTGGCGGCGCTCCTCCTCGTGGCGGCCGGCGACGAGCGAGGGGTCCACGTCGAGGCTTTCGAGCCGCCGCCCCTCCCGCCTTCGATGCTCGCTGGCGGGGACGGGGCGCGCCACAGCGATAGCAGCAGCAGCACCAGCAGCAGCAGGCGGAGTGGAGGTAAAAAGCCGAAGGCGAAGGGCGGCGGCAAGAAATGGGGCGGCAGGCCCCGGGTGGAGGAGATGGAGATGGACCTGGAGAGCCAGGATGGTGGCGGATTTGCCAAGTTGGAGCAGGTCACCAACGAGACTAGACGGAAGCTCCCCTGGCCGCTGCGTATTGCGTTCAAGGTGCTCGGTGGCGTGTTCAAGTTTATTATTTGGTCGCTGACTATGGTCGTCAAGGCCCTGGTGGCTGTACTGTTTGGGGTGGGGAGGTGTCTCGGCTTGCGATCGAAGCACTGAAGGGGACGAGATGAGACGGGTCGGGACGCGTCGGGACGCGTCGCAATGAAATGGGTAACAAAGCGGGCTAATGAGGAACGGAATGGGCGTAAGATACCCCCATATGATGATGGGAAATGGGTCATGGGAATCGTCCGATATTGTTTTCATCCTTTCTTCCTCTTTCAGGTCTCGGGGTTGGAAGCGGAGTCTCATACTTAGTTAGGTTCACCATATATTTCGTTCGTGGCTTCTCGAGGGGTATCGCTAAGAGAGTACGAGAGCAAGGCGCGAGCTGTTCGCTCGACGGAACAGAGAAGGGAAAAGAATCAAGATACGAGGACCGGTTTTTTGTCTTGCCTCCCCCAAATCACTTCTTCCGTGCCCTGACCATAATCTTCTTCCCTTTCCTCGTGACGCCGCCCGAAGTAGCCGTCTTGGCCATCTTTGCTTTCTGAACCTCCAATTCCCTCTCTGCCTCGGTGAGCACCTTGAGCTTCTTTTCCGCCAAGGCAAGCTCCTTCCGTATCCGCTGCAAATTCCTAGTCCTCCGCGCCATCTCGTCGTGTTTCTGATCCTCTCCCTTGTCCTTCTCGGCATCGCCCCCTTCACTGTCATCAAACCCACCAAACTCTTCCTCCTCCCCCTCTTTCTCTCTGTCTCCCACACCGTTGAGAGCCGCCTCCGCCTCACCATCCACAAACACAATCTTCTTCGGCCGCGCCAGACCCGAAAGCGGCGCCGCGAAATCAAACCCCCCCTCCTCCTCATCGACCTCTTCGTCATCCACCTCGGGCAACCCCTCGGAAGCGAAGACGAGCTGCTCCCGCAGCCTCGTCACCTCCTTGACGACGACGCTGCGCATGGTGCGCACGTACCCGACGTCCTGGGTCTTGAGGAGCCGCACCGCGTCCGTGGAGAGGGCCTTGTTCCCGCGGTCGCCGGCCACGGTGCCGCTCCACCGCTTCCCCTGCGACAGGCGCGAGCCGGGCCCCTGGCGGGAGGCCATGCCGAAGTAGAACTCATCTTCGTTGCGGTCGTCGGCTTTTGCGCGGAGGGCTTTGAGGGTTGCTTGTTTCTTTTTGTAGTCTTTTTGGCGGAGTTTGCGGTCCTGTTTTTGGTGTTGTTAGCGGAGGTTCGTGTGGATCGCCCAAGGGGGGGGGGGGGGAGCGAGATGCAGGAGCGGCCCCTTGGGACGAAAGAAGGGAGAAGTGATGGAGAATGGCAAGGGTCGGAGACTGACTTTATCCTTTTCGAGTAGGCCTAGACGCTGCCGCTCTAATGGTTGGGCGCGTTCCCTATGGGACCGCCTTTGGACGGCGTTTCGCATGGAGGACATCGTTCCACGTCTTCGTCTAGGGGAGGCTGTGAATGAAATGTGTATTGACCATCAATTCGGGCTGATCGGAGTACCTTGTCGAGTGTTGATGGCGATTCTGGTTATGGTAATGGCAGTGGGAGATGGAGGTGATGAATTGGACAGTGGGATGCTGAGCGGCAGAACTCGAGAAATTTTGGGCGGTGAAGATGGTCGTCGGCGGATATGAATGTACCTCGTCCTAGGTACCTTATCTTATCGGCGTGAGTGGGCACGTACCGGTACTTGGTGTGATGCCCCCTTCCACACCCCGTCATCACATCGTGGGCTCGTCGTTCTCACATCCGCTCAAGACAATTTCCAATGGTTTGAACCAGTAGTGGTGTTGTTACAAGACGGGGAGGGGGGGTTTTTTACTTTTTGATCTTTTATGCTGATCGTCAAAAGGTTGCTTGATATACGGAGCACAAAACATGTCAATGCTGAGGATCTTGGGCATCTTTTCTACACTTGATCTCAGCGTCTTGAATTCCATCCATAATTACTTCACCGGAAAAAACGCTCCGGTCCTTGGAATCGATGTAACATTGTGCATGTATGGACTCGGTAGGTAGTTTTGGTATTTCGTCCACTCATGTGAAGTACTTCCAGTATTCACTGTGCCTCCTAGTAAAATTCAAATTCCAAGACGTATGCAGTTGCTGTAAACCATGCTCAGGCAAGCCGAAATCTATCCTTTTGTCGTCTATCCGTCTCGAGATATACGCCGTCCAGCAGACGCATACCCATCTCCGACCCGCTCAAACTCGGGTCGTTCCACGCGAGCATCCTCTACGTAAAGGCCCCCTCCCCCTCCTCGTCGCTCACAAACGTCTCCTCGTCCACGTTCTGCTTGAATATCACCTTCTCCGCCAAAGCCAGCGTCTTCCTCACAGGTAGACCAATCACATTATCAAAGCTCCCTTCAATCTTATCCACGAGCACCACGCCACCGAGTCCCTGCACAGCGTAACCGCCCGCCTTGTCGGCACCCTCCCGGGTCTTGACGTACGCCTCGATGACGTCGTCCGGCAGCCCGTCGCCCTCCTGCACGAAGAAGACCTTGGTCTGCTCCGTATGCGAGGCGATCTCGTAGCCCGGATGGCGGGCGTCCTCGCGCGGGGCGACGACGCACACGGCGGTCAGGACGTGGTGGGCGACGGTGTCGCGGAGGAGGCGGAGCATGCGCACGTGATCGGCCTCGGAGCGCGGCTTCTCGAGGATGCGACCGTCGCGGGAGACGATGATGGTGTCGGCGGCGATGACGAGATCGGGGTCCGGTATCGAGGCCAGGTGCGTCTCCACGGCGGTCTGATAGACGGAGAGGGCTTTCTGGCGCGCCGTCGCCGCGACGTATTCGTGCGGGCCGGACGTCTTGGGTAGGTCCTCTGGCAGGGTGGACGGGAGGATCTCGATGTTCGTGAGCCCGACTTGGGCGAGGAGGGCTTTCCTGCGTGGAGAGGCGGAGGCTAGGATCACGCGCTTCGACTTGAGGTGTTCGAGGATCGGGAGCTTGAGGGGGAAGGGCGGACCTGGGCGTCGACTGCCAGTGGGGGTGGGTTGTTGTTGTTGTTTTGACGATGCACCGCCCGAAGTCTGGTCCGCCGCCGGCGTTTCCGAGTCGGTAAGTAAGTCTGTCATGGCGAGCGGTTCCTTGGAGCGACCCTGTTTAACACCGGCTCAGGTTCACAGTGAAGTTGGGATGCAGTAGAACGAGTCGATTGTGCCAATCTTGTTGTGGACGAGAACAGGATCCCAGATGAGCCCCGCTGTACTGTGGTAACTAAGGTACCTACCTAAGGTACCTAAGGTACGTACATGATCGACGTTATCTTATCTTATCAAGATTACCTAGAGATCTAGTCGCCGCCACTTCAGATGACTGGTACGTAATTACCCCGGGTTTCAACTTCAATCACATGCTCTCAAACCAGCATCACACCAATCTCAACACCAATCTCAACACCATCACCAGCAAATACCCACCAAACCCATTCGTACTTTCGCGCCGCTACTTTACCGACCCCGACTCCACGGAGACATGTGATGGAATAGCGCGCCAACTCTAGATTACCTAGGGCAATGGTCTCATCCGCCAAAAAGGAAAAGGAAAAGGCCGCCTCCCCGCCTGCCCTTGCCCAACAGCCGCAGCCATATGCGCGTTCCTCCTCATCTGCGACGGCTGAAAACCCCGACGGCACCGCCGGCGACGAGAAACCGCGCTTGACGGAAGCGGAGAAGAAGCAAAATCATATTGCCTCTGGTCAGTTTGTACCGCGTCTTTCGTCCAATCCCCTTCCCACCCATATGGCCCTCTCTGCCTCTACGCACCACGTACACATCCACACGCAACACCCGCGTACCATTCACACACCATACACAAGACACAACGATATAGTGACACGCAATGCGCCGCCTCAACCCTTGGCTCCCGTCTCGTGCTATGGCGTATACTTGGAAAAATGACCATCAACAATGAAGTGCTGGTTGTCGTGAATAGTTTCGACTGACGCATGCCCCTCCCCCACTCCGAAACAGAACAGAAACGTCGTCAGGCGATCCGCGAAGCCTTCGACCGCCTCACGGAGCTGGTTCCCGGGCTGGAAGGCCAGGGTCGCTCGGAGGGCCTGGTCCTGCAACGAACTGTCAAGTACATGCGAGAGCAGCTGGCGGAGCGCCGCGCTCTGATCGAGCGGATCGAGGCTGCCGGGGGACACGTTGACGAGCACGTCAAGAGGTGAGACGGCCAATATTTCCGCCCAGCCCATGCGACGGGTGCAATCGGGGCGCCCGGGGCCTGGGGAAGCATGTGCAAGAGTCGGAGCAAACCAAGGGGTCGAGTTTGGGCCTGTCCTGAGGTGACCGACTCGTATCGCGCTCTTAGGCGCGCATACCAGCCCATCCCGGCGAATCAGCCGAGGACAACAAACTAGCGGGGGACGCTGAGCAGGAAAGCCGCTTTTTATTAAATCACAACAGGCCGGCGAGGTTTGGACAGTCCGTATTCGACATCGATGTACGAGTTTAGACATACCATGGGAGCATGGGAGGCGTACATTGAAGAAGAGGGACTTTATGAGATTACCGTGTATAGATGCCGCCGCCGGTATTTGTTATACAAAATTTTACAATGTGATGTACAAGGGAGAGAGGGAACCAAGAGCACCGCAGCAACTACTGATACGTCTCAACCATCGTCCTCATCCTCTCAAGAAGTGCCGGGGGAGCCAAGTCCTCCCTACTTCTCTTCGGCTTCCCATCCGTAATTACGGTGGTGTTGAGCGTGACTGTCCCTTGTTCCACATTCTGCCGGCCGACGACGAGAACCAGACCGTATCCTTTCGACGCGGCCTCTGCCAGCTTCTCACCCAACGGCCTCGTGCTGGCATCCACATCCACAGTGAATCCCGTTGCACGCGGCTGCTGTGTCCGGCCTTCCTCCCGCGTCTCCCTCCCCACAAGCTCGTCCCTGACCCGCGAAGCCCACGCCACGACGGGTTCCGAATCGTTGAGGGTCAGGATGACGACCTGCCGGGGGTTGAGCCAGAAGGGCCACTTCCCGTCGTACTCCTCGATGAGAAGCGCCATGAGCCGCTCCACCGACCCCAAGACCGCCCTGTGGATCAGCACCGGCGTCACGGGCCCGTACGTCTCCTTCGCCGCCGCCGCCTCTTCGATCTCCTCCGGGCGGGCCCCACGGGTCTCCAGCTCGGGCGCGGGCGCCTGGTACGCGAGCCCGAAGCGCTGCGGCAGCTGGAAATCCAGCTGGATGGTGCCGGCCTGGTGCGTCTTCCCGTGCGAGTCGCGCAGCATGACGTCGATCTTGGGTCCGTAGAACGCGCCGTCCCCTTCCTTGACGGCGTACGGCAGCCCGGCCTGCTCGAGGGCCCCGCGCAGCTGCGCCTCGGCCCGGTCCCACTCGGCCTGCGTCCCGATGTAGTGGTCCTCCGGCCGCGTGGCGAGCGCGAAGGCGTACCCGTGCAGACCTAGCGCGCCGTATACCGTCTTCATGAAGTCGAGGGTGCGGAACACCTCGTCGCGGACCTGCGACGGGCGGCAGAAGACGTGCCCGTCGTCCTGGTGGAAGCGGCGCACGCGGGTCAGGCCGCTCAGCGCGCCCGAGATCTCGTTGCGGTGCAGGGGGGAGAAGTCGGCGTATCGGATGGGTAGGTCGCGGTAGCTCCGCGCCTTGGATGCGAAGATGAGGCAGTGGCCGGGGCAGTTCATCGGCTTGAGGCCGTAGTCGTCGTCGGTGCCTTCGGCCTCCCTTTCGTGGCTGCCGCAGCAGCTCCTGGCGGGCTCGGATTCCGTCGCTGAGGCTTCTTGCGACCTCGCGCGGCTCGTCACAGTGTACATGTCGTCTGCGTAGTTTTGTAGGTGGCCGGACACCTCCCAAAGCGACTTCTTGTAGATGTTGGGGGTAATGACCTCCTCGAAGCCGTAGTGGACATATTGGCGGCGCAAAAAGTCGACGAGTCGGTTGAATATCCGCGTACCGTTGGGTAGGAATATAGGAGAGCCGGGGCTGTAGATGGAGGTCATGAACAGCTCCTGCTGCACGCCCACCTTGCGGTGGTCTGGGGGTTCTGCAGGTGAGGCATCACGGCCGGATATTGGTGGTTTTTGGGTCGAATAAAACTGATGGCTGACGGCCCATGACAGTCGATGTGCGGGGCGTGGAGCGTAGCGGGCGGCCGGCCTCACAGCCCGAAGCAGGAGCATCACGTTCTATGCTGCCAGTCGCAAGGCATATCGCGAACGGTTCGACGAAGGGTAAAAGGCTGATTTTTGAGCCGAATTCTGTGGATACGGATATGTTTAAGGTAGAGAGGTCCACTTATCGATCCTCTGCCTGAGGTGCCTAAGGAATTACCTAAGCACAATGAAGGATAGGTCACGTGACTATAACTCCAACTCCACCGCCCTCCCATACAACCGAGTCGACACTACTAATAGATGTAGAAGCAAGCTCGAGTAACTCGGTTTCGTTCTACAGATCGCCTATGTCTGGTTTAGGGGAAAGCGACATGTTGGTAACGTGAGGCCAATGCCGACCTATTCGTACTCCAAGACTCAACCTTAACCAAGATGATGTCGTTCCCAGTCCATGATTGCTCGCCAGCTTCCGGTGTTTCGCAACGACTGTGCCAGTATCTCACTTCCTGAGTGCTCTACTTTCTTTGCCAGTGAATATGAGGGGCCAAACATAACCATCGCGTTGTTGGAAGTCGATGACAGTCTTCTCGATATTCCGGACCAGATTCATGGCACTGACCATATTGCCCCAGGTATGCCTAGGCCAGTTCTTTTTTTTTTTTTTTTTTTTTTTTGGCCCACAGTCTGTCCTGTTTGGCAGGATAGCTCTCTCATTGATATGTTTATGGTTTGCTCTTTGCCCATTTCATGATAATGTCTGGAGAAAGGAAAGGTTGGGGCAGAGCAGCCGAGTTGACTTTCATGGTATCAACTGCAGGCTTGGTAAGCTTCCATAGGGATTCAATGCACCCAAAATCACGAATGAATGAAAGTCGTTTACCGGTGTTCAAAGTCGATTTGGTGGCTGATCGTGGTAGGACAAACTCCATATCTCCCGAAGACCTCGGTTCTTGGGTGTAGGACCCATGGCCTTGATAGAGCGGAGGCCGTTCTAACGTGACTGGCACAGACTTTCTCCCGGGCTTTGGATTTGTGGTCATTGTAGGTGGTAATATGTGATATTGAGCAGAGTATTACTGACTGAAAGACACCGGCACTGGGGGTTTTTATGTTGGAAAGGGAAGGACATCTGCTTATTGTGCCTGCGCGCATCGTCCACCTTCCAGTTCATGCTCGTATCTGCAGCTGCTCGTACTCATAGCCGGAACACAGCTAAGCAGTGTCAGTGAGAACTCGTGTGTATAAATAAGACTTTGGGGTTGTGATGGCTTCAAAAAAACCCATAGAGTTGGGGAAATAGAACAGGGAAAGAGGTGTTTATTTCTTCTATCCTAAGCTGGATGAAATTCATCTGATGGATGTCACCATTTTGCTGAATGGTTTGAGTACACGTACTCGTATTTTGAGAAAGCGCTTCGTATCCGTACAAAGTACTTCATAAGGTACACAGTACGTTGTACTCCGTACTTTAGTTCCACCAGCCACCCCACTTCTTGGATTGAAAGGTCCGACTTGTGTGTGGCCCGAGTCACCGAGTCGACAAGCAAACGTTTGATATACGGCACGTGCTCCGTATTGGACCAATCACATGCCTCTGGCAGCCACGCCGGGCCATGACCAATTCAGGCTGAAAAGTAATTACCACGGATCTACGAAGTACCATGATGTTTACCTAGGTACCTAGTAGCTTTGAGCTCATACAGGGAAATAGACTGAGCTGCCATGTGATTCTTTATTCTTTAAGTTCAAATGAAACAATTGTATTTACCACACTTGCAGTTACAAGGCTTTCGTCTCCTTCATTGACCGGGCGTCAGTTACTTTGGACAGTTGTTCATCATGTCAGCTTGGGGTACGGACCTGAAGTTTGTACTCTGTATGTACGTTGTACTCCGTCCTTCGAAGGTAGCAGTACCTTAGCCAAGCGCATTAGTCCCAAAGGGAAAGCGGTAGACTCCTCTACAGCCTTGCATCCCCGCTTCCCACCTCGTGAGTGGAGACCTGTTGCAGTAAACTCGAAACTCGACGGAGAAGGCAGGACGCCCCCGCACACAGAGAGCCCCAAGAAACGAAGAAAGTCCAGCAATAATACCTTTTTTTCTTTTTTTCTTTTTTCCTTTTTTCCTTTTTTTTTTCTTACTCTATCCTTTGTGATCTGACCCTCGCCCTCCGTAGTCGGCGTCTCCAGCAATTCCCACTCGAGGACCACCACAACGTCCGTTACCGGCCCGCCTTACGGCATTATACCGGACAATATTCAATATCTTCCATATCGTCCTCGCCTCGACAGTAACGCACACCTTAGCTGTGTCCGTTGGGCTTCCTCTTGGGAGGGCCCTCCCGACTTGACGCTTCTCGTCGGCCTTCTAACAACAGCTCGGCCGCTCGGGGCCATTCTCCCCCCGCCGGCCCCCCAGGCATTGATGCCCGCATGAGCCATGGACGGCTCTGGCATCATGTCCGCTGGCGGCGCCACGCCTGCCAGCCCAACCAGTCCTATGAGCGCTCGCAATGGGTCCAACGGGACTGGCACCAAGAGGAAGCGAAGCAGTATGGGTCTCGAGAGCGATCCCGGCAGCCCTGGTGGTCATGACGACGACACCATGGACCACGACTCGGGAAAGAAGCGCCAACCAGGCGTGAAGAGGGCCTGTAATGAGTGTAGGCAACAGAAGGTGAGTCACCTTTCCTTCGTCGGCTTTCATCTACACCATACGGTTACTAAAAAAAAGTTGACTGATCGCCGCCGCTGTAGCTACGATGCGATGTCGTTCAGGAACCCTTCCGGGGTTGCTCGAGGTGCAACCGCCTCAAGCTAGAATGCAAGATCGAATCCAATTTCAAGCGCGTCGGCAAGCGGTCCAAGCACGCCGAGATGGAGAGGGAAATCGAAAGGCTGCGACGCGCCGTCCAAAAAGCTCGCAGCGCCGGTTTCGTCCTAGACGACGAGGATCACGACCTGCAATCTCCTGCCGCCACAAGCGGATACACCCACACACGCAATCCCTCGCTGATGGGCTCCGACGAGGCCGTGTCTTCGCTGCTACATCTTAAGAGGGGCGGCTCCTACAACGTACCGCGGTATACACACGAACTGGACAACGTGCGGTTGACCGAGGAGACCGTGACGCGACTCTTCAACACCTTCTTCGCCTGCTACCATTCATACCTGCCTTTTCTCAACCCTAACCAGTCGCCCGACACTTACTTCCAGCAACACGCCTTGCTCTTCTGGACCATCATGACGGTCGCCTCCCGCCGCTACAGCGGAGACCGCTCCCTCTTCAGCTCGCTCACCGGGCCGGTGAAACGCCTGCTCTGGTCGACCATTGCCGACGTGCCCAGCAGCCACTATGTCGTCAAAGCACTATGCCTGCTCTGCACCTGGCCTCTGCCGACCAGCTCCTCGGCCACCGACCCGACCCACATCTTATGCGGCGTCATGATGAAGACGGCAACCGGCATCGGTCTTCACCGCCCGAGTCACACGCAGGACTTTTCCCGTGTGTCCATAGAATTGAATAAGGAACAGCTGCATGACCGTGTGACGACGTGGGCTGTCTGCAACATCGTCGCGCAGTCCATCGGTACCGGCTATGGCCAGCCGGCGTCTACCCTCTACGACTGGACCTTGGCCGTTCGGCCGGGCGAGGACGGGCCTTTCACGCTGTCGCCCGAGCTGGAGGCGAGGCTGAGGATCGAGATGTTCTGCGACAAGGTGTCCAAGGAAATGTACAGCAATGCCAGCGATTCGAGGGGGGTGGCCGGAGATGAGCACCGGGCCATGTTGATGCGCGTGTACCGACGTGAATTCGGAGAGCTCCAGGCCTCGATCCTGTCCCAGCACCTCGGCCCCATTGTCAATCTTCATCTGCGAGCCGCCAACCTGCACTTGCGCCTGGCCGGCTTCTTCGATGCGAACACCACCCCGGGGTACGTGGACGATCTGATGGGCTTGTGGGGGGCCACTACTGCCTTTGTCGAGCACCTTCTGGAAGACGACAAGGTGACGTCGCCTGGCCAGAACACGGCCGGTCACGTTCTCACCTATGCGAGCAACTACATCGGACAGATGCTCGTCGCTGCCGGCTTCGTCCTATTGAAGTTGTCTAAATCCTTCTTCGCGGAAATCATCGAGGCAGAACGCAGCCGGAGCCTCTTCCACAAGACGGTGAACGCCATCCGCGCCATCAGCGTCATCCACAACGATCTACCGTCCCGGCTCGCCGAGCTCATGGTGCAGATGTGGAACGGGTCCCGCTTCGACCACAAACTTCGCGCGCGCCAGTCCGACAGCATCCTGATTCCGGACGACTCGTTGCAGCTCAAGGTCCGGTGTCGGCACAGCATGAGTCTGGTGTTCGACACAATATGGCGCTGGAGAGAAGAATACGAAGCCCTGGGCAGGGGCTCCCTTGACGGTAACTAACACCCTTTCCTCTCGCGGCCCCTTGGTACCTGTTCCTTTTTTTTTCCCTTCCCTTCCCTTCCGCCTCCTTGTCCCTTCATCCCTTCATCCCTTCATCCCTTCATCCCCCCATAATAACCCCACGCCGACTCCCACTCTCACTCTTGATTCTTCGTGCTCGCTTGTTGCATCTTAGGTCTCTTTCATGTGACTGTGGATGACTGACATGGAGACGCCTCTACTCGATTAGCTCTGAAGCAACCTACTAATCCCGACTCAGCGAACGAGTCCTCCGCATCCTCGACCCATATGGACTCCACCCTAATGCCCGCCGCTCAGATGCAGGCATCGGGAAACATCATGTCCTCCAACAGCGCACTGACACCCGGTGCTTCGGCGGGCCTAGGCGGAGGTGGCCCATCCGGTAATTCCAGCCACAACAGCAACGGCAACGGCAACGGCAGTGGCAGTGGCAGCAACGGCAACGGCAACGGCAGTGGCAGTGGCAGCAACGGCAACGGTAGTGGCAACGGCATGCTGGGCGGCATGAACTACACCGATACCAACTACGACTTTTTTGATCCCCAACACTGGATGCTGGATGGGCTGCTGGACTTCAATTACTCTTTTGTACAGCCTCTCGAAGGCACATAGCAAGGCCCTGGACGATTTCGGTCTCAATGAAGGCCACGGTATTCCTGGGTGGAGGTCTTTTTTTTTTCTTTTCTCCAAACCTTTATTTTTTTGGGGGGTTTTGCTTGTGGGTGAGTGGGAGAACTCGACATACTCGCGGCTTCAAGCCAAAAGACCACTCTAATCATCAATTCCGAGCGAATGGCGGGGTGGATGGAAAGTGGTCGATATCCGGCAAGGGAGCGAGCGGCGTTTTCTTGCTTTTATTTTTAGGCCGGGGGCTTGGCGAAGAAGAACGGGACCTTGGGGCTGGTGGGTATCATCTATCTCGTCTTTCTCATACTTTTTCTTTCCTTTTTATTTTTATTTTTTTTTATCGTCTTGAATTCCCTGGATTGGGGAAAAGGCACCTTGCGCTCGGTCCCATTGTCACCTGGGCACTGGCGAGTTTCTTTATTTGTAATGTCGAGATGGTCTTGATGATGACCCATGAGTTCACGACAAAGGTGGTGGGACAGGGTCTCGGAACCCTTTGGGCGGCATGCGTCTCGTCTTTCTCAAGCATTCGCGCCTTTTTGTTTCTCTGTCTGCCAAATGGGGCTTTAGTTCTTCTGTTTGGAACGGGGAACCATGTATTGGCCGTGGAAAAGGGGAGGGGGCATGTCCCGAACTGTATCGACTCCGGCCTTGTTCAGGCGATTGGCCTCGATCAATGCGTTTGTAGTAAAACAGGCCTAAACAGGTTTCGCCATTTTTGCTCTTGATCTGATCCCGATGCAATTAATGATAGGGGTGAAGTTGAGGAGGGAAGGTTGTTGGGGGCAGAGGATTCGCATCGGTCCGGGAGGTTGGAGGTTCGATGAGGTGTGGTGGGCACTCTTGGGGTCCGGAGGATATGGAATACCAACGGTTAGCAGACTGTTCTCGAAGTAGTAGGTCCAGGGGTTGCCTTTCTCTGCTCTTTACTTCTCTTCATCGAGGAATGTGAGGGCTCTCTATCGTCGTCAGTCATGAGGCTTACATCGGGGGGGTGTTCAACCCTGCCGTCAGTGCACATCACACGCTGGTCTCCTGTGGCTCAATTTGTTCGGTGGAAGTGACCTTTGGGTTGGTCGGGTCGAACTCCCTTTGTATAAGGTAGCCTAACTAGGCCTGGAAAGCTCCGATCTGGGGCGCAATACAATGCCCGTCGTATGTCCAACATGACTATCACGAGCCAGGTGAAGCAAATGATGACTGTTGCGTTGGAGGCGGAAAAGGAGGACTACAGTTCCCCTTCATCACTCTCTGCTGAAGAAAAGAATCATCCCGTTGAAGAATCTTGATCTGGGAACTTTGCTTCTGCGTTAGTTTCTGAGCTGCCAGTGGTATGTGGTGAGGCCTGTCCCACGAGATATCTCGGTTGGTGGAAGTCCCCGAGTCTCAAGGGAGAGTAAGACCAAAAGCAAAAAGACAGCCTAGGGCCAGCCTAGGGCCAGTCGGCCGGGTGCTTGTTACCCTAGGGTACGAAAGTTGAGAGAAGACAAGAAAAAAGGCAAAGGAACAGCCACGCACTCTACGGAGTCGTCTTCCTTCGGCCGACGGGCTTGGGGGTCGGCCCCGGAGTAGGAGTAGGATGGGATGACTCCAGGGGGTCAACTCTGGTGATACATAGCCCCATCCATATAAAGGCGGTGCGGCTCATTATCGCGGCCAGGTCGCGACCCAGCGAGGAAAGAACATTGAAGACAGTCTACGGATCTAGGTGTGTGTATTGTGCTGTGCTGCGCCCTCGTGGGCCGCCATTTCGGGCCTCCTCTGCGTGGTCTCCCAAACGGGTGCGGCTTGGGGGTCGAAACTCAGGCCATACACATTCCTTGGTATAAAGGAATGTGGAGAGGAATGAAGCAGATTCTTGTTTCACCTCACAAGGCGGTTTTTTTCTTTTCTTTCTTTGTTTCGTTGTTTTCTCTTTTTCCCCCCTGATTCGATCCTCCTTGGTCTCGATTCAGGTTTGGCCTCACACATCGAGTCGTCTAGACTTCCAGCCCTTGGTTCGTTTTCCTATTACCATCGACGGGGATACTGCTGAAGATCCCCCATGTTCTAATGCCGACAGTGCACATGTGACCAACGGAACGGTTCTGAAGCAGGTACGAGGCTGCCGCTGGAGTCCGTTGGTCCTCACTACCACTGCCACACACACCACACACACACACCACACACACACACGTCGCACAGAAAGAAAGGAATGAGAGAAAGGGAGAGAGAGACAGATCGGCGGAAGGGCCCGAACAATGTGGGAAGAGGAGGGGGGGGCCACAGAACAGTGCCGGTGAAGGTGGTCAGCACGTTGTCTCGAGTTGTGTGCTCAACTGCCTCGGTCCAGCCCCCAAGCACCCATTCTATTCTACTCCCATTTTACTTCTTCTGACGAGCCAGTCTCCGGAAGAAGCATCCGCACGCGGGCTTGGAGCATCCAGGAGGCTATGCCAGTCCAGTTGTCCCTCGTCAAACGAAACCACGAATGTAGGGACCATCCGGGTATTCTTCCAGTCGGAGAGCTATCTTCATTCCCCTCTCCCCTTTCCTCCCTTTCTCGGACAAACGCCAGGTTCTAGCGTGCTTCTCCCTGGCGCCAGCGGGCTATTGGATATTTCCGTGGTCACGATGATTCGTGGGCGAAAGCGGACACTAGACGTGCGGAGCAGGTGAAGACTCCTGGACGGGCGTCGTGTCCCCAGGGGGGTCCGACTTGGCCCGAAGGTCCTCGGACAGACGTCGAACCGTTGTGGCAATCACGGGCAGATGATGTCCTTGTTTGTACCGATACCTCTTCACTGGATGCCGGATGGTGCAAGCACCGTCTCGTCTCTGCACATGTATGAGGGCACGAAGTGCGAACTTGCATAATGGGGGGTGTGTACAGAAGCAGAAGAGGGGGGGCAAGGGAGTGAGTGGGGAGGGGAGCAAGGGAACGTGATAGGGGGCCGAGAAGGCCATGGGCAGAAGAGTTGAGGATGAACAAGCCGACGAGCCGCCGGATATCCGGTCGGTAGGGGTACAGAAGACACGATTGTTACACCCTATCCACACCGTATGTAGAAGAATGGAACCTACGAAGCCCCGGTGGGGGATATGACTCGCCTATTTGGACCTACTCGTTGAAGACGAGAGAGACTAGGTAGGTTGGCGTGCACTGAGGACTCGATAACAACTTGAAGTGACGGGATCTCTCTCGCGGGTGGTGGACGCTCAGTGGTCCTGCTTGCCGCTTTGCTGCTTCTACACCTGCACACGAAGATCTGGTTCCAGGACGGGAATCCCAAGTCTACGGAGTATTGCGCCCTTTGTTCCCCCTCGCTCTCGTTTCCCCTGTCCCAGTACCATGGGACCTGGAGCGATGGGGAAGGTTAAGAAGAAGACACACATTCCCTCCTCGTAAGAAGAAGCCCTCGGGGTTTATCTCTACCGGGAATTCTATTTCTCGAGCTATACTGCAAGCTTTTGAGTGCGCAAGGAGTGGTCAAGCGAAGCACAGGTATATTCGGAGAAACGGAAAGGGGGGCCAAGCTCTGACGCCCGTCGAACTTGATTCCGGCTTCCAGGGGGATGATACATGAATGGGATCATCGAAGGGAGTTTGTCCGAGAGCCGAGAGCTTTACCCTTTCACGGCCGAAATGGGACCGCCCAGAGTGCTGGGACAGGGCGATACGAGTTCGGGCAGTGAGTGGCACGGGGCAGTTCTGGGAAGCCATGGCGCTCTTCTGCCGAGTCATCCCCCGTCAATCCGAGACAGGGCAAACAACAATAGTTAACACATCCATGGTATGTAATTACGTTGCACGGTGTGCAGCGACAAGTCGTGGCGCCGGTATGGACAGGTCATGGGGGCAGGGAGTGGACGGAATTAGGGGGTGAACCGGCCTTCGGCTCTTAGAATTACGCCGGTAAAAGTGAGAGGACACCTCGCTGCGGCTGAGCTGAGAGAGAGTATGTGTGTGGACATGTGGTCAACCCGAAGGACTGGAGGCGCCGACTAGGCCTCTGTCACGGACGGCTTCGCGGTTCTGGTCTTCTGTGAGGTAACACTGCAGACAAGACACACGAACAACGAAGCGGCCAACACGCAGAAACGGCGGGAAGGTCGGCTGTGTTCGAAGTTGCAGTTGAGTGCCATTTTCGAGCGAGATCATAGGCGCGTCTGCGAGGTCCCCATGCCGTTGATAGACGCGATAACGGACGCAAATAGGCAACCAACTCTCGTCCGAGTTTCCTTTTCCAAACCAACACGGCGATCCTGGTGACACATGTGTTGGAGTGCGAGAAATAAGAGACAACGAGACAGTGAGGCCGTGACGATGTCCGTTTTGGTCGTTGGGGGCGGCTCTCGATCTGCAACCCGGGCGCTTAAAGGGAAAACGAAGGGCTCTGTCTCGTGGAAAGCTGGGGTTGCAGCACACACATACAGTATGTATGCGATGTTGGCGTGATGGGCGCAGAACGCTTCCCCCTTTGGTGGACCCGTGGTCGAGTCGAGGCGAAAAAGCGGCAGAAACAGACCCTTGGGTCGAGACGAGACACTGCCCCCCCCCAAAGGAAGACTTGGCCTTGATTTCAAATCTGTCCCACTGAGGCCATAGTTGCGCGGGTGAACTGTGAACTGCCACGACTGCCGCCTGAGTAGTACTTAGGCAGCGCAACTTGCAAGCAGCTAGGGTTGCAATTGCGGCCACAGAGCAGGTTATGAATGTGGGACCAAGGATGCCAGTGGCTCGCACGGCGCCCATATTAACCAGGCAGTGTCATCTGGACAGCATGGACAGCATGTCATGTCATGGACATATCATATCGTGGCAATGGCCCAGCACGGTCATAACAATCACATCCACGGGGTACAGCAGGTATATCGAGACGGCAAGGCCTTCCCTCACTGTCGTTCTTTTTCTTCATTTTTGTTGGTGTATCGCGCTGTCAATGGTCAGCGGCCTGGGGCGGCCGGCACTCGAGTGGGATCGACCAAGTCAGCTTTTGGCTAGTGCCGGCCAAGACAGCCGGAAGAGTCCGTGACCCCAAGATTCGCTAAGAGTTCAGGGGGTCAAGACTTCAGTATCTTGAGCCTTTCTCTAGCTGGTACTAGTGTAGTTAGCAGTTAACCAAGGGACGCCATATTTAAGTTATTCCGCATAAATCCTTCTCGGCAACGGGTTGGATCTATGCTGGACTATCGTGATGCCGCCCCCAACTGCTGCGGGGAGGTCATGTCATGACGAGACATTTGGCGAGCGACAGCAAGTACGGGTAAAAAAAGAAAGAAAAAAAAAAAAGGGCGTGAATCCTCTACAGAATGGGGGGAAGACTCCCTCTCCCGCGCGTCCGATGGCGATTGGTGACCAATAATGTCGACAATTGGCACATCTCGGCGCGCGTCTCTGTGAGGTGACGTTGTGGGAGAGAAAGACGTTGCGAACGAAGTACCTAGGTAGGTATACGGTGCCACGGCGGTAGGGTGGAAAAGAAAAAGTAATGATAATAGTAGGTAAGGTAGAGAAATCACTCAGTACATAGCCAATGTACCTTGGGTGAACCCATGTGCGCGAGGCTGAAGGGCCTCTTATTGGCCGCGAGGCTGACTTTTTGCACTCCCCACCTCCACAGCCCAATGCATATCGGGCGGATAGTCGCCCAATCTGGTAAACGGTCGAGAGTGGGTCCTCATATCGGTCATCTACCTACAGTGGTGCCATATTAGTGCCCCCCGCTGGTGTGCCGCTAGTCGACCCGACGGTTCGGATCGCCCCAGTCTGGCGTTGGTTTTAGCGTCTTCGCGGGGCATCCTCAGTGGTTAGGGGAAATGCGCCAGCGTAAAAGGTGGGTCGCAGTGGTCGCAGTGGTCGCAATGGGTGGGGAAAGCTCTAAAGTCGACGCATCTTTTTCCGCATTTCCTCACATTTTCCTCAGCTCCTCGACCCCCTTTCCACTTTCCACTTTCCACCTCTTCTTTGTTCTCCCTCTGCTGGTCCTCTTCCCTCCTTCTCTGCCTTTCCTGTTCTCCCCCCCCGGCTCGACTGCCTGCCATCCCATGTACGCTGTACGTTGTACTATTAGTGGATGGGCGGACGGGACGGAATGCGCTGCACAATTGCGCCCCAATCTGAGATCTGTCGCGCATCCTGGCGCTGCGGAAACGCTGTACTTGTAATAAGTGTAGCATGCCCTAGAAGCATTTCCAGATCGCCCACTTGACGCAGACCACATCACTCAACGCCTTTTTTTTTACTCCGTCCTTTTTTTTTTTCTCCGTGACCTCCCATTGCCTAATGTTGCTGCTTTGGCCCAATCGATCCCCGGGGGGGGTCAGCGCCATCTTGGACCAGCCCAGTCTTCCCCATCTCCCTGGACTCTTTTCTTTTTCTTCTTCTCTCTTTTCAAACACTGTATAGAACAATATGCTTCTGCTAAGCCACGCGTCGGCCTCGCGATGGCTGCACTGCACAGAGGGACCGATATCTTTCGGCATTCCCATTCTTTGACATGCCGGACGACGCATCCCTCAGTTCGCTCTCGGCCCCCATTTCTTGTCCTGCCTACCAAGCAGATACACGTAATCGGTTGATGAAGGCTCCACCTTCCATAGCCCCTACTCATGAAGTCGGCTTGGCACACGAAAAGAAAAAAAGGGCGGCCACCCATCTGGGGTTTCTCCATCGCAGATCGAGCCGTAGTGGCCCGGTGCGCTAAACCCCGAAGCCATTGCAATCAAACTTTGGGCATCGCCGTCGTCGTCGTCGTTTCGTCCTTTTAGTCTTTCACGCTCTCGGCTCCTCGGATTGGACTCCCTTTGCCCGCCTCTACTAGCTTCTGCTAGTGCCCATGTTTATTCACTCTAAGCTTCTTCCTTCGGACTTCCTTTGCTGCAGACACGTCAAGTTTCTTTCATGGCACATTAATTCCGAAGGGAGAAGGGGGTTCATACATGCCTGGAAGAATTGTGTTTCTTGTACAGAGAACAACCGGGATTTTTGTATTTATTTCCTTCTTCATCCATGCACATTATGCCTATTGTGTGAGAGCTCACAAGATATTTTTGCACTTCCTGAAGACGTAAGACGTCGTCTTGTTACATATCCTCTCTCGTCATCCATTCCATCACTGAACTACACCCCAGTGGTGCTCTTTGTATGAGAGATGCTTTGGAAGAGAGATATACAACTACCCTCGCGGCGTACTCCGTATTCCCTACAACGTATATCCCTCCCCCCCGGTCATTTCGCAAAGAACCCCTGTCTAGCCTGCCCTACGCAAGTGTCTATCTAGTGTATGTACTAAACTGACACTCCAAGGATTGTGGCCCGAGCCCGCGCATTCTTCCCTCTCTCTCTCTTCTCTTAAGCCTAATTCCGCGGTCTTATCGCCGATCGGCGGTATTTTCTTCTTGGTCTATTTTCTCCTCCTCCTTCTTTTAGTGTTCTTAGCAGCTTTGCCACTTTCCTCCTTGCTCTTTCTCTTGCCGTTTCTAGAATTGGCTCCTTGACCAGCACCAGTGATCTTGTACGAAGTAGTCGGATGCTTTCCGAGTCCTCCGAAGTTCAAGTATGAAAGGGGGGGGCGTCTGGAGAGAAGCATTCACTTCGGCGCCGAGCTGCGCACTGTCACCCACACGGACTAGTGAACAAACCCTGGTTGTTTTACCGACACGTCTGGTGAACCTCGTTCATCCGACCTTGTCATTGGGACACTAGGACACTGGGGAGCTCACAAGAGCATGCTAGTTTCAGAAGCTATCCGTGATATCGGCGCTTCGAAACGGCCGCAGAAGTGCAAACTGGATTAGGCCACTGCCCTTCTTCTTCTGCCCTAGTCCTCTCCTTCTTGTCCTCAAGCCCAATATACCCACTCTCGGACCTTTCATCCATCCCCGTCTGTCACCCTCCTATGGATGGATCGGCTTGGAGCCTACCTACCCATGGCGCGCATCTCCCTCGGCTCACTCCTCCCAGTCCCAGTCACCGCCCCCCTCCCCCCCCTGCCCCCCTTCCCACCCCTTCCACCCACCCCTCCCTCTTGTCTCCCCGTATCATCACCGAAGCTCGCCATCTTGTTCCGCACTTTAGCAGCACAAAACCAAATAAAAACCCCCCCTTTCTTGGCTACATGACAAGTAACTCTATTTTGTACCTGTAGTGACGAACCAGCGGCTATCGTCTGTGAGCATCTACCAGACAGACGCTTTGCGCCCCCTTCCCCACCCCTTTTTTTGTCCCGGCCCCCGGGGCGCATGCATCAAGTTGTCTCTATTCCCGGAGAGCTAAACCTGGACACAGCACAGACAGCCCTGGCAGTTACCGTCTCTCGGCCGGCGAGGACTTCACCCTCGTCTAGCTAGGTTAGGTACTTGGTTTTGGTGCTGGGTCCTGTTCTTCTGCCCCCCCCAGTTCCTTTTCCGCTTCTCCTTCCCTTCTGCGTCTCCCCCCCCCCCCCCTTGTTCGGCTGTCTCCCGACCAGGCAAAGGGGTCCCATTTACCATGCCCCTCTTCCACTGTACCTTGCGTCTAGTCACGCAATTATGCGCCTCTTGTCCTGGGACTGGGACTGTACCGGTACTGGTACGTATGATGTAGCATCGTATCTGGCTGTGCTATCTATGAACGTGTATGTAGTTCGATGCCGCCGCGTGGGGCCCTGTCCCATGCCCCATGTCCCCCTCGAAGACCCAGACCTTCCCCTACCCTGGGGCCGGGGTCGAGCTGTGCCTCTCTCCATCTTTAAGAGAGCGTGGGCCGTCTCCATTCCAACAAGGCTCAATCTTCAGTTCAACTCCCTTTCTCCTGTCTTCCCCTTCCACTCTTCTATTCAACCCCCCCTTCGGCCCAAATCGCGGCCAGCGAGAGGCTGATTTTCTTGCGCCATCCGCCCTTTGACTCAACCGAGCTAGAGTATGACGCAGGGCTTGGGACTATTTCGACTTTGTTCTCTTGCTCAATGAGGCCTCAACTTTGAAGAAGAGCCGGCAATTCTCTCAACTCTTTTCTTTTTAATTGCAGGCTCCGTGGTCTTCAAGTTCACATGTCTGAGTCGAACTTTTGACGGCACCAACAGTTGATTACTTCTTCGGCCTCTCGAAATAACCGTTCTTTTCTTTTATTCTTTTTACGCCCCTCCGTGCCCCCTATTCTACCAGACCGCAAACCGGCAGACATTCTTCAACCTGTCCAAGCAAACCAACAAAACCGTCCATCGACAGTCGAGTCGAAAGATTTATATATATATCACCCGGCATGGCTATGATAGACCACCAATACCTCACTTCTTCAACACCATTCCGTCCTGAAGACCTTTCCGGGGACATCCCAGGGTCCTGTTCTTCTGTGGCACAGTCAGCTGCATACGCAACAACTCCCTACACCACAGTAAGTTCTATTCTTCTTCCTCCACTTGCTTTGGGAACGGCACCATTGTATGCAGATCCTCCCGCCCCCACACGGGCAAATCACTCCAGTCGGCTCACCATACCAGATCACCACCTTCAATCTCTCGCATAACTGTGACTCGTCTCTTCCGACGCCCATCTCCGGTGCTGGTTCGCCTCCTATGCACCAGAGGTCGGAGTTTATGCACGGGTATCCCTCCACGACCAGCCCCCATTCTCAGCAACCTACCGCCCCCTCTGGCCCCTCATCCCCGGGTTCAGTGCACAAGATGTACTGGAACCAGGGCTTCGACATGACGGCTCCTCCGAGCCAAACCGGGTCGCCCATGTCCATTGCGCCTCCCACCTCCTCGGAGAATCAGTTCGATATGAACTATATCTTGACTGACGGCCAGACCATGAAGGAAGAGATTCGGGAACCTCCAGAACCATATTTCGGGTCGTTTGGCGTCTCTGCTTCGGAACCAGAGGGCGTCGCCGCCTCATCACACCATCTCCATCATCATCATCAGGGCTACTACGCTGTTGACCCCATGCACCCAATGGGCCACATGAACTCTACCCTCACCCCGAGTTCTCTGGTAATCAAACAGGAAACCGAAATAGAGCTGGACGCTCGCAACAGCAACAACCACAACCACCACCATACTCACCACGTCACCCGCCCCGTCATGCACAATACTCAGAGTCCTCTCCTCAACCAGACCCACTCGCACCAGTTCCATACACAACAACATCAACAACAACATCAACAACAACATCATCAACAACATCATCAACATCATCATCAACAACCAGAACAACCACCACCACCACCACAACAACAACAGCAGCACTTGTTAGCGAACCCCAGCAACGAAGACCCCCACCTCATACCCAGCTACGGCGTCCCCAGGACGACCATGGTCTCAAGTCCCAGGATAAAGAGGCCCCAGCCATCAGCGCCACGGTCCTTCAAGCGACCTCGGATGCGAGGACGCCCGACATCACTCGGCAGCGGTCGCGAAGGGGGCAACAACAACAACAACAACAACAACAACAACAACAACAACAGCCACACTAGCAAAGACGCGTCGAACGATGCCACGGCTAGCAGCGGTGCACAACGCAACAAGAAGGTCTTCAGGAACCAGCAGGGCGGCAGCAGTAGTAGCAAGGGCGGCGGGCAGACCAACGCGGGCGAACCCCTGCGCTTCAAGCCTGGCATCCCCGAGACGGATAAGTTTCTGTTCGAGCTCCGGCAAAAACACGACGACAATAAGGGGAAGGGCATGTGGGATCCCATCGCGGCTGAGTATAATCGGCGCTTTGGGTGCAGCTTTGACAGGGCTGCGCTTCAGATGCGGTTGTCGAGGGCCAAGTCGAAGTGGGTGCAGTGGTCGGGGCGAGATGTGTGTTCTCCTACCCCTCTGCTTTTTGTCTTTACCGCCCCCCCTTTGCTAACGTTCAGGAACAGGACCATGCGTTAATCGAGGCCGCACGACAGGTTGAGCAGCAATATTACCGCCAAGTACACATGAAGTACAAGGAATTGGGCGGCAACCCGCAAGCCGACTTCAACGTGGGCAACATCGAGATGCGCATGGTCGAGCTCGGTCTCTCGGACGTGTGGATGGAGTCCTGGAAGGGGGACCCCAAGAAGATGTCCATCCGGCGGCGGCGGAAGTTGAATGAGCGCCAGCGCAGCTCGGCCGCCACATCGCGGGACGACGCGACAGCGGCTCGGGACGCTTACATCCAACACCACCCGGGTGGACAACAGCAGCAACAACAGCAACAACAACAGCAGCAGCAACAATTCCAGCAAACCCCCAACCAGCCGTCCTACGACGAGTTCGCGCCTTCCGGCATCAGCACCTTCCCGACAATACACCTGACGCAGGAAGAACACGAACGGGTCATGGCCAATATCGAAAGCAGGGGGTATCCCCTGGACGGCTCGGCGTCTCCCGAAACCGCGGCGGCTGCCTTGACGGGCGGCGGGGACGGGAAGCGGGACGAAGACGGTTCGGGCAGGGGCGCGTCGGTGTCGGCGACGGCGGGGCAATCCGGAATCGCTGCCGCTGCCGCTGCCGCTGCCGCTGCCGAACAACACGACGAGTCTGGCCTACGGGTGGGGAAGCAGGCGGCAGCCAGACGAGGAATGGGGCAGGGCCAGAAAGGGTCGCCTCAGAATCGCGGTCGTGGGATGGTGATGCAACAACATCACGTCTCTCGGCAACATGCTTCTCACCATTGTTGAGGCGTTGCGTTGTTGTACTTTCCAAACTTCTTCTTCTTCTTCTTCTTCTTCTTCTTCTTCTTCTTCTTCTTCTTCTCCCCCCTTTTCCCCTTTCTTTTCTCTTTTTGCCTTTTTCTCTTCCCCCTTCTGCTTTATCTGTGTTTCGGGTTTTATATATGGGGTTTCTTTTTTCACAAACTATGGTCACATTGTGGCCGGTCTCTCCTTTTCATCACCTCCAGTATTCTTACAATCTTTTTTGGCGTCTTTCTAGCCCCTGCCCTCCCTCTCTTCCCCCCCCCCCCCCTCGATGATTAGAAAACAGGGAGGGCAGTTTGGGTTAGTAACGACAACGATAGGACGAGGCAAGGGCGGCAAAGGACATCTCATCGGAAGACTTTCATGGGAAGCACAGAATCAAGACGACTAAGACATAAGAAGGACGAGCAGCTCACGCAGCATATCTCTCTGGGGGCGGTTGGGGGATGGGATACCAGGACACAAGAGTCCGAAATTCTTCTATTCTTTTCGCTCCTTTATGAACTTGTGTATTACTGGGGCTTTTTTCTTGTTTTATATTTTGTCATTTTTCAGAATATACCCTGAATTGCTTGGGAAACCGGGAAAGATTTGCTTTTTTTACCCTTCCGTTCGGTCCAGTCCTTTCTCTTTACACATTTAGGTGGCACACGTCGCCTCCTTTTGTGACCTGTATTTCGCCAAGAAATCACTTGGACCAAAAGAGAAGACAGATGAGGGATTCAATGAATATTTCCACTGTATATCCCATTTAGATGCTGCTAGTCCCGTGCTTTACGAGGGTACGAGGGCCTAGAACAAAGAGATTTCCTCCGAACCGAAACCTCATAGCTGTGCCGAGAGCCCGCCTCTCGTCAAGGCGCTGGGTCAATTTAATTTGTAAGCATTCTGGAGAGTGAAAGGGGTTCCCGCCCACCTCGGTCCAGGGGTCTACCCCCCCTTGACTGGTAGTGGAGGTCAGGTCGCACTCAATCTTCCCCCGTCCGGGACCGTGCTCCGGGTGGATGTGTCCGTGAACGGCGCGCATGGGGCTCGAAAGGACCAGCATCAGGGATTCTCGGCCTCTCGTCGAAGCGCGAGATACCAAGCCTTGGGGCGTCCAATGTCTTTGAGACTATCTGAGACCGTCCCCGTCCCCTTCCCCTTGCCCTTGCCCTTGCCCTTTCTGGGGTTGTCAAATGATTATGGGAAAGCCCCAGTGCCCCCCAAGTGACAAACAACGGCAGCGCAGGCGGCAGGCAGTCAAGGGTACATGTAGGGATCAAAAATAACCGGGAGGAGAAAGAATAGGAACAAGGACCCAGAAAAAGGGGAAACATTGAAGAGGAAGGGGAAACGACGCGGCACGATGTGTCGCTGCAAACGAGGCACGCGCGCTCCTCCTCTGCCACTCTCCTCCCATTTGATGTCTATCTACAACGTAATCCGATCAGGCAACGATGCTGGTAGTACGGCCCTGATGTGACCGGGACTTCACTTGTGGCAGTTTTCGCAGCGGCTAAGCCACCCCTCTTGCGGCCCTTGGGACCAGTAGTTTTGCTTGCCGGACTCTCGGGCCAGGACTCTGTCGAATCAGGAGCTTCATATTCCGAGGGGGCAGTGAGTGACTTTATGTTGTTTTCTTCTGCCGTTCTTTTCTTTTCATGTTCGTTCTGCAGTGCAGCATTGGGTGTGTTGCAGCTGCCGAGCCGGCCGGTGGGAGTTGTTGCATAATTTTCATTATACCGGCTTGTTATGGACGAGGGTATTGGGTTATGCTTGGGGTGCAGTGCAGAGTTGCAGAGAGGGGTGTGTGTGTGTGTGTGTGTGTGTGTGTGTGTTCAGACAGGTTTTGGAAGCTCTTCGGTCGATTCACCCAGTTAGAATATAGTGGCATCCGCATCTGTGGAACATTCGTTTCCTTCTTCACTCTGCGTATGGCCCCCAGCCTTCATTCGCTTGAAACCTGCTCGTTTCCCCTCTCTTGGCGAGCTCTCGGAAAAGACACCGCGGTGCGTTGCGTTACGTTACGTTACCTTGCGGTGCGGATTAGCGGATTACAGGTATCTCCCAGCTTTCGCTATTTTCACTGTAATGTTTCCAGAAATGGAAGAGCTATCCCCTGATACGATTTCGACTCCGCAACTGGGGCTGTCGTAAATAACATGAAGTCTCCTCTTCCCCGTCGATGAAAGTAGAGCCGACCATCTCGAGATGGAGAGAATGGGAGACAGAGAGACACAGTTGAGTCTAGCAGAAGCATGTTATGTTGCAATCATCGTGATTCTGAATCCTACCAATTCCCAGTTCAAGTGCAACGCAACGCCCGCTGGGTGAGCACTGGTCATCGGATGAGACACAGAACTTCCGGCCGAGATGGGTCGGATGCGGATGTTGTGCGACGCGGGACCTGGAACTCTTAATAAACGAAGGAGTAATAAGTGGCTCACATCATCCACTGACCGTGCGGGTTGCGGAGTGGCTGATGCGCGATGGTTTATATCCTATGATCATCACCGTCATGCCGAACGATGAGACGCAATACTGGTGCCAACACTGGTGCCAACACTGGTGCCGACGACCGGTGAGTGTCGAGATCAGCGAGTCCAGACTCTGGACTCCAGAGTTGTGACGACATTTCCCCATCCCCCCATCCCCCCATCCCCCCAGTGCCCCTTCTTCTTTCTTCTTCGTTTTTGTATTTTCGGCCGAGGCTGCCAACCGACACATGGGTAGATTTGGGCCTCTTAAACAGGCCTGGCATTGCTCGCTTCGCCAGGCCCTTTCTGGAGGCCAAGTGTGCCCCCAGCCTGCATGCAGCATCATCGCCATTCAGGAACCACAACCCTGCACTGCACTCAGAAGCCGTATGGACGATCCAAGTAACAATCGCGATAATTATAAGAATCGTCGCCGATTTGTGCGACTTGATTAACGATGTGGTCGTTTTCGGTCAGGGTAGCGACGAGAGTCGGGATATAGGAACCGAGATGAGCTGCCGGGGTCTTCGGTGGAGCTCGGCATCGACCGGGGAAGTCGGCGCCTCTTTCCGGTGCACCGCGATGCCAGGGCTGGGGGAACTGGGGGTCCAAATGGAGAAGAAGTTCCATTCCAAGACACTGCCGCATTGATTTTTTTGCACCCCCCGACTAGTCTACATTGTACGTTGTACTGTTTTCACCTCGGTGTGAATACGATGAATAATGAAGATATCGGTATAATTCGGTGAAGACGAGCTAGCTACAAGCCACAGCCACAGCCACAGCCACAGACACCACAGCCACGACCCAGATGACATCTCAAGACGCCGCCACAGCTCGGAGGTTCGGAGACCCGCACGCAATACGAAGACCCAAGGTACATCGTCACTTGTTGCGGACAAGTCGCCAAAAGCGCAGAGCAAACCCTGTGGACACAACAGCAACAACATCACCACGGGTTCCTCCTAAAGACGGGAGTTGCATACAAAGCCATTCGTTTTCTTATGATACCATGTCTTCATTCACCTCAAGCTCTCCTTGGATCTTATCTCGTTGATCTCCCTCTGGTTCTCAATGCCCTGTCTCGATACATCTCCATTCTTCCTCGTTCTTTTGCTCTCCCTCACATGACGATTTCCTACCAACACACCTTCTTCCGCTGTCTTCGAATCCGGCATCTGGTGTCTCGAAAAATCTCAAAAACATCTTGCGTCTGGGAGGGGGAGGGACTTGCTCCTGGCGGCTAGGCGCTTTGATGGAAATTGTCGCGTAGCTTTCGCCTTCCTGCGGCCCCATGTTACACATTCGAAAATGCCCTCGGCTTTGAGTGTGTTTGGCTGCTTCTTGCTGTCATGGCCTGCAATCACCGCGGCTATGGGCCCTGCCCGCCTAGCTGAGCTTCGCAACCATACCGTCGAAGTGTTCCAGCACGGCTTCAACAACTATATGCAGCATGCGTTCCCCGAGGACGAGGTTAGACCATCGGATCCTACTACCCCGTCGCGATTCCCTTTTATCTTCTTTTATCTTCTTCCTTCTTTTTCTTCTTCTTCTTCTTCTTCTTCTTTCTTGTACTTCGTACCTTGTCTCCGAGACTAACTGGCCTCTGCCGTACAGCTTCGCCCCATCTCCTGTACGCCCTTATCGCGGGATCCTGCAAACGAACACAATTACGACCTCAACGATGTTCTCGGCAACTACTCTTTGACCCTCATCGACAGCCTGTCAACCCTGGCGATTCTAGCCGGCACCCCGTCCGACCCTGATACGGCCACCTGGGCCTTGCGCGAGTTCCAAGATGGAGTCGAGAAATTCGTCGACCACTACGGCGATGGGCGGAAAGGCCCCTCAGGCCAAGGCCGGCGCGCCCGCGGCTTCGACCTGGACAGCAAGGTGCAGGTCTTTGAGACGGTGATCCGCGTCGTCGGTGGTCTCCTGAGTGCACACCTCTTTGCCGTCGGCGAACTTCCTATCCCGGCTTACGAACCCGTATTGCCTATACTCGAGGAAGCCTCGGACCCCCTTGAGCTACCGCCAATACCATGGCCAAGCGGCGGCTTCCAGTACGACGGCCAGCTCCTCCGGCTGGCGCTGGACCTGGGCGAGAGGTTATTGCCCGCCTTTTACACCAAGACGGGCCTCCCTTACCCGCGCGTGAACCTACGCCACGGCATCCCCTTCTACGTAAACTCTCCCTTGCACAAGACTTCCCCGAACCACCACGACCACGACCACGACCACGACCACGACCACGACCCCGCCTCGTCCCAAAGGTCGCGCGAGAAGACCGACACGTGCAGTGCAGGTGCCGGCAGTCTGGTGCTCGAGTTTACCGTCCTCAGCCGTCTCACCGGAGACCCTAGGTTCGAGAACCTGGCGAAAAGGGCTTTCTGGGCCGTCTGGAGCGCGAAGAGCGATATCGGGTTGGTGGGCAACGCCATCGACCCGGAGAATGGCGAGTGGGTGAACTACGACACCGGCATCGGAGCCGGTGTAGACAGTTTCTTCGAATACGCCTTCAAAAGCCACGTCCTGCTTTCGGGCCATGATCTGCCCAACACCACGACGGCTCGCCCTCGCGGGAAGCCCACGGATCGTGACTGGCTCGACCCCGACAGTCTCCATCCGAACCCCCTGGCGCCCGAGGAGCATTCGTCGGGCGCGTTTCTCGAGGCATGGCATCAGGCCCACGCCGCCATCCGACGCCATCTATACAACGATATCCACCACCCCTACTACATGACGGGCCATCGGACCCGAGGCCACCCCTTCACCTTCTGGATCGACAGCCTGGCCGCTTTCTATCCCGGTCTGCTGGCCATGGCCGGAGAGGTCGCCGAAGCTGAGCAGGCCAACCTGCTGTACACGGCCCTGTGGACCCGATATGGTGCCTTGCCCGAGCGCTGGTCCGTCCGAGAACGACAGATCGACTCGGGCATCGGCTGGTGGCCGGGACGCCCCGAATTCATCGAGTCGACCTACTACCTCTACCGTGCGACCAACGACCCCTGGTATCTGCACGTGGGCGAGATGGTGCTCGCCGACATCAACCGCCTGTGTCGCACCCCGTGTGGCTGGTCCGGGTTGCAGAACGTCGACACCAAGGAGAAGGCGGACCGCATGCAGAGCTTCTTCTTGGGCGAGACCACCAAGTATCTGTTTCTGCTGTTCGACCCGGACCACCCTTTTAACAAGCTCGATGCCGCCTACGTCTTCAGCACCGAGGCCCATCCGCTCATTATCCCCCGGGGACGGCGGCGGCGGCGCCAGAACCGTCCCATGCCGGACCAACGCAGACGTGTTTCGGGGCCTCGCGATAGCCGACGGGGTCGGTGGGTCAAAGATGTCAACGTCTACTGGGACGAGAGCTATACCAACACTTGCCCCGTTCCTGCCAAGGAGGTGCCCCTGACCCGATCGGTGCTCGCCTCGCGGCCGGACGTCTTCCACGCCGCTCACTTCGTGAACCTCCACAAGGCGCCCAACCCCCAGGGCGGTGTCGAAGCCGTTCCCGCAGCGCCAGGTTCCAATAACACAATCTTGCGGTACACGACGAACCATTCCGTCTTCCCCTGGACCCTCCCGGGGTCCATGCTGCCCGCGAACGGCATCTGCTCTGCACCCTCTTTCAAGCCGAGCTTCATCATCGAGTTCCCGCCCGTAGTGCCCAAAGGCCAAAATGCGGGCAGCGCCTTCAACCAGTTACTCGCCAATGCTGCTGCCTTCAAGACTGAACTCGGCATCAGAATCGTCTCGCTGAACGGTCTCAGGATTACCTTCGTCCAGGAGGAGTCTTCGGACCCTAGCTACGACCACGTCTGGCGCATTACCGGCGTGAATCTTCTTGTACTCGGCAAGTACGAACTCGTCCATATAGACGCCGACCTCCTCTCCGGCGTTGCGGACCCGTTATTTCATCGTGTCCGCTATCCCCCTTACGCCGATCTCATCGTCGTCTTCGGTGACGCGGCTGAAGCTGACGAGGATGCCACCGCCGAAATCCCGGTCGAGAGTTTTGAACATCTTGTCGACGGCGCTGGACGGGAGATCCCACTGACACCAGAAGAAGAGGCCGCTTGGATGAACCGCGAAAACCATCCTACTGCACCAGAGGATCGCAATCTTGACCCGGGCTACCAATCTATGCTCAAATCCTTTGTCCGTCGCGTCACATCCGTCTTCGACCCGTCTGGCACGGCCACACCGCGGCAGCCCGGGCCAGACGGCACTGCCCCCCGGCTTCACGTCGAAACCTACAAAGCGGCCCTGCCGGTCGGCCAGGGCGCCGTCCCCCTCCCCGACGTCCCCGACGCGCCTCTCCCCCCGATCCTCCACGAGGACACGAACCGCTCCACCGACGGGGAAAAACCACCACCACCCAACCACTTCGCCCTCCCCTGGTCGACCGTCTACCTCGCCGACGAAGCCTGCTCCGGCCGCCTCCCCGACGCGGCGCCGCGGGACCACCACATCATCGTCATGCGCCGCGGCGGCTGCACCTTCAGCGCCAAACTGGCCAACATCCCCTCCTACACCCCGTCTTCGCGCTCCCTCCAGCTCGTCGTCATCGTGGACGACTCCAACGGCGACGTCGACGGCATCTCCGGCCCGGAGGGCTTCGCCTCGCTCCCGCCCCACCTCCGCGACGCCCTCGTCTACGGCGGCGCCGCCCAGGCCGCCCAACCGCCCTGGCATGCCGCCGACGACTTGACGCGCCCCCGGCTCGACGAGCCGCAGCGCACGCCGGGCGGGTTGCCGAGGCATCGGCCTGTGCCCATGGTTCTCATCCGCACGGGCGAGGGGGGGGCGGCCTATGAGCAGTTTCGTCGCGCCAGGGGGGTCGGTGTGCGGCGGAAGTACCTTGTTGAGACGCAGGGGCGGCGGGTGGACAACCTCGTCGTGCTCTGAGCTGGATGGGCTGCAAAACGGGCGTCGGTGCATCTTTTCCCGGAGGGACATGAAGGCTAAAGCTGGAGATGTTTTTTTTTTTGTTTTTTGTACATGGCAATCTTCTGTTTTTATCCCCCGTCTCATTATTGGCATAGCAACGCTTGATGATGAAGATATGAGGGTCATGAATTGGAACGTATGACTTGAAGCACGCCATATGAGCGGGAAATACCCGGGGTCACTGTCTGCGATGGCACCATAGATTCGATGCATGTGACAAACTGCGCATGAATATGCCACTTGTATGGATTTGATTTTCATCTTGCAGCATATCATTACTATCAATGCATCGTCTAATGCTAGATGAGAGGAACAAACGAAAAAGCAAAAGTTGGGATGGCCAAGTAAAGGAAAATAACACCCGAATGCCGAATCATGCCATGCCCGACCTCGTCACCATCCCCGGGCTGACATCCCATCCCGTAGCTGCCCTCTCCGGCCCCGGGGAGAAAGAGAGCATAAAAAGGGGAGGGGAAAAAAAAGTCTATGATATGATTGTGCATATGATCGTCCAAACCCCATCCATGACTGCTTTAAATGATCATCCATAACTTTTGAGCTCCGATTCCCAAAACGCCACCACATGATGAATCCCTAGATGCGACATCCTTCCCATCCTCTCCATTTCAGCCGTCGGCGAAGCGAGAGAGAAAGAAAAAGAGGGGGGGGGGATAACGGTTGATTTTTCTGTTTTCTGTGTATTGTTGCTTTGCCCCTTTTCGCGCCCCGATTATGCAAGACGCGTTGCTTTATGACCAGCAACTCGGTGCCGCCGGATGCAAAGTTCCCCGTGTTTGTATGTACTCGGATACGCCCCTCTTTTGCATCGATGAGATGAAGAATAAGGGAGGAGGGAAACCTTCAACCAACCAAAAAAAGGGGAGGGGGGGAGAGAAAAAGATGGGAATGTTGGTGCATTTTTCCTTATTTCCCCCTTTTTCATGCGTCTTCGAGAAGAATGGTGGTCTGGATGCTCTCGAGCTTTTCGCGGCCATTGAGGCCGGGGATCTCGAGAATGAAGAGAAAGCCCATGATTTCGCCTCCCAACTGCTTGACAAGGTCGGCAGCGGCCTTGGCGGAGCCACCTAGACGAAGAAAGATATTCATTAGTAATGTTAAAACAAGAAGAGGGCCAAAAAAAGGGGGAAAAAAGACAACAACCCCCCCCCCCCCCCAAGACAATGGAAAGGGCGCTCCAGCCCAACCTACCCGTAGCAATGATATCGTCAACAATCAACACCTTCTGCCCCGGCTTGATCGCATCATTCTGCATCTGGAACAGGTCGACGCCGTACTCCTTCTGATACTCGGCCGTGACGCAGGGGCCGGGCAGCTTCCCCTTCTTGCGCACGGGGGCGAAGCTGACGCCGCGGCGCAGGGCCAGGCCGGGCCCGAAGAGGAAGCCGCGCGCGTCCAGGCCGACGATGACGTCGGGGGCGTTCTCGGAATAGAGCTCCCTGATCTGCAGGTCGAGGGCGGCGACGAGGGTCTCGTGCACGGACGGGTCGAGGAAGAGGGGCATGATGTCGACGAAGTCAATCCCCTTGATGGGGAAGTCGGGGAAGTGGCGAAGGGCGGCCTTGAGCTTCATCTTCCAACCGGCGAGTTCGGAGGAACGGGGGGCGGCGGCGGTGGACTGGCGTCCCTCGGCATCTTGACCCTCGGTGGCGGTGGTGGTGGTGGAGGTGGAGGAGATAGGTTGGGCGGGGTGGGCGGCGAGGGGAGAAGTCACTGGCAGGTCGGAGGATGAAGTGCTACCAGTAACAGGGGCCGGTTGGGAGGACATGATGGGGAGAAGGAAGAATCAGAGGAAGAAAAAAGGGAGGAGAGGAAGAAGAAGAGAGAAGGAAGAATAAGGAGGGAGAGAGAGAGAAGAAAAAAAGAAGAGTAAGGGGGGGGGGGGGGGGTAAAAGAGAGGACTGGGCCGATATGGGTTTGTACAGATGAGAGAAATTTTGGGGGGGGGGGGTCCGGGGTTCGTGGGGGGGTACGGTACGGGTACGGGTACGTGTTCCAGTGTCTCCGTCCCTTGTCATTAACCTCGGGGGGGTGTAGGTATGTGTACTCCGTATGAGTGGAGGGCAAGGGGTGGGACAAAGGGGAAACTGGAAACTGGCAGACGGCTGTAGGAGAGTCGCGGCGGCTGGACGGGTGTAAGGGCATAATAAGGACAGGTCAAGGCGCTGTTGAGGACGTGTCGCTGGCGCGGGGAGATGGGAACAGTGCTACCTTAAGGTACTTGTAGCCTGAACAGAGGGATCATGAGTAGTGTAGCTTGTAGTATTAGTACTTTACATGAGGGGATCTACGACAGGCAGGCAAAAGCAAAACTGTAAGGTAGGTAGACCAAAAACACGTAAAAAAGATAGCAACGGTGCGGATAGATTGGTGAATAATACCCTTATAACAACGTGCTGTGATACCACATAATAATCCGACATGGGTACGTCGTACTGTAGGCATCTAATACCAGAACGAAATCCACGTCTACCATCAGGCAGGCGAACAAGCACGAAAGCCTGGTGGTGGATGGCGCATAGCGCACAGGGATTGCGCGGGAAACGGAGGGGCAACGGGAGGACACGCAACAGTTGAAAGCAAGTGGGTATTAGGGAAAGGCTGGGTCGCCTGTTGATATGGAGAACCGGACGGAGGAGTTTGACGGGCAGGGAGATTAAAAGATGAAAAAAATCTCGAACTGGCTATTGATACATGTGAAAATAAACACCTGGTAACCACAGAGCGGAGGATGGATTTTCTTATACTTTATATCCCGTATTGCTCTCTTGGATTCAACACGACAAAATTTATCGAGTTGTCGAGTCTTGTCAGAGGTCATGGAATTACAGGTAACCTATCTAGGTAGCTACCTACCTTATGACTTGGTACGTCTCGTGTGTTGTATTGTTTGTTTGTCAACTGCTTCTGCTTCCGCTTCCGCTTCCTGTCGCTTATTATGGGCGATGCTACTCCCGTACTGTAGTTACGACAGCCCTGTCTGAGCTGAGGTGGTGAGGGGGAGGGGTATATCTTACAGAGGTACCGCGACAGTAGAGCTCCAGCAAAAGGAGGGGGAGGGGTAATCTCCGAGTGACTTGCATGCATGCGACTGCTGATAATGGTAGGTAAGGTACTTCGTAATTACAGTACGTTGTACGGAGTATGGGTACCTTTAGTCTCAGAACTGCACCACGTTTCGGATTCATGGTTTGTCTTGTTAGTCCTGTGACAACGGACTGGTACAATGTTATCTTGTGCTCTGCATTCACTCTTGTCTCAATTATCGATCGGTACGTTTAGCTGGTATATTACATTATTACAGTACCAGCCGCAGCTAGAAATTAGCGGAGCAGTGGACTACAACGTATCTGATGTGTATTCCATGTCCGGCGTAACGGGTCCTTTCTAAGTCCATGTTACAGTTTCATTTTGGACATCTATGACTCTCTTCCTCCTTACAGACTCGGTGAGTGAGTAATAGTAACTAATGGGAAATGGTCAACCCCAGCGCAACAACACACTGATGCAGGCGCAAGTGGGATGATTCTACTATTTCCAAGGAAACCCGTAAGCCTTGGCCTCGATTCCTCCCACTCACCTCACTTTCCCCCCACTATACGGCAACCATACGGCATACATACCGCACACATAGCGCACTGCGCCATGCCACCATCCCACAAATACCACCATCCACGACACCCAATCCGCCCACTGTCCCACCGTGATAACAGTACACACCATGCACAAAGTACCACACCTATGGTGTATCGTATCACGGGCTGGGGGAGAAAAGAAAAGAAGAAGAAGAAGAACTGATAAAAAGAAAGATAAAAAAGAAAGGTCCCAGCGACCGCGTGGGTGGGGAGATCAAGTCAAGCAAGACCTGGCACCACAACGTACAGCGAACTATGGCAACGCCATGTTCGAGCCACTACCGACCAGGGTCCAGGCCACAAGGCGTTCATGGCGTGTCAATTGGTGGAGGAGAAGGGGAACTATCAAGGTACGTTGTCTTCCGTTACACTCGGTTGACTGGGGTTTGGTTGACAGGTAGGACAGGTGGCAGAGAAAAAAGGTCTGGATGGAGAGCAAGCTGGAACGGACGCAAGCGTTCTTTTTCCCCGGCTAGGAAGATGACAACCCGGGAATGCGCATGGCGCTGGGCGTCCAAGGTAGATGTATATATATGCACGATTCCGATGGCAGCCCATATGTGTATGTACGGAGTATGTATGGAGTATGTACGATGGTGTCTGATGGTATGGATACACAACAGGTTCCCTCGGCAGCGTCCGGGTTGGCGCACAAAAAGGTGGAGGTGGAGATGGAGATGCCTGGAGTCAGTTCCGTGGTCCGCGGTCTGGTCTGAGGCTGTCTACCTAATTACCTGGTACCCAGATGTATGCCTCGAGCTCGATGAAAAGGTTGGGTTCATTCTCTCCCGTGCGCATTTCATGTTGTGAATCGCCAGCGTCCCATAATTAGGTAAGGTAGTCGGGTCATAGAGGTGCCTGGCCAGAAACGGGCTAAGACAGAGGTACTGCAGTACCGGTACGGTACAAGCTGAGTGATGAAACGGATCATGGCCTCGTACCTTGTTGTTTCTTTCCAGCCGTTGTTCTTCGTTGGGAAAGCAAAGAAGCTACCTACCCGCTTACGGGTCTCTCAGACGCCCTGGGTCGACTAAGGTAGGTACCTAATGAGGTAAGTCCTTTTGTCAAGTGTCTGTACGCATAGGACTTCTAGAAAGGAGAAAACCTTGAGGGGTCGAGGGATCTCATCTTGTCCATACTCACCGCCAACGCCCAGTGTTCCATCTCGCCAGCCAATATTCTGCTTTCCACGTTCAAACCTTGTTATCAGCCACGGTATGGGCGACAGTCACCGCATTGCAATCGGTCCCTCTTTTCGTCTGTTGCCAGGGCTCGCTCTTCTTCACTGCCAATCAGCCCGATATCTCTGGCGACTGTCCGAGTGCTCTCACAAAGGAGAACAAGAGCATTACAGACTTTACATGAACACAAACAGGGACCCGAACAAACGAGCACGGGAGGAGTTGGACGTGACACGGATTCGGCACGGTATCCGGGAGTAACAATGTGCAGTGTGTCTGTGCAGAGACCCAGAAGAGCATCCATCGAACTCCAGACTCCATAGGGAGCATGTTAGGCGGCTTGCCGGTCAGTACCTTGCGTATTCGGCGAAGCAGCGTCGTTTACTATCATCAGCTATCGCGCCGCAGTGAAGTGTAGGTTCCTTGTCCTTCAGGCTGCGACTGGATGGTCTCACACACCTGCAGTTACTTCGTAATTACATGTCTATATCCACCGTCAGCTCCTCGGAGACCTGCCAAGTGTGTCGAGATAAGGCAATATGACGCCAGCACGACCAGAGTCAAATGCCGAAACGCCCGAAAATACCCATGAATCAATTAGCCGCTCCCTCAACCTGAAGCTCAAGCTTTTAGGCCTAGACGATGCCGATGCTCGGACCGCAAGGGGATACCAGTCGTCAATCACTTTCACCGCTACTGTCACGACTCGAATCCATTGGCTCCTGCAGGGGTGAAGCCATCTTCGAACGTTCTTCTTTGTACCGAATCTAGGCTACAGGTGAGGATAAACGTCTCCCTCTGAACATCCATGACCGTGTTCATTTTTCCGCCAGCATCACATGAACAAAAATGAGAGGGAAGAAAATAAGGCCGGAAACAGAAAAGAACAAAAAAAGAAGAAGAAAAAGAAAGAAAGAAAAAAGACGTAGCACCACGCCTCCACCCGTCTCTGACAGCAGCCGCCATCCGCCACGTTAGGGACAATGGACAACTACCTTACCAGGTGCATCAGTCCGGCGGAGAGCCAGCATATAGCTCCCTTTCCCTCATAAGTCCTGATATGGTGTACCGCAGATTAGTACTCACCACAGACAGCCCGTCACCGCGGGCCACCCAGCCTTGCTGCCGGTCTCTCGTTTCATGAGATATCGGCGGGCAACGGGAGGGGAAATCAGAAAGAAGAAGAAAAGGGGGGAGGGAAGAAATCAGAAGCGTGCAGTAACACGGTGTCCTGCAACCGGCCACATCAGCAAACTGAACCCACAACTCGGGTAGGATGCCTAACCCTCCTGTTGAGGCTGCAGGCCAGATCCACCGATTTGAGGTGTAACCTGCGATGGGTATGCAAGTTAGCCCGGGGTATTATTGATGAGAAGGGGAGGTCAATCGGGGGCATATCCGGCGATGCAGGGAACCCCGGCCTTTTTCTATGTTAGCCACGGAAATGGCATGTGATATGAATGAAAAGACCTTTTTTTCTTCTTTTCTTCTTAGAACGAAAAGACGGCGGGATCAAATGTGCTCTTCTTTTCACTTCGTTGACTGGGACGCAGCCGATAGATAAGAATGGTCCCTGAGTACGCCGCCGACTTGACTTGGTGACTACACCCCAAAAGAACCAGCAGAGACTTGATACGGCCCTTCCATGCATCGTATCATATGTTCACATGTATCGTATTGCACCGTCTCGAAACAAAGGTGGGAGTTATCCATGCATCGCCTTGCAGCCCCCTCACCACCAACGAGACCGAGACCTCAGTTTAACAATCTCCTCAGATGTCCCCATGTCGTTTTGTCTCCCTAAGGTATGATATGCATTATATTAGAAAGGGGTGCTGAAGTGCTGAGTCTAATGCCTTCGCTCGTTCTAAGCGCCTCGAAATGAACGGGGTATCTCTCGGGTTCTGCCAACAACACTACAAAATCCAGAATGTACCACGCCGAACTGAACGCACACTATGGAGAGGATGATGCAATGCAACTCGCCATGCAAGGAAACGAAGGAGACGAAAGAAGAAGAAGTAAAAAAAAATATAAAAAAAAGACACTGCGCCAGTTGGACAAGAAATCGAAAATGCAAGAACAGGGCCCCATGATAAGAAACGCGCCGCATCCGAATAAACTCCTGTTTCTTCCCCTTGTTTCTCCCGTCCTTTTCTTCTTCTTATCACGAACCCAACCCAATCGAACGGGCATCCCAGGTTGTCACTATCATCCCGCAACAAACGGGCAAGAATCCGGCTCAGGTTCCTGCCGCGGGCCCAAGCTCGGGCAACTCGATAAGATAGGGTAGAGTCGGCACAAAAACGGATAAGTATCCCTCGCGGAATCCGTACCTTAGCACAAGGGCCGTGCGCCAATGACCGATCATCGTTCCATCATGTCCTCCATCTCGTTATCTCTCATCCTCCTCCTCATAACTGACGTGACAAATTGACTTTATTCCTCGTCTTTTTTTGTTCTTCCGCTATCAAGCTCGGAACTGCAACCGAATGATAGAGAAGAGCATGTTCTGAAGAACGTGCAACGTGACAGCAACACTCGTGGGGAGCAATTCAGGCCACACGGCGAGGTCGAGCTTCCCCTCCATATCGATATCAACGCGGTAGATCCAGCGCGTCAGGCCGCGGACGCACAGGGCCGCGGCGAGCTCGCAGGCCCACGTGACGGAGGAAGCGTAGAAGGTAAGGTCAAAGTCGTACGGCTCGTACCCGTCCTCCCCGAAATTGTCAAAGGCGAAGTACGGGTAGACGTCCTTGTTGGCGCCAAAGTGCAGCACGAGGACGCTGCCCAGGAAACAGGCCATGGAGACGTTCTCGGCCAGGAAGCGGATGAAGACGTTGCGGGTCTGGATCTTCTGGAACGAGGCGTAGCTCAGCGTCGTGAACCGCAGCGCGCGCATCAGCCGGTGCCACGGCCGCGACATGAGCACGGGCGTCAGCACGATGAGCAGGCTGCTCGAGATGAGCTGCAGCATGACGAACTGCTGCGGCGACCGCAGCCGCGCGTACAGCGCCCGCACGTACGTCTGGTACGTCAGCATGAAGTACAGCTTGAACACCCAGCTCAGCGGGTAGCTCCCGACCCGCTCGCCCTCGCGCAGGCCCAGCAGCCAGCCCGTCAGCGCGTCGAGCAGGTGCACGGTGCCGACCCAGCTGTAGACGTAAAAGACCGTCTCGAAGTTGTCGTGCGGCAGCGTGCGCAGGTAGATCTCCGCGTAGGCCTCCCCCAGCACGTAGGCGAGCAGGCCGACGAAGAGCGCGAGGCAGAACCAGATGAAGCGCACGAAGCTGGCGGGGAGCCATTGCCGGCGCATGCGCATGCGCACGCCGACGCCGACGCCGATGCCGACGCGCGCCGCGAGGGGCCGGCGTTTCTGTTGTTGCCGCCTGGCACCGGGGCCGTCGATGTCCAGGACGGAGGGGTCTTCCGAGTCGAAGAAGATGGAGGAGGCGGCGTCGCTGCTGACGACGGCGGCGGCAGAAGACGCACCGGCGGGCGGCTGGTAGAGGCGGCGCCGGTTGTAGTAGTAGTAGGAGTCGTCGTAGCGGTCGGCGGAAGGGCCGTCGCTGGCCTGGTCGCCGGTCCACCAGGAGGAGGTGAAGATGCGCTGGGTGTCGGAGAGGGAGTTTTGGAGGCTCAGATGGCGGCGGCCGGTGAGGAGGATGCAGAAGGCGATGGCGACGGGGGCGGCCATGACCATGAAGGACCAGCTGATCCAGGTCGTGTTGTGGAGGGTCAGGAAGCGGGTTTCCGGGGAGAGGAAGACGGGGATGGGTACGGCGATGGAGAAGATGGCGATGAGGGAGACGGTGATGGGGAAGCCGAGGGACGAGGGCCACCAGTTGAGGCTGTACAGGTTGAAGACCTTGGTGATGTAGATGAGGGCCACGACGTTGTAGAAGCCGTAGTAGACGAAGAGGAAGAACCAAAAATTCACCTGCACGCGAGGGTGTCCGTGGCCGGGGACCTTTTGCCGATTCCCATCGTCGGTTTCGCCGTCGTCAGGTAAAGGGTATTTCGGGAAGGGGACGGCGCACCATGCCACAGCCTAGGTGAAAGGAGCAGACCCCCAAATTAGCCATGTGAGAACGACGGAAGTTGTTGTTTTGGTTTTGGAGTAGGGGAACCAGAAAAGAAAAAGGCGAAAGGGAGGGGGAAAAAAAAAGAAAGAAAGAAAAAGAAAACGCACCAGCGTAGCAGGCAGGATAACCAAGACGAAATAGCGACTCCACCAAACATCCACAACCCTCTTGACAGCCGCCTGACGCGGTTCGAACCATAAATCGACCGTCTTGCGCCATATTCTTCGCCACGTTCTGCCCCGGCTGGTCCTCCGACCGCCGTCGTCGTTGTCGTCGTCGTCGTCGCCAAAGTCGCCGGCCAGGGCTCTCCGCGCAGCATCCTCGTTTTCGAGCTCGGCCGCGAGCAAGGCGCCGTACCCTCCGTGTACGCTCCCGCGGCCGTTTCCTAGCGCGGAGGAGAGGAGGCCTAGCGCGCCGGCGGAAGGGCGACGGGTGAGGGGGGGAGGTGGCACGGCGCGGAAGCGGCCCAGGAGAGGGGAGGCGTCGGAGGTGGGGCGCTCGCGGGATTCGGTCCCCTGCGTGAACTGGAAGAAGGAGGGCATCGTATGCTGCACCTTGTCTTCTTCTTCTTCTTCTTCTTCTTCTTCTTCTTCTTCTTCTTCTTCTTCTTCTTCTTCTTCTTCTTCTTCTTCTTCTTCTTCTTCTTCTTCTTC